TATGAAGCAATATTAGACGTTTATTTTCTACATATTATTAGGCGTCGCTAGATGTTAATCATCCGTTCGACAACCAACAAAAAATTTTAATAGTCATAAAATATAATCAAGAAAACGCGCGTGTAATATTTAACGTCACTCAACTTTGGCGATGATATTAGCAACTTCAAATTTCACATCAATTATTTAATAAAATTCTTTTAAATACTTTCTGCTGGTCTATCTTTCGTTCGAAAGAATGAACAGAAAACTAAACAACTAAAGTATTATTATTATATAAATAGGAAAATTACGAGAATTAGTAATATTCTCTGATGGTCTCACATAAATATTTGTCTGACTTATTCTCGATCAAATTTAATTTAATTTAATTTTAATCTCTTTTAATCTTTTCTCTACAACATACTAGAAGAACCTTTAAATCGGCAGTCTTTTAAATCATGGTCGAGTTGTCACTTTGTGGATAGCGCCGGACACGCCGTTTATATCCTCGCATCGCTCTCGCGCAACCGTAACGGATAACAAATAATCTGCAAACACGCTAAAGCGATCGCGTAACGGCCGCGCGAGTCTGCGAAATAGAAAGAGTTAATTGCAGGGCTTTAATGCGTTTAACCGTGCATTATTAATCACGACGGTCGGTCGTAATTATTGCCGGCTATTATTAGGCACTCGCTCTCTCGTACGTTAGCGCCGACATTATGCTCGTTCGTTCCATCCCGTACGTAGATATATTTATCCGCCGGAAAAATGAATATCACGCCCACATTTCGCGCGAGACCCACCCATGGCCGCGAGGACGGACGCGCGGGTCAGCGATTCGAATCTCACACCTTTGTACTTGAGCATACGTTAACATCACGTTTGCGGCCACTTCCTTAAATCAAATGCCGCGCAACTTGCTTCTCGTCGACGTCCTCGCTCGAGACATATACCACGCTTGGTGAGAGCGTGGTATATGTAACGGCTTCAAGTACCCTCCTAATTGTAATTTTGAGAGAAACGTATCTCGATAAATTTATTTCAAAGTGATATGAAAATTTTATAAAATATTTTTAAAAGTTGTCTTCTTTTGCGTATATTGTTATTATATGCATTATATGGATATTGCATATAAGTTTTCCTCACTACAGATTTTTTTCAGATTGATTTTTCTCCTGCAAAAATGCCAATGCATACTTGTCAAATAATTGAAAAGATAAGAGACTTATTTAGCTAAAAACTAAACTTTAGGATAAAAGTAATATATTCTCCTATAACTCGAGATTATTTCGAATTATTTATTTTAATAGAATTGTAATTTAAAGTTTGTTTTTTTATACGAAAATTAAATAAAAAACTGTGCAAAGTTTCGCTTGAACGGAAATGAAATTGATCGGAATAACTGCGATTAGAAATACATCCAATAGAATGCGATTAGAAATACATCCAATAAAGTGCTGCGCATTTAATGGACCTTGAAGTTGAATATTCAGCGTGAGCAGAAAATTATTGCGTTCCGGAGGAGTCGAAGGCACGGACACACGTGCGTTGAAATCATCGGCGCGGCGGCATCGCCGAGATATATACCTACTTTGCCGTACGTCTGGATCCAGACGCGAACCCCATTGCGCGATAATTGAAGTTACGCTTCGTGGGAAGCACAGCCTTGACAGAGCAGAAGTGCCGTCCAGTACAAAGAGCTTAGACAAAGGGCGTGCTTCGGGGGTTTCGATATGACTTCGTATGAGAGAGGCCGCCTTCACAACCCCGTCGTGATCCTCGGGACAAAAAACCGTCGACGTAGACGAAGCCATGGATAATGCTTCGCGCGACGAAAAACGGCACAGCTTTAGCCCGTAAGGGAGAGAAGCGGGGGAGAAGCAGCCCAGGCCCTGGGCCGATCGGTCCCGGGGAGACCTCGAGAAAACGGGGCGCGGGACCAGAAGAGCGGGTCCCGAAAGCGGAGCAAAAACGTCCGAACGGCAGAGTCGGCGATTCCTGAGGAATCGGGGATCCTACAGCGAGTGATAATCGTACGAGAAGAGAAAGATGCGACGAAAGGAGGAGAAGTAGGGGCAAAGAAAAAGAGTGGCAAGCGATGCTATTTATCAAGAGACACGGTAGTGTCTCGAGCAATCACGATACACAACGAAGTGAACCGTGTATCTATACACGTCTCCCTTCCTCCAAAATTGTGAATATATGCATATATTAATTAAACCATAGAGTTGTTGATCGATAGCCAATTATAACTTGGAAAATATAAAATATAAAAATAATGTATGATATAAAAATCAACGCTCGTTCGATTTTTGCACCCCTAAACATCTGTCGCTGTTGTGAATAATTTTCACATATTTTAATTTGTATTTTAACTTTTTAGTACACAGTAATTGGAGACGGATATTAATAATAATTTTTTATTATTAATCAAAATTTGTTGTTGTATTCCCAATACAAGCGCCAAGGGCTGTCTTTGCATTAAATTTTATTACTTTTATTACTTTTATGATTACTTTGATTGCAGCATTTTTACTGATACATATTATAAGAAAAGATGAACGTGCAAACGAAGACGAAGATACATAATGAGAAGCCAAGGGCGACAGTAGACGAAAGAAGAATGGGGGAGGGAGAGAACGGGGAAAAGGATCTTCAGAGCTAAATAAAGCAAGTGGCGCACGAGGATAGAGATGGGACCGACCGCGCGTCTCTCGGCAGTTTTGAGATCCCGGTGCGAGCGCGGAGGTATAAGGGCTGCGTCCGTTCGTCTGAGATCAAGTTTTTCTCGAGTCCTCCAAGAACCTCCGGGAGAGCGAGAAGAAAGAGCATGGGGCCCGAACCCGAATCCGAGTTGATTTCGCGGCACGCGGTTCATCTTGTCGTTTATTCTCTCCGACTCTCTCCGCTGCAGTCGCCCTCCTCTTCCTCATCTTTCATCATCTCATCTACACTTGAATTCCGCGGCAGGACTGGATCGCGATGGATTATCGGTATCACACTGATGACACCTTCAATTTTTTAAACAATTTCGCACAAGATATATACGGAATAAAATAACTTATATTCATTATACTTAATTCTTGGATTGTGCAGCTTCAAAGCTAACGAAGCTTTGTGAACAATAGAAAAATGATTCTTTTTAATTAAATCACATACGAACGCTGTCGAAAAATAGCCATAAGGTTTTTCTACAAATTAAAAGAAGAAAAAATCGATTGTAATTCAAATGACATTTCTATCCCCGAAAGATAAGATCGCGAATTGCATCCTATATAAGAGTAGAATAAAGCGCGAATTAATTAGAATAGCTTCGTTCTAATAAAACGAGGCGAGATGCAGCGGTGGCGGCACCGCGCGATACTTTCGTATAAATTTGAAACGCGCCCTGTAATTTGAGAAAACGTCCCTGATCCTAAACCCTATTTATGCAGCACTGAACCGGCTGTAAACTGTTCGTATTCACGATCTCTCTCCTTCTCATCCTCCTCCACATCCTCCTTTCTTTCTCTCTACTCTACGAAAGACGTTCGTCCTTCTCCTCGTAAACGTGTGTTGTCCTTCCATCTATCGCTTCTCGTAAGATTCTCTCTCTCTCTCTCCCCCTCTTCTCCCCTTTTTTCTCTTTTTTTCTTCTTCCCTCTTTCTCTCTTTCTCTTTCGAATAAAGAAAAATGCATATACAATATAATACGTTACGATGATTGAAAATCGACATCCAACAGTATGCTATTTTATATAGGAGATGCCTTATTTAATATAAAGTCAAATTATTAATTCTTTTAAAATCGCGTCTTGTATCTTAATTGGCAATTTTACATTTAGAGTCAAACAAACAAGAAACAAGAAAATAAAAACGACTCTAATTTCTTATCATGCCTCATAATATCGAATTTTTCTAAGATTCTTTAAACTTATTACTAATAAAACAACATTTCATATATACATCATATATGTATTAAATAACATAAATATATTGAAGGAATTCAAATCAAAGAATTGTTTATTATTATTAAATTAAAATTTAGTATAAGATCTTCATTACTCACAATTAACAAAGTATGTTTTTTATGACTTCTTACTTGTTTACTTTTTCTTCGACATGTCAATAAATATACATATTATGAACATTAATTGCTATATATGCAATTAATGAGTATTATATATTCTATATATATATAGAATGTAAATTTGGGAGAATCTTTTAATAAGATATTCCTGCAACCAAATCAATCTAAAAAGTCTTTTTATCATTTTTTCTCCGACAAATAATTATCGAAATTTTATGAATTAAAGATTAAAGATGTTTATTATATCGTTACAATTATCATATCATGATTAAAAAGATTATTTAGTCATTTATTTTTCTCACAAAAAGGAAAGTATTTTTCTAGATACTTGTTGAAATGTAATTGCTATATTATTTCATTAGTTGTTATAAACAATTATTGTTTCTTAATGTATATTTTATTGGATAAATTTGCTGTTAAATCTTCTTATATCATTAATTGTATAGAAAAAACACATTTAATAAAATGTACATTAAAGCAATACTTCTTTATACAACAATTTTTTCGACAATTAATATATTTTACTTTTTATATCTTTATTAATTATGTAGCATTTCTATTAAAGTAAGTTCATTTCAAGTCAATATATTCAACGTTTTAAAAACTTTAATTAGTCATTTAGCTTGCATAAGAATAAATATATAGAAATTATATCTATTAAATTAAAAGATTGTCTCAATCATCCTTTGGCGCCTGTCATATTTATCATATGATTTTAGCAATTAAAATATCCTCGGCGAATCTTGCGCCATGACAATCTGGACTCATTCGCTCGTTTCGCGAGAAGGGGTCTTATCCGGCAATCGAGAAATTACATTATGGGACGAGGGAGGAGAGGGGAAGGAGTGGCAGACCGCACAAAAAGCACCGACTATCTTTCAGGAGCCGACGAAGGAAGCATCATTAATATCACCGAGACGATCAATCAAAAAACCAAACGTAAACTCACTTTGGTGGACGTCGTACTGGGCCTGGTGCCGCCTATGCCGATGGCATACAGTTCAACCTCGTACCACTGGACGCCGGTTTCGCGATCGAGCTTGGTCGCTGTGGATAGCACGCCTGTCTTCGTGTCGATGTCGAAGAACCGATCGACCTGGAGCCCGTCGACGAGCCCGCCGCCGGCGGTCACGTTCGTCACGTAATACTCGAGCTCGATGTTCGAACGTCGACTACGCGCGCTCACACACAGGATGCTGGTACCGACCGGTTCGTTCTCATAAACGCTGCCCTCGATCTGACCCCGATGTTCCCAGATCGGTTGATCGCCGTCCTCGCCCGGCACGATCAAGGTCACATAAGTTTCCGACGAACGACGTTCCGTCTGGACCGCTTCGTCCGTCGCTCGGACACCGACCTGATATTTGGATACCCGCTCGGAGAGACCCTTTGGAAATGATCGCGGGAATCTCATGGTAAGTTGACCGGTGCTACGGTGGATACGAAACATGTCCAAATAGTTGACGTTCGAACGGAGCAATTCGTACGTCACCAGGCCGTTCGTGTTGGAGTCAAGATCGCGGGCGACCAGCTGCGTGACCACGATCTCCTTGGATGACTGATAATAGTCGAGATTGCCGGCGCGCAGCGGCGGTAGCACCACTGCGGACATGCTGACGAATAACGGCGCGTTGTCATTCACGTCTTCAACGATCACAATCACTAGCTTCTCGGCGGATAGGCGCGCGCTTGGTGGCTGCGCTCTATCGGTCGCAACCACTATCAGTTTGAAGGTGTCTACTTCCTCGCGATCAATCGGCAGCAGCGTGTGAATTATGCCGTTCGACGAATTGATACCGAAATGCCGCACCTGATCTTCCGGATCCTGGTTAAGGATCGAATAACTGACTATCCCGTTGTCTCCCGAATCCGGGTCCTCGGCGGTGATCGTGACGATTGGTGTTCTCACGGGGATACCCTCACGTATTTGACGCACTATTGCCGTATTCGGGAAGACCGGTGGATTGTCATTGGCATCGATCACTTCGACGATCAGGCTGGTAATAGAGCTAAGCCTCGGGTGACCACCGTCACTACAGGTGACGTTCAACGTATAATAATTCAGTTCTTCATAATCCAGTGATTTCCGCAAGTACAGGATACCAGTCAATGGATCAATATGGAAGGTATCCCTCCTGTTTCCGGCCGATATTGCAAACGTCAGCTCGCTGTTAGGTCCGAGATCATTGTCAGTGGCCTTGAACCGCAGCAATTCGGTGTTAATCGATATGGTCTCCAGCACGGAAATTCGCGATTTGTTGTCGATAAAACGCGGCACGTTGTCGTTCTCGTCGAGTACCTCGATATAAACGGTCGCACTGGATGACAAACGTGTCTCGAGACCGGCATCGTGCGCCACGACCGTCAATACATAGGTGTCAGACGTCTCGCGATCGAGCTCTTTCACAAGCGAAATCTGCCCAGTGGCCTCGTCTATTATAAAATGACCGTGCTGATTGCCATCCTCCAATGAATAAAACACGTCACCATTCAAGCCCTTATCGGCATCGGTTGTATATACTCTCAACAGCTGCGTGCCGATCACGGCGCCTTCGCTCACTTGCACTCGATAAGGCAAACGTTGGAATTGCGGCACATTGTCGTTTACGTCGGTGATATAGATGGTGACCTTGACGCGATCACGAAGACGATTGACACCATTATCGGTGACAGTGGCTTCTAAGGTAACATAGCTGTCGCCAGTGTTGGTCACTAGGAGTTCGCGATCGAAGACGCGTAGAGACTTGACGAAACCGTTCCTCGGATCGATGACAAAATCTTGCTGACTAGCTGGTAACGAGAATATTAGATCAGCGTTCCGACCGACGTCACGATCAGTGGCCGACAACTTGCCGACGAAAGTATCGGGTGGTTCATTTTCACGCAGATGGAAGCTAAAACTACTGTTGGTGAATTCAGGCGCGTTATCGTTCTCGTCGATTATATGCATCACTACCGGGACCATGGAACTTCGCGAAGGATTACCTTGATCGAACGCGGTAACTTCGAGTGCGTAATAATCTCGTTCCTCGCGATCGAGCATATTCTTCACGTAAAGCTGGCCGTCCGGGAAGATGCCAAAGCTACTCTCGACGTTACCATCGGTCACGCTGTATCGTATTTTACCGTTGACACCAAGATCCGCATCGTGAGCTATCAGCGAGAAAAAACGTTTGTTGACCGGTGTGGACTCTGACAGCGAGATCTCGTAGCTGGTCAGCCGGAAAACTGGCGTGTGATCGTTTACATCTTCGATTGTTACTTTGATTTGATGCTGAGAGGATAGCGATGGTTCACCAGAGTCAGTCGCCGTCACTTCTAAATAGAGGATCGTACCGGGTGTCGCTTGGATTGGCTTATTTAGGTAGATGATGCCCGAATTTTCGGCAATTCTAAACTGCTCACCTGGATTATGAGTAAGCGAATAAATAATTCTGGCATTGGCGCCAGCATCACGATCTCTCGCACGGGCTAAACATATTTCTTGTCCTACTGCCGCGTTCTCTCGCAGGAAAATTTCGTCGCCCCGCTCGCTCCTAGGAAATCTGGGAGGATTGTCGTTAACATCTTGTACGGTAATGTTAACGGTTGTTTGACCATACGCGAGATCGGCGCGCGCCGACAATTGTAAACTGTAATAAGCCACTCGCTCGCGATCCAGGCAGCCAGCGGTGCTAATAATGCCGGTGCTCTTGTCAATTTTGAAATTGCCCTTAGAATCGCCGAAAACAATATCATAATTCACCTTGCCTGTATTACTATATTGCGTGACTTGTACCGAGCCGACTTCTCGACCGAATCCGGATATGGAGTCGCAATCGCCATGGTCCTCGGTTATGCGGAATTCATAGCCGTTGTAAGTTTCGAACTCGAGGTGTTCTAGATCCTCATCGCGAATTATTTCCACTATCGCGTTCCTGTCTGCAAACCGGTCGCCAGTATCTTTGGCCGAGATGGTCAGCTCGTAGAGAGTCTTATGCGCGGCTCGCAAAGAACCCTGAAGAGCAATTTCGCCGGTTCTTTCATCGATTACGAAGAGACCTTCGCCGCCAGATTCCAGGATATATTTTATTTGAGCGTTTTCCCGGGCATCGGCATCAGTCGCTGTCACTTTACCTATTATCGTACCTGCTGGAGAATCTTCAGAGATAGGCATTAGATACTTCCAAGGATAGAAGACTGGTGAATTATCGTTAACATCTTCCAACGTTAGTATCACAGTAGCGGTTGACGATTGCACTGGCGTACCCTGATCTTTCGCTATAATCAGAATTCTATACTCTGCTACTGTCTCTCGATCTAAGGCAATCTTGGTTGTCAACTGACCGGTCAGGGCGTCCAACGCGAAAGTCTTGGGGTAATCGCGCGAGACACAAGAATGAAAGCTATACACGACACTACCGTTGGTACCTTGATCGTTATCGATGGCTGCCAGGGTAGCTATTAGACTGTTGGGTGGCGTATTTTCCGATAATGTAATTTGAACGACGTTTTTGGAAAAGTGTGGCGCTTCGTCATTCTCATCAAGAATTGTCACCTTGAGATGCGTGTTCGCATACTTAGTGTTTGGACCACCGTCCTGCGCATACACAAGTAACTCGATACTACCTTGAACTTCACGGTCCAGTGTGGCAACAGTGGTAACCAGGCCGGTATTTTTGTCGATAGCAAACCAGCCTAGATTGTTACCCGATTCTAAATTATAATAAACCTGCGCGTTTAATCCGGAATCCGCGTCCGTTGCCGAGATGCTTGCGACGAAACTACCATTCGGCGCGAGTTCTGATAGTACTGCCGAATATTCACTCTGTTGAAATACCGGTTCGTGATCGTTAACATCGTTCACATGAATCCCAAGATAGACCGTAACCGATCTGGACGGAATTCCCTTGTCAGAAGCGACTATCGTAAGATTATACGTAGGTACCTCCTCACGGTCTAGTCGACCGTTGATTTTCACGAGAGTGACCCGCGTGACAGTATGTCTATCCTCCAATCGAAAATGACCTAATTCGTTACCCGCGCGTATCTCTACGCTGGTTTCGCCGTTCAAGCCTTGGTCATCGTCGGTTATTGTCATCGCGGCAACAATCGTGTCCTCGTTGGCGTTTTCGTCGACGGTGGCAAAAGATGCGGTCCCGGGAAAGTAGTTGAAGTTAATCACAGGATCATGATCATTCGTATCTAATAGATTCAGCGTAACGTAAGTCCGACCATCTTGCCTGGGCGAACCATTATCACGAGCGAAGACCGTAATGACGCAGGTCTTGATACAAGTACCTTTGCAGTCCTTTGGAGGATCACAGCTCAACAGCTCGGCCGTCGTGATCGTTCCAATTTCTGGATCGATTGTAAACTTTCGTTCGTCGTCTGGTAGATAATACGTCAATTTCGAATTATCTTCCGAATCTTTGTCAGTAGCATGCACCGTCAGGACCTTCGTGCCAACTGGAGCGCTTTCATTTAACGATACCACATAATCGCTTTGTTGGAATACGGGCGGATTGTCATTCACGTCCAACACTGTCACATTCACTAGCAAATAACCTAAACGTGGAGGTCGACCGCGATCGCGTACGCAAATGTTAAGCGAATAGAATTCTACCTGCTCGCGATCCAACTTGCCTGTAGTTTCAAGGTATAAGTACGATGTCTCACCAGTATTGCCCGTAACTTCCAGACGAAATTTGCCATCTGTATTACCGTCCACGATAAAATAATCATCTAGCACACCGTTCTCCGGCGTATCCCGATCTGTCGCGGCATCCAGCAACAGTTTCGTACCAGCTACAGCCGATTCTGAAAAGCTCACGGCAATGCTAGGTTCCGGAAATTCCGGATCGTTGTCGTTAATATCAAGCACCAAGATCCGCACTTCGATCGGATAAGTTGGCTGGCTCGATAGTACGACAAAATCAAACCGATTGCTGCTCAGAGCTTCGCGGTCGAGGACTTTGGCTGTCCGTATCTGGCCTGTTTCCGGATCAAGTACAAATTCTTGAGGCGGCTCATTGAACCTATAGGTAAAATCAGGCTTGACCGGTATCGTGCCAACCAGGGTACCTTTGGGCTCGCCTTCCCTGACCTCGAGCTGGACCCGCGTGTCGACCGCTCTGCTCTGCATCGCCAGGCCCATCGTTGCGGCGCTGTCCTGCGGCAACATCGGTGACCTTCGTGGCACTAACCGCGTGACCCTTTGAGGTAGGTTATGCAAGGTAAAGTAGTTGTCGGACGCCGCCGCCGCCGCCATCGCCGTCGCCGTTGCCGCCGTCGCGTCCTGGCCGACGACCTGGCCGCCATATTGGTAGGATAGGAATCCCAGAAGAAGGGCCAGGAGCATCAATCCCCTTATGATCATCTCTTCTATCTCACCGCGACACGCCCACCTGCCTTAGCCAAATTCCGGCTCACGGTGACTCGTCGTCGGCATAAAATCGCGCGCTCCGATTACGCACTATCTGTCGTTCTTCCTCCTCATGATCGTGGCCGGCGATAATCTCGTCGTCATCCTCCACGTCTACGTATCGGCACATCATTGCACGTAGCGCAACATCCTCCAAGAATGGAGATTAATCGCGCGCGATGATGCAAATTGCCGTCCTCTGTCCGGCGTTGCGTCGCATTTTTTCCCCACCTTCGAGAGGTTCCGATTTAAGCTTGCATACCAAAAGATGGTGGGTGCTTTCTTTTCCGTCTTTCGTTCTCCTCTTCTTTGTACCTATTTCTCTCTCGTTTTCTGTGTCTTTCCTTATCTCGTTTCTTCCTTCTCTTCTCTCTTCTTCTATCTTTTCTTCGCCGCTGAAAGTCAAGTGTATACGAGAGAAGACTTCACCCGGCAGAGGGGGCAGTGACCTGCCGAGAGCCGCGCCTCGCGAAATGCGCGTCTACGGATGCTCGCGAACGACTCGCGATCGCGAAAACGAGATGTTTGGGACACTTTTTTCATTAGCGACCCATGATCGATAAATCGAAAGAACGTTCTTCTTTCTTCATCCAAGGAACGGATTCTCCTATTTAAAGCTTTATTCTCCTCTTCAAGTTCTCCTCTTCTTGTATATCGAGAATTTATATCTACGTTACGTGTTTTCTTCGCATTCTTTTGATATATATATATATATATGAATATATCAATTTTTCCTGACAAAAATGATCTTTGATGATAACGAACAATTATTTTTTTATAGCGATCTTGAGATCGCTCTCTCAAAACACTCAGAATCTTCAGAATTCACAGTTTTATCACTGACCCGTGCTTAGATTTTTGATAGACTCGTATGTAAACACTGCACAGAGACGAGGATCCGATATTTGAAACACAAAAGCACGATTCGCGATTAATATATATTTATATATATTTATTATATGTATTATATTTTCTCGCCAAGTATCGATATAACCGAACGAGTTTAGTGACCGAGCCTCGAGTTTACAATTCACTCTCGAATACGCGACTCGCCGCTGGACCCGCACGATTCGCGCTATCTTTTGCAAAAATCGTGAGGAAGTTCACGCGATCGCGATACAACGCTCATTCGTATTCGCTGATGGTGTAGCGATCTCACGAACTCGACACAACGGGTTTGTGCGCGCGCGCGCGTGCCCTTCGGGGTAGGCGTTATCGGGGGATGAAAATAAATCTCGCGAGCGAGAAACGTTTGACAGCGGGAGAAGAGAATAGGAATAGAAAGGAATAAACGCGCGCGAAGGGGCCGCGATGAGCGCAACGTAAGGCCCCGAAAAAAAAAAAACGCGGAACGTACACCGCGGAGAAGAATATTGTCTCCTCGAGGACTGACCTGACTCGACTGAATCGAGCCGGTCCCAGAACCACTGCCAGGAGAGGCATTCTTCAGGCTGGCTGACGCCGTCCCTCTCCGATCGGATCCTTTCTCCGTCCTCCTCTCGCTCTCTCTCTCTCTTTCTACATCTTCCTTCTCTCTCCCTCTCTCTCCTTTTCTGTCTGTGTCTTTACCCCGTCCACTTCGCACGAGGCCCCTATCGATATCACCTTCTCTGTCCGCTCTGAGAAACATCGTGGCTCTACCACGCGCGTTCCCTCGCTCCGCAATAATCGCACTCGCTCTTTCTACCAACATTGCTCCTTCTCCCTTTTTCTCTCGCTCCCTCTCTTCCATGTCAAGAAACGTTCGATCTCCTATCTCCGTCGCTCTTCCTTTCGCCAAACGCTCATTTTCTTCGCTCTTACCTCAGTTCCCTTTCTCATTTCCCCTTCTTACGCTTTCCCGTTCCCCTACCCTTTTGCCATACCATTACCTGTCGGTGTACGGGCCTCTTCGTTCGTCGCACGTGGGCCTTTCTCTCTCTCCCACTTGCTCTCCTTTGAGGCCCGCTGTTTCGACCGCAGCCCTCTTCTCCTCTTCCACCCTCTCATCTACTTCTTTAGCCTTCCCTCTTCACCATCTTCCACGCGCGATCCTTCCACCTTCGACTCGCGCATCCCGTCGTCGTCTCGCTAAGATATTCTCCCTTTTGCCCTCGAGGAACGAGCAATGCGGAGGCTCAGGTATGCAAGATGGCCGCTGCGTGCTGGAACCCCATGCGACGAGAACGTTGCTTCAGGTTAACGGGAACGAGAAAGATATAGCAAGAAGAAGGAGGATATAGAATGGACAAGAGGGAGAAAGAGAGAGAGAGAGAGAGAAGGAGAATAAGAGAGTAAGAGTAAGAGAGAAAAGTAGGGGGAAGTAAAAGAACGAAAGAAAGAGTAAGAGTGATACAAGAACTAACGAAAAGAAGGATGACAAGATCAGAGAACGAGAGATGAATAATGCGTGGGGGAGGAGAGAAAATACCTGGAAGGGTGGGCAGGGGGACACCCCGACTTAGGGGGTGCAGCGTAGAAGGAGGGAGGGATGAGTCGCGAGATCCGGACCTCACGGCCCTATGGATATGTGTCCGCGGGCTTATGGTCACTTTTATAACTAATCCGTTACTACGATCATGTGCGCGCGCGAATGTTCCGCTCAATCTTCTAGGCCCTCTTTCTCTCGAATTAATTCGCTATCTCGATCCTTCGTCCGTATCTTTCCTTCTTATTTCTCTTCTTGTGTTTAACAGCTTCGAAATTGAAAGCTTTAAACTTCGAAACCAGCCGATGCACGAAAACTATTATCGATATATTTGATATATCATAAAATATCGCACTTGAAATGTACATATATTTTCTCGAATGCAGTAATGATAGTGCTCCTTCTTGAAATGTTTATATGGCTAACAATAAGATCACTGGGAGAATGCAAATCTACAGGATTTTATACAGGGTGTCCCAGTTATCTTCCGTCATCTTTCAAAGACAGATTCCTGGGATCATTTGAAGACGATTTTTCCTCAGCGAAAATGTCAATGAAGGCCATCATTTTTTGCATCCGTTTGCATTGTTCCCGATTTTTGTCATCATATATCTTTGCAATTAAGTCTTAAATTAAAATTCAACTAAACTCTATTTAAAATTAAACTCTATTTAAAATTAATCAAAGAATGTGGTTTTGTTAATATTTTATTTCTACAAAGCTTAGTTTACGAAAAACCCCTTATTTCCAATCACTTATAATTTGAAAATTATTAGTGCCTCGACATTTTCGTTGAGGAAAAATCGTCTTTAGATCCCAGAATGTCTTTGAAAAATGATGGAAGATAACTGGAACACACTGTATAAAGAATTTGGCAAAAAATAAAATATTTTAAAATTTTTCTTTAAAAATAAAGAAAATAAAGAAAAATGTTTTTTTCATCAAAAGATAGCTATTCTTAATAACAAAATTAAAATAAAAAATATTTAAGATACTAGAAAAACAGAAAATAAGAAACAGCACCACAAAAATGGCAATAGCATTACAAACAATTGCGCATGCTGGCCACTCAGTTTTGATAAATTATTTAAAATTAAAAAATAGACTTTTTTATCTTATTTATTATAGAGATATACATATCGATCAACACTCTGATTTGATTCATCGTTTTACGTAATAGAGAATGAATTTTCTTATCTTCTTTTCAAGAAAAATCTTTGGATCCACGTTATATTGGACGTAGATAAAAGTACAAGTTTTTCAAGAATGAGAGTGAATGGTCGTTCGAAAAACGCGATTCTTTATCCTTCCGGATAACGGAACGATCAGAAGAAATGGACAAGTCTTCTCTCGGTCTAAAGTAGCGATGAAAATTAGGAAAGAATTCATCGATAATGGATGACAATGCGTCAAGTAATACTATCTTTAGGTTTATGGAACCTCAAGGTAAAGTGCATCTGCATCGCTCTCGAATTACATCGAATCCTTATATATGCATCTCGTCGCCATTATTTATCGACATCGTACAGGAATAATAATTTTCTTATGTCCAATAATTTATAAAATGAAGAACATAGGCTATGTAAATTAAGAATCATAAATTATGAACAAAGAACGAAATTATGAAAAATGTGGCAACAATCTTTTTAATTATAATGTATAAATATTATATTATATTTACTATTATATTTAAAAAATTGTATATATATATGTATATATATATATATACACTTTATATTAATATTGAATTTTTTTATATACCATCTCGATGTAAAAAATAATTTTGCATATTACTCATTATTCGAAAAAAAATTTTTAAATTGATTCTAAAATCTATTCTTTGAGAAATGCAATGCAAGACATTGATTCGCTCAGACGCGTGATTAATATCCTGTGTAATTTCGTCACGGTAATATGCGCGTACGATAACGTACGCCGTTCCCTGATATTAGAAAGATCGCGACCCGAGGAAGAAGGCAGAGGAATTCCAACATTTATCCGGATGTAGAAAAGCCGTGACATTTTGTGCGCTGAAATCAATTATATTAATCCCTGCGTACATTGAGTTTCTCGAACTCTAAAGATGGCAATATAATTATTATGATTAAAAGCTTATGAATAAAAGCTGTTATATATTCTTATATCTGCATCTTTGCATTAATAGTCATACAGAGTTTGTCAAAATATCTAATTATATAATAAATAAAATATATTTATAAATATTTGTATATGTTATTTTAAAAAAATATTATTTAATATAAAAATATTACATACAGATACACGTGCATACATAATGTATATGTATGTGTGTACACGCAAAATATTTCAATGACTTTTAAACTAGAAGCGATAGAGAAGAGATATACGGTCATTCACGTACATGACCATTTCTTTTAATGATCTATAAAATTTCCTTTCGCGCTACTTTTCTTTCTACAAAATGCGAAAATTTTTAAATTGTTTTATTATTTTTTAATAATTGACAAATTTATTTTAACTACTTTAGTTTTTCAATAATGCTGAACTCAATGTTTAATTCAAATTTTAAAATCTCATATGACCGTCATATTAGATATTATTTCTGATGAAATTTATAATCTGGAAATTTTTATTTATTATTAGCACTGCACTTGAATCTCTAAAATCAAATTCTGAAAATAAATAAATAAATTTATACAAAAAATGTAATTTATGAAGTATAAAATAGAAATAGAAATTTACTTTTATTATTAAAAGAGAATGTCACTGCTTTTATTAAAATGTTTGATGCGATTCTTTTTCACAAAGAGAAATAAAATAAAAAAAAATTATGGCAATATTCATGTTATTCTAATAAAAATATTCTGTCTCTATGTTAAAAAGAGAGAGTAGGGAAGAGAAGGAGGAGAGACAAATGCAGGTTTGATAAAAATTAGAATGCGAAGGCAGCAAGATAGATATATCTCTCCCTTTCTATTGTACTTTCTACTGTTGCGCGTGGGCTTCTTTATATCTTTAAACCTATCTATACATATACAATATAAATTGAATATTATTTTGCAGAAGAAACAATACTTTTCTCAAGGTGAATATTTTATATATATTTCCTAAGTTTTATTAATAAAAAATACAACTTGTTTTTAATGCAAACAAGATAACTTATCATACAAAAAAATAGAAATTGCCTATCTTAATAAACTTAATGAATTCGGTTAGCTACACTTGTATGCATTGATTCACATTAAAGTTACATATAAATGTACAATAATATAAATAATTCAAATAGTAAGATAATTCTATTAAATAACAATAATAAAAATTTAATTAATTATCTTACTGTTTGCATTAGTGTGTATTTAATTGAATTCATTATAAGTTTACGTCTTAGGCGCACCATAAGCATCTGGCATCCGTTCTATCGTGTATCTATGTTGTGATACATACATTATTGGCACACCTGATATCTTTCGTATTCTTTTTTTCAAGTCTTTATCATTGGTTGCAACAATATAACACTTGTGCTGAAATAATATACAATTCAATGTTTTCTATAGCATTAGATAAATTTACTTCATTATTCAAATATAAACTCAAAATACATATTAAAAAACTGTGTTATAATAAAATTCCAATGTATTTACTTGTGTCACTCTATTCACGAGACAGTCATCTGCATAGGTTCCTTTATGCATACATTTTAATCTTTCAAAACGTGGATCTTTGATAATTTTCAATGCTAATTTGTACTTCTGCCCAAGCTTCTCCAATTCACCCATCACACAATCTGTTATATATGGTGTACATTTTGCATAGAGGCATTCCATCATATTTTGCACAATATCCAATTTGTTTTTAATAGAAAAGTTAATGAAGTTTGTATCGACTAAAATATGATATGGTGGTCCAAGTTGTGTGTTATATTGAAAAAATAATGCAGAGGATTGTTGTGGCCTAAAATCATAAATATAGTTTCATATTTAAAAAAAAAATTATAATTTTTCATAATTTTTCAATATTATGAAAAATTTATGATAATTTTTCATAATAACACACATGTGCAAATGTATCTCTGTGAAAACTAATATAAATATTGTTAAGATCGAATATAACGTTATATATATTTACGTTTCTGTAACTTTTATCTTAGTCTGATCTTCTTTTGGAGTTTTCTTGGATGGCAGTCGCTTTTCTGGTTTTCTACAAAAAGAATTTATTTCTAATATTTCTTCTGTCTATTTTTCGTAGGCATAAAACAATAACTTTCTGAAAATTGTATTTAACATAAACTTACATTCGTGAATCACTCAGACTAATCATTTTCTTCATCTGAGCAAATCTCTGCATCACAACTTTACGTGTTTTCTTATTTTTCGGCTATAATACATAATTAATTTCAATGTAAGTTTCCCATTATAGAAAATAACGAAATACAAAATATTAAGATCAAAATATAATTTCAACACTTTATATATTTAAAGTGAAAAACAACTTTTAACATATTTAATAAAATGTATGTTTTTATGAAAAAAAAAATAATTTTTACCATTATAATATATTTTTTATATATTTGTATAGCGTCCTAATATAAAAATAGTAATAATTGTTGAAGTTTATACACTCCCTCCAGTTTTTACTAATCAGTAATGTACAGAGGAATTTCTCCTAACCTAACTTGGTTCACATGTAACAAACCACGTGACTGCTTTGATTAACCATAAACATAAAATATATAGGCTGCGGTCGGGAAGACGTTCTAGATGCTTTGAAGCGTTTGATTGACCAATCAGGAGAAAAGAAGTAAAGAATTTTTAAACCTGATTGGCCAATCGCTTTAAAGTATCCAGAGCATCTCTCCGATCGTAGCCATAGAGTGTGTGGTCAGGAAATCGTTGATTGGTTGATATTACAAGAGAGAAAACTGAAAGATGTCATATAGTCATTTTTAGATGATCTTTCCTCTGTGAACATTAAAAACGTGGACATGAACTATAAAGCCAATGTCCTCGAATGTTTTCAGAGAGTAATATGTATGTCTTCTCTCTGATAATATATAAATCTATAATTTAATTAATAATTTATTATATAAAAATATTATTAGTATGTTCTCTTTCGTTTATTCATTTGTCTTCTTTTTTCTTAACATTATTTATATATTTTTATATTTATTATATTTATTTATTTAGTTCGCTAAGTCAATCTTTTAAAATGTAAAATTAAATATATTATAGAATTTAACTTTGGAAAATCAATCACTGTAAAACAATCGAATCTGTTTTTATCTTAAAATTAGTATCAAATGATCATTTAGTATTAATTTTCCCATATAAACCACAAACTATGGACAAAAGAAACAATAAACCTGTACCACCCTATTATAACGTTATATTTATGATAAATGCACGCGAAATGCGATGTGTAATTTCTTTTTCAATTATTATATACAAGTACTATAACTAGGATTATTTTTAGTAGTTACTAATGAGACCCATTCCACGATATAAAAAATATATATATACATATAATTTATACGTAATGATAATTGTAAGTATCAGCCAATTATTCCATCATTCCTCGCTTTCATTAGATTTGCACACGCATAATTCTCTTTTAAATATTATAAATAAGATAAAGATTTAGATACGTTCCAAATAAATTTATACATCTTATGTATGTAATATTGCACATATTAAAAGGTAATAATATCGCAGTTGGAATATAATCCTGGCAATATAGTGATTTTTAGATCCCACTGAAAATAATTTAATTTATTTTTTAGAATTGCGTGCAATACTTAAGAGCAAATTATTTTTGTGTCATGTGTTACCTGTGTAAAATTCCATGCACAATATTGTATTGTCTGCGATATATGAAAAACTTCATCGATGAAATAATGTGGTTGAATACAATTGAGATATAAGCGAAATAATATAGTACTTGTAATGAATAACGTTAACATAAATATTTTGTAGTTTAATTTCATGTAATTGAGATGAGATACTCATGATTATTTTAAAAATGTGCCTACAAATATCATTTAATTTCAATAGCTTCAATCAAATTAATACTATTATGTTAAATGCATCATCACAGCAGCTTGTTTTGATTAATTTAATCTAACTTAACCAATTATATGCTCCTCATTAAAATATGTAAAACTGTACGTCGAAATTTTAATACGATTAATATACTACTAATAAAATGTAATAAAATGTATGTAGTAAATTGTAATAAAATGTATTACACTAATGATTAAATATTATTTTTAAAAGCATGGTAAAATCCACGCAGCATATGCTTGTGTTTACATTCAACATCTGACTGAAGACACTGAGAGGTTAGGTTAGGTTAGATCGAAAAATTATCGTTTGACAGTTGGCATCCCTACAAGATAGGCAGTGCAAGCCCTGCACGCGCGTATATAAAATAAACTTCAAGTTGCTTCTAGCCTAACCATCTTCACACGATCGATTTTATTTTAATTGTATCGCGTCGCATCGAATTATGATGCGGCGTCGATTTGCCCGAACGTAATTCGGGACATCGCGATGCTGTATAAGCGTCGAACGAGTACGAATTGTCACGCAAATATGATAAATCAAATCGACTCACCGTTCATCGGCTGCTTCACAGGCCGCTCCATTCGCTCGCCTCGAGACGTCCCATTCCGATCTTGATGCGCACAAACTCACATGATATCATCAACGCGAACGCGCGACACTTTATTCGGCACTCCCGATACTCGCTCGTATCCGATGATCATCATTAAAAGCGCGAAATAACGCGACGCGACTTCGCTCCACCTTCGCGATGACGCCATCACTGAATACTGTTAAAAACCGCTGTCGCGCGCTTCCATCGACATATTACGAAAGTCTCGTGATCATCCTTGGACATTCTCAACACTCGTTCACTCGCGATATTCGTTTATTTACGGTTAAAAGACGCGAAAAATGCGGACGTACGACGATCCGCGTAACTGCGTATGACTCCGATTCACGTGACGTGTACAATGGCGCGAACTAACATGGCGGCCGGACCGGTGCGCATTCGTTCTGCGCATGGCCACTATTGCGCTCGACGTTCGCGCGACTTTGACTTTTGAATATTGTCTACGACTTTGATTAATAGTAGACATAATAATTAAGTCTTTTAAAATGCAAAACTAAATATTATAGAATCTGACTTCGGAAAAGCACGGAAATTGAATAAATTGAAATAATTAGCTTCATGATGATTGTTGAATAAATAATCAATTTTAATCAAAAAATTAAAATACTTTTATAATTAAATATTCCGCATTTATTTTAACATATATTTTATAATATATAAAATATTTCGGTAACGAATTATCGATAACACGGTGTTCGACTTGGCAATATAAAGTATGTAAACAGAAGCGCGCTATTAAAAAAATTATTCTTTTTTAGATACTTATGAATGTATATTATATATATGAATAGAAATTTAATTATATTATATATTTTTTTATAATGAAAATATAATGTTTTATTATTAAATTATATAAATTAAAGAAATAAAATGAAATAAGTCATTAAAATTTTTTTAATATTCCTTTCAAGAAGTAGAATTGTTAGAACTTAGGTAATTATTAAATTTTCTTTAATATTCCTGTCAAGAAATAGGATAGTAATTTGTTAGGGCTACCTCGGATGTAATGCTTACACGGTTCCGAGAGCTCAAGCGTTGGAAGACTAAGAAAGGATGCGTGGGGTTTTTAATTGGTAGGCTCCACCGTTATTTTAACGGCGGGGAGAGTTCAACACTACCCCGGTAGGACCGCTAAATAGGTCCTGCCGGGGTGTGCATAAGGAGCATTTTCCTCACGTAAAAAAAAAAAAGATTGTTAGGCGATCATTAAAATTTTTTTAATATTCCTTTAATGCTAAGGAAAATATATTAAAATTCCAATAATCTTAGGGATTAATCATCGCTAATCAGTCTTGTCTCGACTATGTAAAAATTTTTAATAAATTTTATATTATAAAATTTATATATATAATAATATATTGTATTAATACTTTTGAATAAAATAATAGAAAAAGAGACAATAATCGAGAAAATAAAAAAAGGCAACTACAATAATTTGAATATCTTAAACCTGAATGATTCGCTTGAACCTAAAATAACGTTGGTGCAAAAGAAAGTATGTCTCTTTCGAACTTATTGCACTAGTGCAGCAGTGCAACTGAAAAGAACAGACCCTACATGTTTAAAAAATTTGTCGTACGACAAATGTAATAACGGCCTTAAGCCGAGTCTACAATAGGTAATTTACTTAAGGCCCGATTGCACTAACATTATTTCAGCTTCAAGCAAAGCGTTTGATTAACCAATCAGATTTTTAAAAAATCTTAACTCCTTTTGTTTTGTTTAGTCAATGGCTGCGTTCAGCAGAAAAAGCTGCTTTGCAACTGTTGTAAAATTTGTGAGCCTGATTGGTGTATGCTCTTAATTCTGACTGAATCTAAGAGCATACACCAATCAGATTCACGAATTTTTACAACAGTGCAAAGCAGTTTTCCTGCTGAACGCAGCCAATCAAATGCTTCAAAGTATCCGGAGCGTCTTCTCGACCATAGCCCCAGTCGTGTCGCACATGCGCCAGGTAACGGCTTTTTCTTTGTTTGCGTTATATCTCCTTTGTGGCGGTCGGGGAGACGTTCCGGATGCTTCGATTGACCAATCAGGTTAAAGAAATCTTTACTCCTTTTGTTCCGATTGGTCGATTAAACGCTTCAAAGCATCCAAAGCGTCTTCCCGACCGCAGGCATATGCGTGCTAGATGGCAGTATCGACGATACCAGAAGAATAACGCCATTTTGATCGACGCAGCAGAGCTTTCGGGATCGCTTGAGAATATTGGAGTAGAGAAAAAATGCCGAAAAAATCGAATAAGATCTGGGGCTGGGGTGGTCGCAACGGCCGTGGAAATGTTCCCTCCGAGGATAAGCATTATTTTGGTAAGCTATCAATTTTCTGCTGCTTTATCCCAATTTTGTGAATCGTTTCGTCATCGCGCAACACTCGTGTGTAAGCACGCAGTATTCCCTTCAATGGAGATTCTACGTTTCATCGATATATCAGTTTATTCGGTTTAATCTATTGTATTTTTTCATGCCTCATCACTTTTTTTATAGTTGAAACTTGACATTGAAAAACAAAATAGGCACATGCTATATTGATATTATATGAATTTTACAGTATATGAATTTTCTTCACCTCTCTTTCCCTCTTGCAACACATTCTCATATTCCTTTATTTATATTATTACTTATATTATTCCATATTCATTGAAATTTTATTATTATTCATTGTGAATTTCATGTACATAGTTAACATATAATTTTTTAATATTTTTTTTTTTTATAAATTGTATGAATGAATAAAGTAGTAAAGGAATAAAATTATCCAAAGATGATGAATTAATTGAGGTAGAAGCTAAATTAATTTGCAAATAAGTATCTTAATAGAAAAATGTTTTTGTGTATGTTGAAAATATGTATTGTAATACAAATACGTTATACAAATTGTATACACTCGTTTATTTTAATTACTAAATAAAATATTAAAATACTAGAAAAAAAAGTTAGTATTTATCTTAAATCTTGTAAATTAAAGTTGTTTTCCATATGTTGTATTCTTTCATTGATTTTGATCTCTCCATCTTCCTTTCTTTCTCTTCCAATTTTTTTCTTTTTGTAGTTGGTTGTCCATTCTTCTCGTGTTTTTTCCCTGTTCCTCTCTTGCTTCTCTTGTCCTCTGGTTTAATCCGCCCTCCTTGTAAAACATCTGCATCCTTCTGCCCCATTGTGTACCGTCCCATTCTATATCACTAATTTCCCTTCTGCATTCTCTCAGTATTTCATTATCAGTCATTCCTTTTATTTTTTCTTGGTATTTTAGCGCTCTTCCTCCGGCTTTTATACTGATTTGTTCTATCTTTGTTTCTTCTAATTATGTAGCCTGGCGTGCATCTGTCTAAGCCTAATATCCATCTTATGTATCTCTCTTGAACTACTTCAATCTCCTTCCATTCTTTCCATCCCCATATTTCGACTCCGTATAAGAGTATGCTTTTGACCATGACATTAAACATAATCATTCTCCTGTCAAAGTCTTCTCCAAATTTCCTTTCGCCTATCCCCCAAACCTGTGCCATGGCTGCTACTGCTTTTCTTACTATGTCTTTTACATGTGCTTCATCATGGTGTCTTACTATGTCTTTTACATGTGTTTCATCATGGTGTTGCATTTCTTAAATGTAAATCCCAGATATTTGAACTCCTTGACTTCTTCTATCTTGCTGTCCTTCCATTTCCAGTTCCTTTCTTGCTTAATTCTCTCTTTCTTACAAAAAACCAACATTTTGAATTTATCTGCATTTAGAGTCAGTTCCTTTTCTTCTAAATATCTTTCTAGGCTTTTCAGCATTTTCTTCATTTCTCTTTCCGTCTCCGCCATCATCGCTAGGTCGTCCGCGTACGCCAAAGTGTATATTCTCCTTCTTCCCAGTCTTGCGCCTCCGTTCTGTTTTTTCTTTATAAAGTCCTCCACATCCGCAATAAATGTTATGAACAGGAGTGGGCTCAATGGGCATCCTTGCTTCAGACCTCCTTCTGTCCAGAACTCCTCTGTACATTTGTCTCCTTAAATTAAAGTTGTTAAAAAATAATAGATACTTACAATATTTAAAATAACTGTTTCACTATTAAATAGTTATTATTTTATATAATTTCAACTGTTATTATAGGCCATGATGATCGTACGGGAAGAAATAATGGACGGCCTCATGACGGAACTAGACCTCGTGTTTCCTTTAAAACACATAGACCCAATAGAGAAATACCACGTAACGCATTGCTTGCAACCTTGCTAGATGAGGATATTCCAATGACAGGCAATAGCAATAACAATAATAGACAAATAAGACAAGTAGTTGTTCCAAGAGATAGAGATAGGACATGGCAAAGAACGATTGGTCGAGGAAGAAATAGTCCTCTACCAAATAGGAATTTTAAGGGAGGCCAACCTGGTTCTAGAATACAAACACTTGCAATAGGAGAATCCAACTGGTATAAAATCAGTGTAAGTAATAATTTTATTATATCGCAATGCAATTTTATATATATATTAAAATTTAAAACATGTTTCTATTTCTGATATTACTTGTATATTACAGATACCATATGGACACAAATATGAAAAAGATTACATTTTAAGAACCTTATTAAACTATATGGCACCTGAAGTATTCATTCCCATAACGGTAAATAATCTTTTTTTTCTTTTACATTTTATTTAATATGATACATTTGATATATATTAGTGTAACTTAAAAAATTCTTAGTTCTTTATACAACAACTATATTCAGTTAGAACTTTAGAAATGAGAAATTATACAAATTTTTGTAAAGTAAAAAAAGTAAAATAAAAAGTTTTTCTTTATCAATCAATATATATATAAAATCAATATATAATAAATCAATATATAAATAATCATATATATATATATATATATATATATATATATATATATATAAAATCTTGATTTATTTTTTGATTCATGTAATTTATGATTTTTTTTGATATCATAATGAAATGTGCAATAAGAACAAAAAGTTAAAATTAAAAGATATATATTATAATGTTAACCAAAATATGTTTAAATCTTTGATACTAAATTCAGAAATTTGTTTACAGTATAAGATAATGGGAACTGAAGCTAGTTTCTATGTTGACAATTATAAGACAGCAAATGCATTATTAAATTGTGATCGTAAGATTACAATGACAGATGGTTTTAAATTACAAGTAAGAGCAAAACCAGGGGTTCCACAATGCGAGATTGATGATAAATTGAAGGAACAATTAAAACAAGCTATGTCCAAAAGATATGTTCAAGAAACAAATGCTTTGGACTTGTCAAAGTTTCATCAAGATCCTGGTAAGTCATTATAAATATAAAATCATAAATTTAAGAATAATGATATTAATTCTAAAGATTTTATTATTAATTAATGTATATTAAAAGATTACATTTAAATGTGATTTATAGATCTTGGTGATTATTTTTGTGCATTGTTTCGACCTGCAATGTTAATGACTGTGTTAGATATCGTCAGCGAACATATACCAAATTTGGAAGCCTTAAACTTAGAAGGCAATAAACTGCAGAGCATTGATAGGCTCAATGTGCTAAATAAAAAATTTTCAAACCTGAAGATTTTATACATCAGCGATAATAAAGTAAGTATAGCTGCATATGTGATTGTATATTATATTTGATTCTATCATATAACATACATAAATTATATATTATAGATCAAGGATATTCATCAAATAGATGCAATTAAAGACCTCAAATTAGAGGAATTGAAATTAATTGGAAACCCCCTCTGTAACAAGTATAAGTCTCGACAAAATGACTACATTAGGTAATGTGTTATTCTAACATAATCTTTTCTTTCATTGAGAAGCATTGAGTATTGAAAATAAACTGGTATTATTTATCAAACAATATTGCAACAATAATTATATTTACTTTCTAGAGTTTATAAAATTAAACTCATTAAATTCTTAAATTTATTTATTAACTTCAATAACAGTTATTCTCTTAATTTTTAATAACAATTAAATATATTTTTATATTTTATATATATAAAAGTGATAAGAAAAATACGTTTTCCTAATATAATTCTTAAATGTCTAGTCTTACGTAGAATTTGAATTACATCTAATGAAATGCATGTTTTCTACTAAATTATTCATATACTTTCTCTTATATTACTTAATAAAAAAGCATATCTGTTTCTGTTATTATACGATTAACATGGAATTTGCGGGCTTTTCTTTCTCGACCATAGCGACGTCCGGAAACGGTTCCCGAGACTGCTACGTCTGGTAAGTATTTTACGTACCGTTACATATATGTATGATATTTCTTCTCATGTACATGTATGAATTTCATATATAATATCATTTGAAAGGACGGCACGGAATTACCACGACCAATCGTATTTGATGTGGTTGATGATACTGCTAAAATACCATCATCACAGCGAATGTTTGTTGCTGATGCGAAAGCCCAGGAAATTGCAAGCCAGTTTTTGCAACAGTATTTCACAATATTTGACAGTGAGAGCCGTCAGCCTCTACTTGACGCGTACGATGAACATGCGTGCTTTAGTATGACAATATCCACTTCTCACAATAATAAGTAAGTTTGTTGAAAAGAATATTGTATTATTTATTAATATTTTTTTATAGCAGTTTTCTTTTAATTACTATATTGTAACAAATATATTCCTAATATCGAGTATTCGAAAATGTTTAGAAAATAAAATTTCTTTTTTGTCTTTAGGTTAAATGGATATCTCATGGAGAACCGAAACTTATTCAGAATATATGATACAGCAAGAAGGCAGAAATTATTAAAGCATGGTAGATTACCTGTAGTTTCTTTCATATCAGAAATGCCACGAACAAGGCATTTCCTGGATACCTTTACTATGGACATTGCTCTTGCTACGGTAAGTTATTATGTTGAATGATTTAAATAAATGATTTATATCTTTATATGTTAAATATTAAATAAGACAAATAGATTTATTAATTTATTGCAATTTATTTCTTGTTTTATTTATAGCAAGTAATGATGTTCATCACGATAACGGGCTATTTTCAAGAACTTGATAATAAGGAACAGCCCATACGCCACTTCAATCGAACATTTATAATTGTTCCGGAAGGCAGGGGATATTGTATTCGCAATGAACAATTACATATTAGTCAGCCGCCTGAGGCGCAATTAAAACAGTTGAACCAGCAATTGAATAGTCAACCGACGCAACCGGAAGTGTCGGCGCTATTGCCACAAACATCTACACAATCAGCAAAACCTGTAGAATTAAGTGAAGATATAAAACAGCAAATGACAATGACGTTGAGCCAGCAAACGAACATGAATTTAGAATGGAGTCTGAAGTGTTTACAAGAAACACAGTGGAACTATGATAATGCGCTCTCTGCATTTCAAGAGTTCTTTAAACGAGGTCAAATACCATCAGAAGCGTTTACGAAATAACATATATGTGAGTAAAAGAATTTATCTCTGTGATAATAATAATGTTAAAAAACGCGAACTTTGTAATATCACTCATGTTCTTTTGCTTAGGTTTCAACGCATGCATATTTTTTTATGCATCAAAATCTGAAGAAAACCATTAGGCATATTATATGGCATATAAGTGCCATTTAGAATCCGTCTTGTTTTAAATAATATTAAAAAAGGTACTGATATATACACAAAAGAATAATTTTGTTAAAAAACAAAACAGCATCTTAATATAAGAAAGAGATAAAGAGATCTTTAATTTCTTAGAAGTGATTTTTAACAAATTGCTGACATATAATACTTATACTATTTAGCAGTATTAATGAAAATATTGTAAAAATATAAATTTTTAATAGAATTGTTTATAGAATATGTTCTATCTAAAATCTCATTTCTGTTTGTAAGAAAATGTACAATAGGAAAGCAAAATATGATATATATGAAATAAATACATGTAAAATTAAAAAAAAAATTTTTTGGGGTATACATGATGAAATAATTTCTAATGAAATATTGGAAAACTGAAACTACCACAAAAAAGACTATTCATATAATTTTCATTGATACTGCTATATGGATAAATGTATGTATGTGTATACTATCATAGAATTGTTTTAAATAGAAATTATAAAAACGAAGATTATAAGTGCGTCTGATAATGAAACAAGTCGGATACTATTATATTCCACACAATTAGTATAGAAAAATATTATGTTATATAACATTCTTTAACATTTGATTATAGATATTTTTGGAATCTTCAGATTTTGATGCATAATATATAAATTAAAAAAAAAATCATTTGCTTTATAGAAAATGAATAAACATATTCATTTTATATTAAAATATGAACATTTGAGTCAGTAAGAGTTAACGTAATATTTACATAGCATAAATATCAAAATATTTTTTGGTATGTAACAAAATTACCAATAACTATTATCAATAATTATCTTTTTTTTGTAACATGCTCTTAGGCATATTGTACATTACAAGTTCTATGTATATTGAGCAATATTTTTGATTTAGGTGAAGTGTGTACAAACAAAAAAGATTATACTTCATAGTGCTTTTATACTGCCGGTTGATTTATGTTTTGTGTATGCAGAGTGACGATAGATATATTACAGAAAATTTAGAATTTAATTAAATATACACAGATAAAATGCAAATAAGATATTAAACTTTTCTTACAAAAGGAATGAAAAAAGTAGAGAGAGAGAGAGAGAGAGAGAGATCTCTTCACACAAATATACGAGACTTTGTAATTTGTAAAGAATTTTTTATAAAATTTTATAAAAAATTCTTGGCACAAAAAAATGTGTACAATGTTATATATTGTCTCTAAATATACGAAAAGAAATTTAATTTGTATTTGCTAGAAAAGACTTTTCTCTGCAATTATCTAGCGTCACTGTGTAGTTAACACAAAGTCTTTATATATAGAAAAAATTAAATAGATATATAGTTTCTTTATATATTTAAAATTAAATTTCTCAAAGATAGAATATTACATCCTTAGTCTAATAATGTACTAGATCTCTCTTATTATACGCACGAATTCATATCTACATATATTTAAGTTTGTAGTCCATAATAATTATTTAATTAGCACAATATTTTCTTTTTCTTTTTTTTCTCTTTCAAGAAAATTAAAACAGTGCAATTTTCTAAAAAATAATATACATATAGCAAACAATTTTTCTCGAAATTGTCATAGTATGGCAGTGTCGGTGCACTGTATGAATAATTTTTTATATATTTTAAATATATACGATCCTTGAATTTGTAAATTGAATGTATTGTGTATGTCAATTCAAGGAAATGCGATTACATTATGTGAGTATAAATTATTTGCAATATTTACTTGTAAATTCAATATTTTTTTTATTATTTTGCGATATATGTTAACGAGTACGCATCAGAATATGAAGTACAAAATTCATTATGAATTTTGTCTTACTGAAAATGGTTAAGATTCCACGCCAAATCACATGGAAGAACGAAGAGTCAGAAACAGGAGGAGAACTACAAGACGATATTTCAAATTTCAAATTCATGATAGATACCCTAATTTCTAACTCAAGTTTAATAGAATTGATATATGTGACGTCACCGGGAAACGAATCTGTTGCGATTTGAATCCTAAATATCAATTGGGTATCTATCGCACCATGAAGCGAGGAGCAAGAAAGGAGCGGCGCAGCTTTCATTTCATTCAAAGGACATGGACCTCCAGTTACTATAATGAGGTGAACATGATTATACGAGATGCAGCAGTTGGTCAAACAAACACATTGCAGCAATTCTACATCTTATGATATATGCAAGCAGCTTATGTCATCATGTGTCTGCATTTCATCTGTCACTTGAAGATATCCTATATGTTTGAAGAAACGGAATTAATCTTTGATGGTGTGTGATTGTATCGTTAAATGTATACTTAAATTACGTATATTCTTATTAATGACAAAAAATCGCGTAGCAGGAATATGATTATAATATTGTTTAAGCATTTGTATTTTGAAAAAGAGGATGGAAATAATTTATACTCACATATTTGTAGGCCCAATTATGACAGTTTTTTAATTAAAAAAAGCATGTAATATCTATTTTGACACTTGAATAACGTGCGCGATAGGAGGAGATATATAATCGCACATTATTATAATTTATAATCTATAATTTATAATTATAATCTATAATAGATTATACAACAAAAAACAAAATATATTCTTTTTTATGTTCTTATATGTAGCAAAAATGATTAAGGTACTTTGATTAAGTACTTTATTTTGTAAAACCTGTACATGAATGGAAGAAATCTACTTATATCATTCAAACGTTAAATATTATTGTTCTTATTTCTTATAGAGGAGAAATAATGTAAATATTTATTATTAATATTAACATATTAGGTGATAAGAGAATGTGAATGTTATATGAAGCGATGTTATATAAATGCACATCTCTGTGTATAAAGAAAGTAAATCTTTGTACGGGCAAAAAGTATTATATAGTACTAATAAAAAAAGTATTGTATAGTACTAATAAAAGAAAACATAATTTTTATTAAAAAATTAAATTTATTATTATTGTATATAATTTACAATAATAATTTACATAAATACATGTATAAAAAATCCTTTATTCAATATGTGTGATTTCCACCTTGTTCACATCCTCTGTTATCTGTAAAAAATATTTTTTACATTAATTCTTAACGTGACTAATTTATTTTAACTGCATGTATTATATGTATTGTTTTATACCTCGTTCGTCTTTAAAGCAGATAGTTCTTCATTTGTCATTCTTTTGAAAAAACCTATCTATAATTGATAATAATCAATAATTCGAAATTTTTTTATAAGAAAAGAACGAAACAAAATATAAGAACCTTACCATACTTAACATAATAATAACAATGTATAATAATATTAAACCCAACGAAACCGACACAAACACAACCCACAATTGCAGTTTCTGCATCTTTGCAGTATTATGAAATTCTGTCGTAAGATTTATATTATGTCTGTAATGTATATATTTTTTAAATCATAATATATTATCTTCTATATTTTATTACAATTAGTATAATATACATTTATTATGACGATAATACTCACATAGCAACTACGTTAAAAATCCTATTTACTGGGCGTATAATTTCAACATAAGCATCCGTGCTGAATTTTACAATCTTTGTTTCGTCCAACAATTTAAAATTATCTTGAAATAATCATAAAAAGTAAGAAAAAAATATGCGGGATAGTAGTTTTATATAGAAACTATACATGGAGAAAATATCTTACAGTACAAATTATATGAAAAATGTATTCTAACATTTATTGTAAAGTTAGAATGCAACAACATTAAGATATTTATTACTATAAAAATTGTAAATTATATACATTTGTTTGTGCAACCAAATATTTGAGTAATTATAAAATACTCCTTTCTAAAATATAATACATATTGTTGAATAAAAAATGATTTCTCTTTATATATTTGTATATTTTCCACAATTACAAAAATTATATTGTAATTTATTTTATTAATATTTTCTCCGTGTATGATACTTTCTTCTCGTTCAAGATGATTTCGTACCTTTGAGCTTTGTGGCATTGAGAATTAATTTCATCGCTAACTTGCCGACATCTTGTCGCGTTTTTAACGCACTGAGATCACAATAGACTGTTGAACAATTTATACCATATGTCGAACAGTTTAAATATATAATATCGCTTTCTCGTACTGTCAGATTATCGTTTAAAACTTCTGATTTTACCGTTTTTGCACTATACAACATTTGCAAGGTACGAGTCGCTATAGTCATACGATCGTTCACATCTCTCTTGAAATGATCATGCGCTATATTTTGTAATGTTTCATTATTATCCAAATACGCGTACAAATCAGATGTTGTTTCTCCTCGAAGCCCATTTTGTTGCACATCTACTAGATCTATCCCATTCGATATACAGTTATAATATTTTCCAGATATATATATCTGAAAATAATATTTTAAGTACCTTTGAATATATTCTTTTAAGAAAATAAGAAAATAATATTCTAACAAATAATTATAATATAATTATAATTATAATATATAATTTTCTCTATACATTATACTGTATATAAAATATACCGACCCGTGGCTTATATAAAAACACTAGAGAACCTGCATCCTCTGTGGCAGCTGGTACGTTGACAATAAGTCGCGCCTCGTCTATAGACGTTGCACCGAATTTCAATATCTGATAATTATGCTGAAACGTTATATTTAATTGATCCTTATCCAAATTAGGTAAATAATAACTTTCCTCGAACGTTTTCCTGTAAAATGATGTACCTATTATTATATAAGATATTGTTTTCTTTTTTTTTCGAAAAAATACCGACCCGTTTAATGATAAGGACACCTCGCTATATAAAGTAAGCCAAGCTTTAATTATATGCATGCCATGATTTACACTACGAGTTCGTATTTCCATAGAGAACTCTAGAATATGTCCGTGCAATGAACTATCGGTCAAATGTTTCATATCCAGATCCAGTTTTACAATTTTCTGTAGAAAAAAGAAAATGATACCAATAAATTTGAGAAAAAAATTCTTTATCTTTTTCCCTTGTAATCTTGACACGCATTTATTCGAAATAATCGACAAGATGAGCGCTCTATTTTTATTGTCGATACCTGTTCATTCATTCCGAACGGATTACCAATGTTGCAAATAACTATCAAGTTATCTCCGTCTGTATCCTCTTCGCAAAATGGTAAAATACTACGCAATATTATCCCCTCCGGGAAGATAAATACAATTGACGTAAGATATGCCGGTTCAGCTCGATTCTCCAAGTGTATTTCCAACGTGATATCATCAGAACCGATCACCCATGAATTATTCTCTCTATTTTATATTTTAATAATATATCATTATCAACATGTGAATCGTTATTAATAGGTAAATCACTTCGATAAATTTGTTGAAGAAACTTAACGTTACTTGCCTGACTCCCTGGAATTGAACTATTGCAGATATATTGGAATTGCAAACTCTGTCCTCCCCGCATCCAATGTCGAAGGGAAGTAAAAGAGTTTGAGTGTTTTTACCATTCTTACTTTCAATGGGACATATTTTGCAGAATTCACTCGTAGACGAGTCGTTATATATAAAATCATGCGTCGCATAAATAGCGATCGGTTCAATGAAATCTTGAATATTATCCTGCAATGTGCATTTCGTAAAAAAAAAAAAACGATATTATTAAAACAATCATAAATGAATGAAATTAAATGTATAGATTTGAATGTGATTAGAATGTGATTTAATACCAAAAGTGTAACACTGGTATTCATACACATATGAACGGGAGGCTCCCTTGAGAGCAATTCCAATAAAGTTTTCTTGGTACGTTTGTATTTCTTGTCCACAATAAGGGAAATCTTAAAAGCTATAAATTATAAAGTGAAACATATATACATATATAGTAATAAAAAAGAAACAATATTATAATAAATTTATATTAATATTTTATAATTATATTAATATTTTATAAATATATTATTTTATACCACGTGTATTCGCCATGTCGTAACCGTGATAATCAACGCATATCGTAATCAAAAAGTCACTGATGTTTCTTTGTAAAATAATCGGAATAGTGTAAATGGTTAAATTTGTTTTTACAACGGGTTTACTCCGAAGTACCACGACATGTCCTGATTTATAGGCACCTATTGCGATGTCTGCATACCTGAATAATAGATGTAGACGTTGCAAATAATTAAATATGAAAATGTAAATGAATCTAAATATGATTCAACTTTAAAAAATTCTTTTTTAAGTATATAAATTTATATTTTATAGATTTTTTTCAAAACATAATTCACAAAAAAAACATATAAAGTTGCATAATAATTTACTAACCCATTGTTGTCTATATCGATTGGCTCGGATATTGAAAATCCAAATGTTCGTATGTTCATCAGAACATTATGACCATGTGATTGCATAGCGATCCTTTGCGATACGAGAGGTCTTACTTTGTCCTTTAAACTTGCGTCGCCATTATAAATGTAAATTACTCCAGATTCCTCCCAAGGTGCACCCACGATAATGTCTAGAATTCAACAAATAGCGTATCATTGGGGAAGTGATTTCAACAATTTTAATAACAAGTGCAATTAATGTTAATAATCACCGCTAAAACCATCTCCGTCTAGATCGCCACTCGCCACCGCGTAACCGAATAGCGCATCCTCGATGGCGCCTTCTAAAATCGCAACTGTCTCAAATTCTTCCTGTATAGCATCGGAAAAATTTGATACTCGTTTATATTTAGTATTTGTAATAATTAATTCTCAAGGAATCAATAATTAATCTATTTAAAAGTCGAGATAAAATACTAAAATATCCTCGTTTGAAGAAATCTTGGATTCGTGTATACAATAATGAAAGTTTACCTTCGGACTACCCAAGTACACGTGGACTCTGCCGTTATCGGTTCCCCAATGCGGTGCTCCGATCACGAGATCGTGGAGTCCGTCCTTGTTTAAATCACCCGTAGCCAAACTCGCTCCGAAAAATTCGCCAATGTCAGTGCCCGAGAGACGAGCGACCATAACATTTTTATCCGGATTAATTATAGCGACCTATTGTGCGAAAACAATTGTCATAAATATCTTTCGTTCTAGAGCACAGAGTATAAATAATGTTTTACCTGTCCTACGTAATCCCATCCTGGATCTGTGCAGACATAAAGAGATCGATTTCGATTGAAATAATATCCTGATGTTATCGCGTAGCCTATACAAAAAAATGTAGTTTAATTAAAATTCATCATTCATTGCACATACATAACATACATAAGAAATTCATTATGTATAGAATTCATACCAAATTGCGATAAATCATCATTTATTGATATAGCCACAGTTTCCGTGTACGGAAACTGAACAAAATTGCGTCTCTTGAAACGTGCTATGTTGATGCTACCAGTGACATCCTCATTGGGTCTTCCTACGATACGAGTTATCACTTCTTCATCCTGATGATTAAATTACTTTGTCATTAACATATACATTTAAGAAATATTAGTAACAAGTTTAGCAAAATAATAATTTTATATTGTACGAAAAATGAAGATATATTAATAAAAATATATGAAATTGTAATATAATAATATCGTTAACATACCCGCGATGATGCAAAGGCAACAGAGAAACCATGGATTGGATCAAACCATATATCTCTGCTGTAATCTAATATATTTAATATTAATAGTTTTTTCAAAAAATATAATATGATATGTTCTGTAAAATTATTTCTTATGTATATAAAATACAAAATGTGACGATGGATAAAAAGATTCGGCTAAAAACGACGAAGAAGAATAAAAGACAACAGAGAAGTAAATACCATAATGTTCAATTTCAAACATTTCCGCATATAATTTTGTCGACAATATATGATCGCTGTAGCACATGCCCTGCATAGTTTCCACGTATTTACTATTCCACGTATTCCTGAGTATAATATTCATAACTGTTCGTGGTGCACATATCTATAAGATAAATAATTAAAAACCATCGCATAAAGATAGGATGTATATTAGAATTCTTTTAAGCATTTTTATTTTTCTTTATACCGTAAGGAAACCGCTGTCCCTTTCTATCGACATCGCGCCGCCAAACCAGGATTGTTTCTTCCTTATAAGTCCGCGCGTTTTAAGTTGCCGTATATATATTTCTTCATTCTTGATAACAGCCGGTTCAATCTCTGTACATGGACCCGGCAAGCCACATCGATAAACCACCCCGGGTTCATTTAGAAATTTTAAGCTTATTCGATCACGCGATGATCGCGTATAATTTCCACGGGGTGCTCCTATGAACAACCTGTTAAAATAAGATAAATATGTTTTTATATGGTTCTATAAAAATAATAGAAAATACCTTATAATTATTAATTATAAAGATTGTAATCAAGGTTGAAAAAATTATATTACAAAAGTGACCCACTATTATTATTATTATAAAGATAGACACATAGATATAAAAAAAGTATATCTTTAAATCCTCTTAAAATTATTTAATTATTTGTCTCTTATATCTTACTTTTATTTCTTTTATAACATCATTTTATTTTCACAAGTATATATATGAATTAATATACATTACCATGAAGAATTCTTCTGCGAGTCATGATGCAGCAGCACCGAGAAACCGAAATAACTGCGTTCGAATCTCGTATGCAAATATTCGTCCGCGTTAGTCGCACTATTTGGATATAATATTGGATGATTTATATCGATGTTATACGCAAACACAATTAAAATATTGGACATTAATATGAATCTCATTATTATCGCAATAAAACACTCAATTTATGAGCTCCTATAATGAAAATAAATAATAATTATGTAATTATGTGTACATTTGAGATACAGCAAATTGATATAAAACTTTACTAATTTTTTTTTAATCTTCTTAATAACTACATGACAAAGACGTATCAAAGAAATAATATAAGATTATTTTTTATAACATATATATGTGACTGGATAGCACAGAACTTAGCAAACAATAGTATGACTTGTCATTGACTAATGAAATAGTATGACTGTGCCATCAGAAGAACAGGAAGGATGATGATAAGACAATCATCACAAGTTTCATTGGGCTATTCGTCATTCATCAACATTAATAGAAATTCTTATTTTATTATATTATATATGTGTATGTGTGTGTGCATGCATATATAAAACATATATATATATATATATATATATATATATATATATATATATTTATATTTATAATCGTTATTCGTGCATTTATTTTTTTTAATATTTATGCAAATGTTATTTAACTAATTATATATTTTAAAATACATTTGAAAATAAATTAACTAATAAGCCAAATAAACTAAGATAAAATAATTTAGCATGATGTAATAAACATAATATATATATATATATATATATATATATATATATATATATATATACACAATGTAATAATAATATTTACACACTAATATATATATATATATATATATATATATATATATATATATATTCATAATATTTTAATCAATATCATAAATAAATCATATATGTGTTGAATGTGTATGAATTATATAGCTATTATATAATTATATATAAGCTATATTTATATTATATATTATATTACAGATAAACTATATTTTTCTTTGCCCTGAAAAAAATAAATTACAATATACTGACTCGACTTATACTTTAAAAATATTTTAACTTTTAAGAAAAAATCATATTTGTTGAATAGGCACGCGCGTGATAATCTGACAAAATTATTTGATATTTCCTCATCAAATGATTCCTCTTTGTTTAAAATAAATTTCCTGTTCTTTTGCCGATCGTTCGTAGAATTTATTTCTTGGATCTACTGCAGGCAATATTGGACACTGTAAATCAAATTAAAGAATTTTTATAATATATACTATGTGTATGTGTGTATGTGTGTGTGTGTTTAATGAAATGTAATATGATTTGTAGCAGATAGTTTGAATGCAATAATGATAGTGTTAATATAAGTTAAATAACATACTCCTGAATCCTTTCGTAATTCTATTGCTGTTGTCATTTCTTCATTCAACTTTTTCTCTCTGTCTCCATGACTAGGATGTGATGATATCCATGGTAGCTCTGGAGGAAGCAAATGCATTTCTGTAAGCGTCCTCATTGTAGCCCAAAATACAACTGCTTCACGAATATCAATACAAGCCTGTAAAGAATGTACATATTAATTATGAATAATAATTAATTTTTAATAGTATTTAATAAGCAATAGTATAAGTTTTAAAAGATAATGTTAAATTATTACATTATTAAAGTATAACATTACATACCTTTGCAGCCAATTTAAGTCCTACTTCATCAGCTTCATTCTCCAAAACTCTACTATATGGAAGATTATACATAATATTGATAATTCGTTCTCCTATCATGTGAATTATAAAAGCCGTTACATCGGGAAATAATGCCCAAACTAATAATATGGGTACTGCTATTAAAAAGTCCCACAATAACTGATCAGACAATGATTCGAGCTGTTTAAACAGAAATTAACAATTATAATTTTATTCCACAGAAAATATATTATTGAGATTTTATAGTATTACTTACTGAATGTAAAAGCAATGAATGAGCCATTTCATGAGCTAAAACAATAGCCAATTGATCATCATTTTCTATAATTTTTAAGATATCTAAGGAGACAAAGATATTTCCACCCTAAAAAAGCACGAAAGTAATAAAATGAAAATAGTACCTAAAAATCTATTGGATGTGTATATTAGTACATAATATTAATATATTTACTGGCAAAATATACGAGTTTGATAGTGGTGTATTAATAACAGTTAAAGTCCATTCTGTATCTCTTATTGACTTCAAATCTTTATTAGCTACCAAAATTTTTTCAATCACCCTTAAGAGTCTCTTGTAAGCTGGATGAGTCTTTGGTACCAAGTCTTTTTTATGAGCTTTTAAATGCTGAAATAAGATTATATTATATAATATAAACTGACTATATTATATAATATAACTTGAGAAATATTTTTAAATAATACCCTCTAAATCTTTATTATATTTTTTAAATTGTATTTTTTATATTTACAATTTCAAGAACCATCTGCCCTAATTGTTTCTCCTGTTCCTTGTTAAAGATTAGAAATCTCGAACGTTTTGTTAATGGATCAGTTTCGAGATGTGTTACATAGTAAATAAATAATATAAGGCCATACAGTCCAAAACAACCTTATAAACAATTTCAACAATGAATATAATGATACATAAAAATATTATAATATAAAGTTATTTAACATTCGTATGAATTACCTAAAATTATATTGCTCCTATCTTTGACCCATTGTTTGTATTCCTCCTTTTCTTTCTCAGATTTGCGTGTCCACCATTTCTTTATCCCACGTCCCATCAGGAACGCACCAACGCGTAAAGCAGGACGTAAAATTATAGCAACAAATGGTGGAATATACAAGCTTTGTGTAGTGTGAAAATAGCATTTCTGCAGTAGTAAGCATTGTAATTTCCTACAGTCAACTGTACTTTGACTGGGAAGATTTTTACGCTGCCAGGCACAACAGTGATTTCTTATAGGACGAACGAGATTGTTCGTTGCACTTCGCTGAATGTTTCTTTGACACAAATTCCTTGATAGAATGAACAACATAATCTAGCTTTCTTTAGTCCATGTTGACTCAAAAACTTAAAAATCAGTCTGGTCATTAACTAAGTAAAGATATAAAAGTATGAAAGTATAAAATATGAAAATACCAAAAAAGGAGTCCTCTTGGAAAGAAGTTAAAACACGTGTTTTTTACTAACACGTTCGATCCCGTCCAAGGGACAAGGGATAACAAACTTCAATATAATCTATAATGAAAATATATTAAAATAGGAGTCTGAGCCCAAGTTGTATGTTAGTTAATTTACCATGAATGATCATTAATTTTTACTATTTATAGAGCATTTAAGAATATGTAATATTTGCATATGTAATATTTATTTTGTATGTAAAATATGTAACTGTTTCAGTTACATCATACATATAATGTAAATATTTACATAATCATTGAACATGAACGCAATACATATTAGAAACACTTTCGCATAATCATTTTTCATATATTTAGAGAAAAAATAATCTGAAAGATATGGCTGCAAATCTGTTCTTCGTTTTGAATTGACCAATCAGCACACATGGCAAAGTATTTCTTCATCCCAATTGGTCAATTAAAATTAATACCCTTCTGGCTCAAGAGAGAGTGAGAGAGAATAAATTTTCGAACAGACTCTAATCTATCCAATGTTCATTGTTCATGGTCGTTTAATGTCCAGAGAACCGCGAGTGTTTAATTATTTTTATAATTTATAATAAGTTACACACGTAAACGACTGAATTAGTGCTACGAATCGCACTTGATTATAACTTGATTATGCTAATTTATCTTGTTATAAACGAAAAATTAACAAGTTGATATGTCTTTATTGAAAGAAAACAAATTTGACTGCCGGTTAGTTTTTTATACTTACAATTAGTATATAAAATAATGAACAATTAAATATAAGCTCGCTTATAATATAATTAAATAACTTCTTTAAGTGATATATTTTAGAAGAGAAACATATATTTTATGATATTTTAGCAGTAATACAATAATTTTAATTATAGGGTTAGTTCGGTGCTAAACAAAAATGTTCGATCTTACGGAAAAAAGTATATGTTTGATAATTCCAATGAAACGTGTTGGAATTCTGATGCAGTAAGTAATTAAATTTTTTATAAGTTAAGTCTCTCAAAATAGATATAATAAGCAATATATTGTAGGGAAGTCCACAGTGGATTGTTATTAACTTTGAAGAAGAATGTAATGTTTCTAATTTTGAAATAGAATTTCAAGGTGGATTTGCTGGCAAAGATTGCCATATAGAGGCTGGCAATGATGAAAAAGATATGACAGTTGTGGAAGCATTTTATCCAGAGGATACAAATAAACTACAGCGTTTTAACTTAAAGAACCGGATCAAAGCCAAGACTTTTAAATTTGTGTTCAATCAAAGTACTGATTTTTTTGGCAGAATTATTATATATAATTTGTCATTATATTCGTGATATCAAATATCTGATATTTTTACAATATGTATAAAAGATATTTACACAAATATCACAATTAGTGGTCAGATCTATTTTATTTAATTCTGGAATATATATTATACATTTTGTTTTCTGTTTAATGAGGAATAATAAGTATAAAAACTCTTTTTGCATATATTCATTTGTTTAATTGATTGTATAAAGATTAATTAAAGTATTTCATTAAATTATATGATTTATTCTAATTACAATTTTTTATTTTTTGGTACTGTGGGTTATTTTTTTTTAACTATTTTAATTATTATACAATAATAGCTAACATATTGTACATATAGTATATATAAATAATAACTACAAATTGATAAAAAAAGAGATTATTTCAATGTTACAAAAGAATGTCTACTACTATGTAGTTTTTCTTATGTCATGTTTACAATTGGTTGAGCATTGGCTGGTCGAGCTGAAAAAGGTAATACATAAATATTTTTTATAATATATTTGTTTGCATTTATTTAATTTTTATAGTTATTAATCATTAATCTTACTTGCACAGGCTAAAGGCTGAAATTTGATATCATCGACAGCAAAACCTCCATTACTTGCACTTCCTTCAAGAATAAGTCGATATGGAGTTCGCGCTTCGATTGTCACTTGAGCTGACATCCATACTGGCCGCGGATTGTTCAATCCTTTAGCTGTCAATGACCATAACTACAACAGTGAAATGACAATTTCAAAACAAAAATGTTCACTCCATTTCATAAAGGAATATTTGTGTATCTGATAGTTGTAAAATGTAAAGAGTGATAAAAATGATTTAAACATTTTTTTCTCAAGAAATTCAATTATATAAATTCTATTCAATTTTTCAGTTTTAACGCTTGTACCGGTTGTTCCTGTTCTTCCTCGTTCTCCTCATCAGTCTTCTCACTCGGCATCTTGATTATTCGTAAAGCAGTGGACTCTTCCACACCAAAGGCAGCGAACCAGAAAGTGAAACATATAAACTCCTCATCGGGCGAAGCATCAATGACGGGCGATCGTAACTGAACTTTTGTAGATTGCTTATTCGTCGTGAAAATATCGAAGAAAACGAAATCACCTGTCGCACCAAAGGTCTTATCCAATAATTGAGCCGGTCTATGAGTTTGAAACGCACGCTGCCACATCACAGCTCGGTCGTTATCAGAGACAGTTATGTTCTCCCATCCGCATAAATCTTTTTCGAAACTACAATCCTCTGCGCGAACGACTGCACTCAATGGTTTTACTGCATGTATGTAAAACATAGAATTAATATTTAAAGTAAAAAAGAAAAATATAAAAGAATAGTATTGTATGCTAACATTAATTTTAGAAGAAGGAGAAGAAAAAAATAGACGTGAAAAAGAAGATAAAAATATTTACCGCTGCAATTGCCTGTATAAAAGGAGATGTCATCGATTCCTATGCTACCACTTGCTCTATTCGGACCCCATATGCCTTCAAACACGATATTGAAGTTCGTATTTTCATTTATGTTAGTCTGAGCATAGTTCCATGTGGGTCCTTGATTGTTGTATAACTGCCATATCGGTTTAGCTTCCTTTGAAGTATCGCCGACCGCTTGCACGTACAATCGCAAGACACCTATAAAATTAAAAAGCATATATTGCCCGTTTTTACAAAAAAAGAATCACATCTTTATAAAAAGTAATAGTCTTTTTAAATAAAAGGATCAATCTATTATACATTAAATTAAAATTTTAGCTTTTTTATTTCTTTTATGAAGATAACATTATTAGAAATTTTTATAAAAATTTAAATTCTCAATTCTTAAATAAAATAAAACGAAGATAAAATCGCGAAGTTTATATACTTATGACGAAAATAAAATAAATTACAGTAAATCAATTTTATGATTTTAAAAAAGGAATTTAATTTTACCGAAAAAATATCTCTTAATTTTCTCTATTAAAAACAATCTCAACTCACCTAAACTAGGACCCGTAGAATCGATGAAAGGCTCGAACATAAAGTACCAGAATGTAATGCAAAGTGGTTCTTCGGAACCTTTCATCTCTCGACTGACTAATTGAGCAGTACCACCTCCGGACGATCGTGACGCACCCCGAAGACGTCCCAGTCCTAGAAAGAATTCGTTGCGTCGATTAACCGTGTGTCCGTTGCTATATGGTTTCCTCTGATTTCTCGGACCCAGCACCTGAGTGGATACTCTTTCCCACTCGACACGATCCGGATCGCGCGAATTAATCCAATCGCATTCGTCGACCTCGAAAGTGCAATCCCGTGGTATCGGTCCAGCTACTTGCGGTGAAACTTTCAACCAACATAGAGTATTAGAAGAAAATTGCATAGGGATTGGAATTTAATTTTCGATCATCAAATGACATAAATTCAAGCAATCTATTCAAGAACTTACCAGGGCAAGCACCTGGCCCATATGAAATATCATCAATGGCGATATCTCCCATGTCGGTATTTCCTACCGAAGCTTCGAAAATTAGTTGAAAATCATCGAGGGAACTGATTGTGACTTGCGACATAAACCAGGCATTGCCGGCATTTCCAGACAGACCCCAGATCTCTTGAGGCTGCCCGTTTGAGCTACGAAAGTGACGTAGAAAAAGCTTCAGGTAGCCTACTCCGGATCCGAACATGTGAAACCAAAAGTGCATACACATCGGCATATCAGCGCTAGTTGCCGGAAAATTCGAGCTTATCAGTTTTGCCGTATCACCGGGTCTTCGAGGAAAGCTGGAGTCAATAAAAGCATAACCACCGGCTGTGGCACGATCACTAGAACTGTCCATTGCTGGTCCGGTCGTGGGATTTCCGCTTCCGCGACTCTGAAAATGTGCTTTGTCGAGGTATTCTTTTTTTTCTTTTTTTTTTTTGAATTTAGCAGTACAACTCACTATAGTCCAGTCAAAATCATCTTCTGCATCATTGTTCCAGTCGCAGAAACCACCGGCAAAATTGCAGAATCCAACACATGACGTACCAGGTTGCAAATCTATATCATCGATAGCAATATATCCACGATAAAGACGTGACGGATCCGTAGAATCCACTGGAACGCCTTCAATAATCACCTAATTGTCAAGATTTTGCCTGAGATTTACAGAGATATTTATAATAATAAACTATAACACGAAACACTTAAAATAGACATAAGAAGAATTACATTTTAAAAAAGGGCAAAAATTCGGTAAATTTCTAATATGTGAATTTGACAAACGCGTGATATAATTCTGACAAAATATAACAAAAAAAATATGTAAATATAATATATAATATATTTTTGAGTAAATTTGAGTATTTTTATAATTATTTTGTATTAATTTACTCGTCAAACTATCACATTTTGAATCTTCATATCATTCGAATAGCGGCTATAAAAATTAACCATAGCATTTCTTAATATTTATTAATTAAATTTCTGACTTAGAATTGAGTTATAATAATATACCGAATGTATTTCAGGATAAGTGTATAATATTTGAGCCTGCTGCCATACTCCGAGCGTATAATACTGTGCATGCCATAATACGCGCTCTTCCACGACTTCTACTGGTTCACAAGGTTTCGCTGTTGTGATATTATCTATTGGCAATTCTTCGGTTTCTTCTTTCTTAAATGAAAACTCGTCCACTCCGACGTGAAGCAATATTCGCAGTCCTGCAATGCTGAGACCATCCATGGTATATTTGAACATGAAGCAGGTACCAGCGACTCCAGTGCTGCCCAACTGTGGACTATGCAAAAGACCTCCTGGACTTTTGAACTTCAAATCCCTTGAAGATACTTGTGATGTCTCCAGAAAGGCGTATCTAATACATTAAGCCTCAAGATTATTCATTGAAATGTTAAATAGAAAATGCAAGAAAATTGTTACATCTCTTCACTACAAAAAGAAAAGTGTATAATGGTATGTGAAAAAAATATGATTTATTTCTAATATAATTTGATATCAAGAAAAATTAATTTTTTTTATATTTCTGTTATATATTTCTCGAATAGCATTTTTTTCAATAATATTTTATAATAATAATATAAATAATAATATATGTAATAATATATTACCCTCCATCCATAGTGCTGCTCGTGCCATCGACCGATGGTCCACCCAACCAGTTTGTACCCATTCCGGTACCCGGAGTCCAATCCAAAGCGCCATTACCATTTTGCCACTCGCAAAGTGGCATTGATGGAACCGGTCCGAAATCGCAGAAGACTTCATCAACGGTGACCGTTGGAGGTGGTATGGTAACCGTAGGATATCTTACAAACAAAATTACAGATACGAGACTATTTTATATAATTTTCTATGATTATTATTATTGTAATTAATATTATATAATAGCTTGTAAACTATAGTGATTTCATATTCTTGAAGCATGATTTTCACACACATAGGAAACCGCTTCTTTTCCATATTTGCTATTCACGCCTAAATATATCTGAAATAAATATCTTATTGCTTAGATTTTTCTTTATGACGCTTAAAAACCTTGCGGAAGGATTTCGTTGTGCCAATGTTGTTGGTTGCGGATATTTGGGTGATAAAGATGTTTCCGTGGTAAAAGGCGCTGTACTACGAGTGGGTAGGATATCCGGTCTTCCTGGCCATTGCCTGGGTTCGATGCGCTCTACTTCGTCCAGTGGTTCGCGATCGCGATTGATGGAATTGATGACAGAGGCTTGACCCGAATCGACGCCGGACTCTGAGCCATTGAAATCTTCATTGTTCGCGGTATTTCTCATCCAATCGGAAGTCGCGTTAACTGTGCCGACGAGATCGACTTGTTCTCCGAGCATAGCATTTAAAGTAGCCGGAGAATACCAAGTCATACTCCACGATAACGGATACAGCCAGCAGTTCAATAATAAAATCCACCACATGTTCGGATATGATTGCACTATTCGAATTCACTTTGTCTATAAAGTTAAAATCATCAGGGTTCAATTTGTGAAATTCTCTTTCTTGACAATCTAGAAATTCGATTTTAAAATACAAAAAAATTACAGTTTAAAATTTAACTTACGTTTTAAAAATTCTAAAGTAATTATATATGTACGTTTTTTTATATTTTTTTCTTTTTTTATGATTTAATTATCATAAATTAAATATGTAATTATACAAAGTGAATTTTTTTCTTGCGATTGCTCTTTCAATTTATCTATTTTTCGGATGTATATGCGTACATATTTGATACATTCATCATAAATTGTTTTTTATTTGATCATCAGGAATTTCAAAGACCATCAACAATGATTTTGACATGGAATTCAGATGGCAGAATTTGTTCGCTAATACACCTATATACAACGGAATTGTATCGCACGTGAAATATGATAATGCTTTAATGCGTCGAATATCAAATAATCGGAATAAATGATCAACTGAAGATAAATCGATGAATTAAACGCCAAAGGTGAAACCATAATTCGCAAGCTTTACTCTAAATATGAAAAAAATAGATCTTACTTATAGATTTTTTATTTTTATATCAAACTCTTCGAGAACCTTTTTAATTTCACTGTTACGAGCAAATGTTCGGATGGCACTGACAACTGGCAGAGTGATACCTATACAAACGAGATGCAAACTGTAGGATTTTTCAGGACCGCGGCACGAAACGAAGCGGTATATCCATGCAGTTCCGGCCTTAGCTTCCGGTCGTTACGCTAGTATATTCGGGGTCTGTTCGTCGCGATAACCAGTCAAACAATGAAATTCCATCGAGGCAGAGTGCCGTAATAATGTCGAGATTCAAATCTGCCAGTTTCCACTAGCGGTAAAATTGGTTCCGCATATCGCTTTCGAAATGATGGATTTCCAATTACTAGGCGTAATATACGTTCAATCATTCATAGTTTAATTTCTTCCAAAGGATTATAATTAATGCACAAAGCATCATTATTTAAAATAACAAAGAACTTGCGCGCAACGCATACATTGTGCTATATATTATAAAATATGAGAAGTTATTTTTAATTTAGAGAGTCGCATAATACAATACATAAAGTCTCAAAAAAGATATTAAAATATCACAATAATATGTCATTTAATTGAAATACAAGGGTTTCTTCACGTTCCTATAATTATGTCCAAAAATTAGTTTTTTTTTTAAATATTGCAGTATACATAATATTAAGAAACATTAATGCATTATTAATAATATAACAAAGATATAATTTTATAAAAAGAGACAGGAAAATTTTTGGCCTATATAAAATATAATTGACGCACGATAAGAAGCACTTTTAAAATTTAATATTAGTCATTTAACGTGTAATTTCAGGTGGAGTTCAAAAGCTCAATCAATATTTAGTCATTTAATGTGTAATTTCAGATGGAATAAATTTTTCCTCAAGAATTCATATATCAAAATGTCGATCGCGATGAATTCAGAAATTTTAAGAAAATGTGCGATCCAAAGCTTTCGCGTTCTCTTTTAGCGAGATTAATACTACGTCCGAGATTTAAGTATACTCGAACGACATAAGGAGCAAGAAAATGGCAAACTACGAGCTGATCAGTACGGGGTCGGGACGAACTTTGTTTCCTCAACATTTTCGATATCAGATTAACAATGGATGCCGATGTCTGTTGTGGTAAAGGCCGCGGTGGGCTGTTGAACACTAATTTCGTAATTTCCTCTAGATTCTGAAATAGTAATCGAGAGAAAGGAATAGATACAATATATTATAACAATGCAAATATTTTATATGAAAATGTTCTGTTATTCTTTTCTATTCTCTGAAAATGTTCTTTTATTCTTTTCAGAAGAAATATCTTTTTATCATAAGATAAACGTAAAAGCTAAAAATACTTTATGCACAATGTTACATAATACTACTTTATCTTGCAATTAATCAATTTACTGTACCGTAGCTGGGAATGGAAGTCTCTTCGTAATCATTTCGTATAGTATAACGCCCATGCTCCATATATCACACTTAAGTTCGTATGATTGTACAGTGAACATTTCTGGAGCCATATAATAGTAAGATCCTGCGTGACAAGTTATTGGATCTCTACAAAATAGAAAATAAAAAATACATTATATACGAGAGATGAATGAAAATAAGAAGAAATAAAATGAGAGATTATTTCAGATGGATAACTGTGCAAAAATTAAATTAGCAGACAATTTAAAAAGGGCAGTGTGTTTAATACACGTTAAAAAATTAATATTTGTCAAAAAAATAGATAAATAAAAATATATTTTGTTATAAAATTGACTTATCGATGCGTACTCTTGGATACTTTTTGCGAGACCAAAATCACCGATTTTAACGATATCTCCACGACTTCCAGTCAACATGATATTTTCTGGTTTTAAGTCTCGATGAAGAATTTTGTTCGAGTGGATATGATGTACTCCCAAAGTAACTTGTGAAAACAAGTATAGTGCATCCTAAGAAAAAATATTCGATACATTTTCCACAATTAATACAATTGGAGAAACACAAAATAAAAAATTTTTGAAAGACGTTTTTTTGATTATCGCTATAATTATATCTATTTATAGTTACCTCTTCTTTAAGTGGCTTTTCTCGTTTTTCCAGCAAATCCTTGAGAGTACATCGAGTTGCATATTCCATAAGAATAAAACTTTGATTATTTTTCTTCCATGCTCCATAATAAAATACTATATTTGGATGTCTCAATCTTTTCAGGCATCGTATCTCTGCTAATGCTCTCTGAATTACGAAATAGATGTCGAATTCTGTATTTTATCCAAATAAAGAGATCGATATTATGTGCAGTTATATACCTTGGAAGGCGAATATTTGATCGCATCTAAATCCTGTGCTTTTATAACAAACAGCTTTAAATCTTTCTTTCTTCTCACCAGGTATACCGTTCTAAAACATATATCTATTTATTTCGTAAAAGATAAAATTGATTCGATTATATATAGTTATATCTACATTAAATAAAATAAATTTCCATACAGCACGTATATATCTCCCGCATTATACAAGAATTCAATATTATATACCCAAAGGTTCCTTTGCCGAGTATGCTTTCGAATGTGTAATCGTCGATGTATGGATCCATTTTCACTTTCACACAAAATGAAAGAAACTTTAAATTATTTTATTTAAGGCAAAAGTGTGTGGAAATATTTCACCTATGGCATGTAACTCCTTATTGAAGGACTATTCAGTTTGTTTTGATAGATCATGTGGACGAAAACATTTCTGTTTAGCTCAAACAGAAACATACGCAAACATTATGACTTTCCTAATTTAAACAATAAATTTATATGTACTGCTTACACAATATGTATAGAGTAAAGCTATGCTTCTATCAGTTTCAGATATATATAATAAACAATAAGGTTGAATAAATACAATTTATATTAAAATAATTAAAAATTAAAAGACTTATGTATGGTAAAGTTTTAGTATATTAGTATATTTTAGTATAACAAAAATTTTATTCTTCAATTATTCGATCTTTAGTTTAAGAAAATTTCATTCCTGGCTTGTGAAAAATATTTTATGATAAAAAAAATCAATTCATTTATAATTTAAATAAAAAGTCAAGATATTAATATTTAAAGTTATTTATATAATTAATTATAAAGTTAAATTTTGAGAAATTTATCATTTATATGAAAAGCCTATTAAATTAAGAGGATGGTTATATTAAATATCAATAAATTAGAATTTTATATATATATATATATAGATGATATTTTTTTATTCTTGGTTTTTTTACAAATGCAATGCCGATTCTCTAAAGCATTTTGTGATCTAAACTATATTAAGAAAAAACATTACAATTATCAAATAATATATATATATGTATATATATATATATGTGTGTGTGTGTGTATATATATATATGTACATATATATATATATATATATATATATATATATATATACACATATATATATATATATATATTTTTTTTTGTCTAAACAGATTGCATGGCTTTATAGATGATAAATGTCAAATTCCAGAAACACGGAAAAATATATATAACATTGATTGTGATGAAACATGATTTTTATAACAAAAAAACTAAGAAGTTTTTTTCAACAGTAACAATTTCGGAATGATAAACTATTTTGATCAATTTATAATATGAAGATATACTGTGAAACCAAAAAATAGTTACACAGTTACTTTATGAGTGTTAATAAAGCGCCTAACGATTGACATATGTATTCTTTAAAAAAATGCTATACATATGTTATTGTATAGCTGTGTTGAGAGACGATGAAATCAAGACAAAGAGACAAGATAAAAAGGACAAAACCAAATAGTGATTATTGCAACATTTACTTGAGAAAGCAAATCACCTTATGCCCTAGCACAATACGGGATTAGATGATACTGCAATATATAAATGTAATATATATTTATACTCTGATATTTTTTGAACTTTGTCGTTTCCGACTGCATTTCAAGAATTGTTAATAGCACTGTTACTAGATTCTATTGTATTGGCGCCATCGCTTCCGGCGGATACGCGTGATTGCTTCAGGCTATCCAAATACTCCTGTTGCGAAGTCGCCAGTACTTGTGAAAGTATATGGCTGTCTTCCCAATCTGTCAAGCCTAGGAAATTGGAAAAATTCACGACAGTTATAAAACTCGTATCTATATATATATTTATATATATATAATTTTTTTTTATATATCAATTAACTTAAATATTTACCAAACACTTCAGGAGGAAGGCGATTGAACAATGAAATGTCGGGTGACGCATTCACTTCTTTGCTACTGCCCGGTACAGGCTCCTGCGACGTCTTCACTTCAAAATCTGGTGATAAATGGGATATAGGAGATCCTTGAGTCGATTGATGTTGCGGCGATCTTTTGCTATATCGAACTGCATCGCTGACCTAACAGTCATAATAAAAACCCTTTAATAATAATATCTCGAACTTCAGTCATGTGAATAGAATGAGAAACGGACCTTTGGAGAATTACGTAAATTATCTTGGCTAGTTTGTGTCGTGGTCGGAGAAGAGGTATGGCTACGTTGCTGTCCACGACCTCCATGTGAATGAAAGTGTGAATGATTATGTTGCGCGCTCGTAACTGTGCTCGTACTGCTACTACTGGCTGAACGCTTGATTCAAAAGTCATGACTGAGTCTTTTCACTCCAAGAAAAAAATAACTGACATGATTGCAATGATTGGATTTTTACTTACTGCCTTACGCATTTCGTTATCGCGCAACCATTGTAAATAGCTCTCCCTGGCTACTTGTTCTTCAATAGCTTCATTAGTCGCTTCCCAATCAGTAGCTTTTATTTTATCTTCCAACATTGTCTTTTATATGCAAAATCGAAATTTTAGAATATCTTTTGAATATTTATAAAGCCAAAACTGAATATCGTACAAAAAATTCAGATTTGTGCATGAGTTTATTATGGTTACCTGTTCAATTTGTAATTCCTCGCTCTGACGAACTGCATCCGATATGAGGGCGCGATCAGCGGCACCAGGATTATACGATGGTAAACCAAGCCCAACACCTATAGTGGCTTTGAATGGATCAACTATGCTGTTGTAATGGCTGTTACGCTGATATGACAATCTGATTGGTTCATTGTCACTTTCTACCATAGTATGGAAGATATTGATAGGTTCTATAAAAAGAAAATTTGATCAATAATACAATCAAGAGCAATATAAAAAAAATCCTCACTATATAAATGAAAAAGCGATACATACCAGTACTATAAGAGTACAATTGTATGCTACGATTATACATTTCTGACATAGCTTGCATTTCTATATGATTTCCATGAACATACTCTTGTCTCTTCCTATCCACATAGGTGCTGAAATCCTCTGCTACAAAATGCGAGAAAAACTCCTGATTGGAAGACTAAAAAAAATATAAATTCAGTTATGCATTAATGTAATATGATATCTTAATTATCTTAATTAATCTATATACTTACTATATAATCCATACAGTGCTTTCGTACAATTCCATGCATTTCTTGATCTCCATAAACCTGATCTGCTACAGCTCTAAACAAGCAAGCTCCGTCTTCCGCCATTTTCTTTATTATAAGACCCTTCTTCTTGAGGCGCTTCTCAAACCATCTATCTCTCTAAATTTACAGATATATAGAGTAATATTAGTGCAAATTGATACATAATATTTACATGAAATATTGAATTTAATAATACTGACTTCCTGCCATTCCACTAAAGTAAGATTATTTTCCATACGTCCTGTGTATTCATCACCACTGTTATAGCCATTTGCCAGTTCGTCTAAATTTGAAGCATTTCCAACAATGCTTACTCTCCCACTTACACTAGAATCTGTACCTAAATAAATTAAGTTTACTATCTAACATTTGCAATATAAATTACAATTTGTTATTTTAATAGTTTATTGATTTTATGATAATGATTTAATAACTTTCAATTACGATACTAATATAAGAGAAATGCATTACCTTGTGAGCCATTGCAAGAAGCAGCAGGTGGAGTAGCTTGCCTTTCGCGTTCTCTTTCTCTCTCTCTCTCCCTGCCTCTGTCCCTTTCTCGATCTCGTTTTGCACGTGAAGATCTGCCAATACAGCTATTAAAAGATTAATAAATTCCTTTTACTAAATATATATATAATAACTATAAATATTTATTATACAAATATGCGCAACTTTTTTTATATATCTTGTTCTATATCAATTATATATGTAAGATATGAAATAAGTATAATATAAGAACACAATGTAATTTATGTATATTTTTTAAGTGATATCTTTTTTTGATCAGTTTATATCCTGAACCAATTCAAATACCTGTGAGGACTGGCTCTCTGTCTGTGACGTTTACCATGGCTTGGACCACTCCCATCTTCAAAGTGTTTATCTTCACGACGATCATTGGCCTGTAAACATAAGGACATTATAAATCAATTATAGATCAATCACAAAAATAAATTTTTAAACTACAAAAATTTTTAACTAAATATTCAATAATACAATGCTTGCTATTGTATATATTATATAATATATAACTCATTATTCTTTTAATCAAATAAATATTATGGTTTGACAAAATAAATTTATTTACTAACATTATTATTCATTACCATTTATTGATATTATTATCATGTTATTTAAAGTTCACATATTATTCATTACCATTTATTGATATTATTATCATGTTATTTAAAGTTCACATTCCTCGATACGCAAAGAGATGAGCTATATAACAGACCAGGATTATCCAAAATAAAGAAAAGAAAGAAAGTTTCCTTTGTTATACCTCGTAGGAGTTGCTGGTCAACACTATGGGACCATTGTGGGATCCATGATCAGCTTGAACTCCATGCAAATCGACGGCGAATCCGCTGGCACCGCGAACCTAGTCACCGAGTTGGTAAAACACTTCTCTTTTAGAACCTTCCTTAAGAAGGGAGAGAGGGAGAGAGCAAATCCCGGAAATCACGTTGCGCCTCACCTGATAAGGACTGTTCGGTAGCGCGATGTTGCCGGAATTGTGCTCGTTCTGGCCTACGCCGTGATGGACGTCGACCTCGGGACCGGCGCCTGCCTCGCGCGTCCTGTCTTTCGCCGCATTCGTCTTCTTCTTCGACAGAATTGTCATGATCTCGCGCGATCAATTCCCCTCTCTCTCTTTCTCGCTCTCGCTCCCGTTCTCCTTGTGCCGTGTCTCGTCTCGCGACGCGTCGCGAACCCACTCGCGGATCCCCTCGTGATCGCGAACACCCGAACACGCGTGCGATCCGCCCCCTCGCGATTTCTCTCACTCGCGCGTCCGTTCAATATATCTTTCGCGAGCGACTCCTGGCGAATCCGAGTCCCGAGCACCGAGCTGGCGATCGCGGCACCTTCCGTGCACCCTGCCCCGGGCTCCGTCGACTCGTCGTTGCGTCACGCGCCAAGACACTCGAACGGTCAGGATGACGTCGTTCCGCGGCCACCGAGCAACATGTCCGCGAGGGAAAGCGATACGGTATCGTTAATCGCTGCCTACTCGGAATGTTTTGTCAAGCGGCCATATTTACATCGGTCGCTTTGACTTCGGGATACAAAGTCCATAGATAGAACGCGGGATACATAGTGACGCGACTCTTTATCGCGATCTTGGCCCTTGCGTGATATTGATCAAGCTGGATTTTCGAACGTAGTTGAATCTCGAGTGATTTAGGAACACATACGTGCCATATGTTCTTTTGACCGACCAATCGGAAAAAGGAAATTGTCGCGTCTTTTTAGCTGTCAAATAGCTCTGACATATATCCGATTACAACGAAAAACAGGGAAAACGTGTAATAAACGAAATAAACAAAATGCTTCGTGGGTACGAGGGTGTGAGATATATTTCGGATAAGCAGATGATAGTCTTTGATATTGGCAGTGCCTACACGAAGTGAGTATATCGCGAGACAAGGAACGGTGTGTCTACCGTAATTTCACAAGCTTCTCTTTCTCGTTTTGAAATATGTTTATATACGTTAAATATGTTTATGTTTTTTTGATACAACAGATTTGGCTATGCGGGAGAAGCGTCTCCACGTGGCATTATTCGAACGGAAGTGAGATGTCCGGAATCCAAAAAGATACGCCGAATCATCGATCATACAGACGTCGAGGACTTGTATCAACTTCTTGTAGAATTTCTTCATTTATTGTTTTTTAAGTAAGAAGATACGTTTCTGCGTTTTTATCTTATGCAATCTCTTGAGATTTTCATTCAAAATAATTTTTGTGACGCAGATATGTTGTGGTGAGTCCAAAAGACGCAAGGATATTGCTTTTGGAGTCACCATTGGCGGTGACATCGTTCAGAGATACCATTGCAAAGGTGATGTTCAAGCATTTTGAAGTTGGTTCTATATTATTCCTGCCGAGCCATTTAGCAACTATTAGTACTCTTGGAATTGATACAGCTTTGGTATTAGATGTTGGATATCAGGAAGCAACTCTTATTCCTATCTTTGAAGGAATACCAGTACTCAAAGCTTGGCAGGCATTGCCTTTGGGTGGGCAAATTGTACATGAGTGAGTTGCACTTTTTCTTTCTTATAATATTTGTGTGACATTACTAATTTCATTCTTATAATTTACAGAAACTTAAGAAGATATTTTAATGATATGTCAAATGATATAGATTTATCAGAAAAGGTACTAGAAGATATCAAAGTAAGAACATGTTTCGTAACTACACTGGAAAGGTCTACAAAGCTAGGAACAAAGGATGCTCCTACTCCACCTCCTGATGTTATGTATCCTGGTGTTCAAAGGATTTTGATAACTGGAGAAATTAGAGAAAAGGCATTTGAAATACTATGGGAAAGGGATAATGATAATCTCTCATTGTCAACTATGATACTCGATGCTATTGTTAAGGTAAGGATTATATCTATTATAAGGCAATTTTATTCACACCATGTATGTAAATTTAAATCTTTTATATAACTGAATATATTTGTGTACTGCATTAATATTGGCTAATTTGTGGTACTAGTGTCCTTTGGATATGAGGCGAGTATTGGCTGAAAATATAATACTCGTCGGTGGAACAACTATGACAAAGGGCTTTGCAAGCCGCTTAAAATCGGAATTATTAGCTTTAGTTCAAAATGACTTATATAAAAATAAATTAAAAATACAATCGTTTAAGTTTCACACAGCACCTAGTAAACCAAATTATACAGTATGGTTAGGCGGTGCTATTTTTGGTACTACAGATTTACCATTACGATGCTTAACGAAAGAAATATATTTAAAAACGAATCGAGTTCCCGATTGGTCTAGCCTTATAGATAATCAAAAAGACGAAACATCTTACGAGGTATGAACGAATGTACCGCGAAATTTATCGATCTATGAAGAAGCAAGTAAATTTGTATTCTTGTAATTATTTATAACATGTATTTTACTATGTGTGTATTGTACATGTATTATATCAAATTATGCCTAATTATGATTCATATATGCCAATAATAATGATTCATCTCTCACATATTCCTGTTACTAACGACCAATTGAGATTTTGCAGTGTTTTAAAAAATTAATAATATAATGATATATAATATAATGATGTAATTTACTATTATCGTAATTATATCATATCACGATATTAACAGGAATCAATATATATGAGAAATGGATCATTATTATTAAATATATTACGTTATATTATTTATTACATTATTTAATATAAAAAATTAAACTTTTAAAAGCTTACACCCTTAATCACAGAGTTGTAAGTAGTGTAAGCTTTTCATTAAGTTGCAATTGTGTTTTTATCAATTGCGATAATGCGACAACCATCAGAAGATCCTTAACATTACTATTAAACATTTCATCAAATTGATCGCTACTCATTTTTGGCACAGAATGTACCATATCCAAAAGGGCTCTGCCCACCTGAAAGCACAATTATTGTATTTATTATTAACTAAATAATAAACAAATAATTCAAATAAATAAAAAAGAAATATATATTTACTTGATTATCTGGTAATTGTTTTCCTGCTAGAACATCATCAACATATGCGAGCACTTGTTCTAGCATTAAAGAAAGTTTGGAGCAAGCCTCTGAGACTTGTGCAAGATCCATCATGGGTTCTATCCCTCCAGATTTCATTCCAGATGCTTGTATATGAGGTTGTAATTGAGTCTTGGAACATAATTGTAGTCCTACAACCTCTGGCTCATAACATCTAATCTGTATAAAAAGATGTCACAATGTTAGAAAAAAATATATACAAAGATGACCAAAATATTTTCATACCTTGATACATCATAAGTTATTGGCAAATATATCTTGCTAAAATTCTGACAAACCTGAACTTTGACTGGTGTAAACATGGAGCCTTGCTTGCCATTAGGCACTCCTAATGGAACACATACATAAGCCTTGATCGCCATTCTTGTTGTGTTTGCCAATGTAGTATCAACTGTCAAATGCACTGGATTGTTACATTCTCGCACATAATATTCATGGATGACGGATGAATGAGTGGTGACCTGAAAGATGTATTTTTATTCGGTTACAAAATATTTGGAATAATATATAAAGTATTTGACAAAAGAGAAAAGGGGCTAAAATTCAACCTCGTTGCCTGTGGCCCACCAACCGACAATATTCTCTTGCGCATTAACTCGGTGATTTAAATCGTACAAGTCCATTCCATAGGTAAGATCGGCCTCTACCTGGCTCTCGGATTCTTTATGCGGGACGCAAAAGCAATTGGTTACTTCGACTATTCCTTTTTCCACGGTACCTGAAATAATAAAAAGCACGTGTTCATATGTCATATTTGCATGCTTATCAAAACGCGAATATATATAATATGTCACATAAAGGATTTATTGCATTCTTGTTCAATATGTGTATAGACGTTACCCAATAAGGTTCCAATAACGCGTAATGATTCCGCTTTTCGTCGTTCGTAAGCATCCACAATTTGAAATAAAACTACGGGGTGCACTTTAACAGTGAGATTAAGCGCCATGTTTACACCTTTCTTTTTTTTTATTAATATTATTAATATTGTTAATTTTATTAATAACGCTTTTAGTTAGCAGCTACTTGACACAAAATCTCAAACACGTTGTCACAGTATCCCTTACCATAAAAGATGTGCTATAGCAAGAAGCGCTGACACATCGATTGAAATGTTCTCATTACTAAAAAAGACCGATATTAACTTCATCGCCATTGGAGTAGAGCGACAGACGTATTTATTGGCTGCCGCAGCAAAAACCCTAGAAATTCTCTATATCGATAACCAACCGATATCGAGGTCAAAGAGTTTTCCCGCGAAAAAAGACGTGACGTCACTGCCCTGAATTTCATAATCGTCGATCACTTGAGCGAAATTTTACATAAATTTTTCAATCGACACTTCGCTCAATTTTGCACAAGAAATATCTCGCATTTATCAGTAAATATATGTAAAGCATGCAATTACAAACTTTAACAACATGCTATAATTAGCCCATAATTAACCTACAAATGAGACAATCGATATCAATGAGGCATCAGAAATCAAAACTTATTGCTGAAAATTATTTTAAAAGAATTAGTCATACTTTTCTCAAATGCATAGCTACGTATTCTGATGTATTTTTTAAGGTTGTAATTTCTAGGTTAGTCAGAACCGAAGACTGACTCTCGCGAGAGATTACTCTATTAACAATTGTTTACGTATTCATTATTCACAAAATCTGCATGTCACATCGCGTGATAATTAAATTGCTCATAATATGACGCTTCTCTGGAAATTATTGACTAATCCTGATATCCTGCGAAAATCAGGATGTTGCGGCGTCAGGGTATCATCACGAAAATTATTTGGCTCGAGCTTGACAAGACAGAACTTTAGAATATCAAGGAAAGGACGTATATTTATTGAATTGAGACATCATACGTCCAACGTTATCGGATCCGACACTTCGATATCCATCGTACGTTCGCTTAAGACGAAAAAAAGTTCAGAGTTGAAGAACCTAATTTTGCTAGCTGCACCTGAAAAATGGACCCTGATAAAAGCCATCGCATTTCTGCTCGTATCCTCCAGTGTAACCATGGCTGTGCCATTTTGTTTCGGCAAAGTGATAGACGTTATCAACACTATGGAAAAAAAAAACATGAAAGAAGAACTCAAAAAGCTAACGCTTGCTCTCTTTGTAGTATTTCTCATAGGTGGTGTGAGTAACTTTAGTAGGGTTTACTTAATGTCTGCAGCAGGACATCGAATTACACAGTCTCTGAGAAAAAAAGCATACGCTGCGATTCTACGACAGGAAACAGCAATGTTTGACAAAGAAAGTACAGGAGAACTAGTTGGTAGATTAAGCGGTATGTATATTATATTTAATGTATTATTGAATCATATTGTTTTATGCCATTTCTTTCTTTCATTTTATAATTTTTTTTTCAGGAGATACGCAACTTATTAGTTCTGCAGTTACATCTAATGTATCTGATGGTTTACGCTCCGCTATTATGGCCATTACAGGAGTCTCCATGATGTTTTATGTATCACCATCACTCGCTTTGCTCGGCTTAGCTATAGTACCACCTGTCGTAATCATTGCTGCTATTTGGGGACGTGTCTTGAGAAAAATATCCAAGGATCTACAGAGTAGTTTTGCAGTGCTCAACACTACTGCGGAAGAAAGAATTAGTAATATAAGAACAGTTAAAGCATTTGCGCAAGAAAAACGTGAAATTGATAGATATAATACTAAGCTACAAGATGTTTTGAGTCTATGTTACAAGGAGAGTTTCTATAGAGGAATGTTTTTCGGTATGACTGGTCTTTCTGGGAATGCTATTATTCTGTCGGTTCTTTATAATGGAGTATTTATGGTTTCAAACTCTGATATAACAATTGGAAGCCTAAGCGCCTTTCTATTATATGCGGGATACGTGGGGATATCTCTAAACGGATTATCTTCAGCATACAGTGAGTTAAATAAGGCTCTAGGAGCAAATGCTCGTCTATTCGAGTTGATCAATCGACAGCCGCTTATTCCTATCCAGGGTGGACAAATATTAGAGAAGGAATTGTCGGGCAACGTGACGTTTCAAAACGTTTTCTTTGCTTATCCAACACGAAAAACGATACATGTATTGAAAGGCTTTGATTTAAATATAGAAAAATGTTCTGTGACAGCTATCGTCGGTTCCTCTGGTTCTGGAAAATCTACCGTGGCATCACTTTTATTAAGACTGTACGATCCTACCAAAGGATCGATACTCTTGGATAATCACAATCTTCGACTGCTCGATCCTACATGGGTAAAATCACAAATTAGTATTGTATCCCAAGAACCAATTCTTTTTAGTGGCTCGATAAAGGATAATATATTATATGGAACGGAATCTGCGACAGATGCCGATATAGAGGAAGCCGCAAAACAAGCGCACGTGTTACAATTTACAGAAAAAATGACGGATGGATTAGATACAATAGTCGGGGAAAGAGGTATTGCGCTTAGTGGCGGGCAACGTCAGAGAGTCGCCATTGCCAGAGCATTAATAAAGGTAAAAGTAATATAATTATTCAAATTAACAAACTTATTAAAAAACTTTATCGGTTTAAAATATCTTCTTTTATTCTTTGTCTCTTTTAGAAACCAAAAATTTTAATATTGGATGAAGCAACCAGTGCCTTAGATGCGGAAAGCGAATATTTCGTTCAGAAAGCATTAGAACATGCTATTCGTGGCAGGACGGTAATAACGATTGCTCATAGACTTAGTACAATAAAAAACGCCGATAAAATTGTTGTACTCGATGGAGGACAAGTGGCGGAAACCGGAACTTATAGCGAATTAATGAGCTTGGAGTATGGCTATTTTAAAAAATTAGTGAAACATCAAACATTTGCATAAAACATGTACAAAAATTAATACTAAACGAGTAATTATATATCCCTTGATGTCTTTTTTATATATAGTATCTATCAATGTGTATTATATGTACATATATACATATGTATATTTATTATCTAAAACAAGTTCGTCTAAAATTTAAAAAATTTTATAATATATTTTTTGGCAATAATACATGAATATTAAGTTAGAATAAAAATAGGGGAGTGCAATATTACATCTAATGCTGTATGTTCATTGCTAAATATTGTAGAAAGATATGTAACATAATTTGTGAAAATGATTTTAAAGGACAAAGTATTTAAATATAATTATTGTTATACATTGTGGGAATAATTTCATGGCATCTGATTGTTCAATCATAGATTGTTTTGTTCTGTTTTGTCTTTTTTTAGCATAAGGTCAGGTACTACTACGAATAAAAGATAGATATTACAATCTTATCTTTATATATTTTCTTATAAAATAATATACAGCTATTCTTTTTAGATATCCACATTCGTGTATTATGTTTTTTATTAATCTATATTAATTCTTAAATTAATATCCCATTCCTACGACATATTCTAATAACACCTTCATCAGCAATGAATTCGAATCCACTGAAAACATTTTGTGCAAGTACATGTAACTGTAAGCAGTTCAAAATAATCCTAATGGATCCTAACTTGTGAATCAATTTTATTAAGAATTTTATCAATTTGTAATGGGCTGCCTGTAAAGTTTTATTCAGATTTGCATAGAATTGATTTTTCCTATGTGGTTATTTACTTGGAACCAAAATATTATATTTCCAATTATAAAGAGCTGGTCAAAAAGCTAGCTCATAAATTTTAATTTCATACTGATTTCTTTTATATATAGCAAACACTCGTAAAAGAAAGTATTTGCTTATAGATGAAATCGTGAAATATATTTTATACACTAATTTCAGAGAGAGTTATAGGCGATACATTCCAAATACCGATCTTAAATTAGCTTAATCAAAATTTTAATACACATCTTCTCGAAGCAACATTGCTTTAACATCCTCAAATGCAGTTGTAATATAGAAAGATTGTAAGGAATATATTTTCAATTAATCTCGAATATATAAATATATGTGTGTGTGTGTGTGTGTGTATGTGTGTGTGTACACACACACACACACACACATGTATGTATGTATGTATGTATGTATGTATATATATATATATAATATGTATATATGATATATATAATATGTATATATGTATATATAATATGTATATATATATATATATATATATATATATATATATATATATATTATATATATATATATATATAAATATTTCGAGATTTAATCGAAACTTAGTATAAGGCTGTGATTACATGAACAAAGCTGTTTCGTTTACCTCGATTGTAAGAAATCTGTTGCTCGAATCTATAATGATCTTACACACGTTATTTAAAAATTTATTAGATATGCTTGTGCAATACGCAATATACATCATATTTATAGGCACAACCTTATTCTAAGCAGACATTTATGGTATTTGTATAAATCCATATTGAAACGTTTACCAAATCTGGTTTCTATACACAAGCGGTTTTTCAGTATTACAATCTTTTGGGAGTAGGCAGTGTTCTTTTCCTTTTAAGAGTTAGAAAATTCATTGCGATAAATCTCTTTATAAGTGAATGCCAGAGCTTATTCACACAGTCGAGACAACTTCATTGAAAGCTACTTAATATTGACTGAAAATTTAAATTTCACATAATTAATAATTAATAATTAATGGTTGTAGAAATTATACGCGTATCGCGCACAAGGAGCTTGTTTATGCGCAAAGATATTTATGTGTTGGCTCTTATTTCGATATCTATCTAAAAAATAGATATCAAATATTAAACAGAGAGAAACAGCGATTGATTAGATAAGTCAAGATTAACTTTTTGACAATTCTTCCATAGTTTCCTGCTCCATAGGTTCATCCTGTTGAAACGTCGATAGTGATTCCTCATCAACTTCCATTAATTCTGTAGATTCATGTTCCTTTAAACAAATTATACTTTCTATTACAGAAGACTGGTTTTCTTTTGTTGTAATACATATTGTTTTATTATCTTGTACATTTGTTGAACTATCATCTTGAATTTCTGTTAATTTTTCATCTTTTAAAGATTGACAACTGATATCAGAGCTTTCTGTCATCTCGACAGTAGGCGAAACAGAAACAAATTTTTCAATTACAGATGTTGCTTCTTTAGGTTTTTCTATTGTACTTACTGGAAGCGATATCATAGATTCGACTAGAGGAGCCTTGTCATTGGAAACTTCCATAACTTTCAAATTATCCGTGTTAAGTTCAGGAACCTCTACTTCTTGTTCATTATCATTACTATTAGGAGATGCTACTCTAGGAACTGCTTCTATAACATTATCGGTTACTTCTGTATTCTCCTTTTTTTGGCTTATGGATTGGTCATGTATAAAACTTTCCTTGGAAGAAATCATCACAGATACCTCTTTAGAATGCATCTCAGTTTTCTCTGGTTTATATAATGCTTCACTGTTAGATACAATGACTGCGCTCATACATTCTTCGGATGTAATTGTACTATCCTTTTCTTCAAGTTCAGATTCAACGAACATTGCTGTTTTTATCTTGTCATTATTCTTGGAACCTAAATTTTCTTTGTCTGTATCCTCGAGAACTGATGTACTCTCTTCTTCTGGTTTATTTGAAACTATTTCTTCGGCATTTATTTCTTTCATATTATTACTTTCGATATTATTTTCCAAAGCGTCGGATCTCATATCGATATCCGTTTGTAATAAATTTTCAGTTAATCTATTTTCATTACAAGACATTTCGTTTGAATCCACACATTCGGAATTCAATTTGTTCAACGCAGTTTCCTCGCTTTTCGTGGAATGCCCGACTCCTTCGTCTTCCACGCTGATTATCGTCGACTGAATTGGTGCTTTCTCGTCGGATTTATTATCCAAACATTTGTTATCGCTATCTGATTCAAAGCGTTTCGCTTGGAAAGCAGCTTGTAGATTTCGCGTAGTATCTGTCGTCAACGGTATTACCGTTGCCACTACAGTGACTGTTGTTGTTGCCGCCGACGTCGTCGATGTTGCTGTTGTTGTTGCCGCGGTCGTCGCCGTCGTCAACGTCGTCGGTATCGTCGTCGCAGTTGTCGTCGTGGAACTCGCTATTGTTACTGCTTCAATTTCCTCATTCTCTATATCTAAATTGGGTTGAGAATTAGTGTCCTCATTCATAATCACCTCTGCTATATCAGTAGCACTGACGGACGAGTCACTGGTGATCTTGTCCGTGATCATCGTTCCAACAGCTGGTAGATTCTGTACAATCGGAACAGCAGAAACGTTTGGCAATACCGGTTCGTGTGACTGCGAAGTTAAATTCGACACAGACGAGAACTCTGAAGCAGCAGAAATATAATTAGACGGTGCGATTTCTGTTCTAGAAGATGCTTGCTCTAGTTTCTCTCGAGCAGTCTCGGTAAATACGCTTTTAGTCACCGGAGAACCAGTGGTTGGTACATCGTTGTGAAGAAGAGCAGGTTCGTTTTCAGTAACAGTGTGCACGCTGATGGTGACAGTTGAGGTACAGTCCTTCTCCCAATATTCCATCTCGACATCCTGCGAGGTCGGTTGTACTGGTTGAGTTGTTTGCGGTGGCTGCGACGGTGATGATGGTAGCTGTGACGGTGACAAAGACGGAGAGGGTGACGGCGGAGGTGGCGGTGGCTGCTGCTGCGTAACCGAGGCAGTGTCTTCCTCGACGGACCCGTTGACCATACCGTCTCCCGTTTCACCGCGTCGAGCTATAGGTCCTGGTTCGCGCGTCGAAACCACCAGGATGTTCTTCTCGATGGCGCGCATAAATTTATCCACGCGATTGTACTCTTTACGCGGCGATGTCAGCAACTCGCATATCCGTTGAACGGTGAACGGGGCGTTAGCGAACGACTCGAGTCTCTCGAGAAGATTGCTCTTCATAGCGTCATAGTTGAAGTGTTCCACATTAGGACAGGTTGCGAATTCTAAATTGGGACAGTTCTCGTAAAAGTCTGTCATTACACGAGTAAGCTTCTCTCTGAAGAGCGTTTTGATCAACGGCCATTGGTAGACGGGATCGCCCGTCTTGGCGACCCAACATAAATAATCTTCCAACTCCTGTGGAATCACCGTGGGACGCATCTTCTGGAACTCGTCGAGCGCCTGCAATACCTCCTCCAAATTTTCCATCTTCCCCGCCACCGCCGACAACCTCCACCGACAAATCTCCCTCGTTTTTTCTCAATTATCTCGATTATCTGTGTAATGAAATTCGTTGCGTAAAATTCGAAAAATTTCCACGAGAAAAGCTCTACGCGAGAGAAACAACCAAAAATGTAAACTAGCAAACACACCGGCCACAAAACAGCAACAATGAGAACTGCGATAAGGAGGGAGAATGGCAGTAGTGCCAACTGATGTGTCGCTATCGCCAACCGATAACCGTGAAAAAGCGTTCTTTCCAAGTATTCTTAAATCTATCTAAAGTAGACTTGAAGATTGGAATTTGATTAATCGAAATAAAAAGGTCTAAAATTTCTTTAGTTTAATTTCTTTAATTAAATTTCAATCAGTTCAATACGAGTTTAAAGGGCTCCTGCCATGAAACGTCACGTGTGACTTAATAGCCAATCAACTTTTAGCTTTTCCGTAAACCGAAAGTTGATTGGTTAGCACGGTTTTTGCTATGTAATGCGTCTTGCGTATAAATTCAAAGAGATCCGAATTAAGATTAAGCCACATGGAAATGTATAACTACAAACACATTCGCACATCACATCTACACATATACAAATGCAGAGAAATGCACACCTAATGCAAAAAAATTTCTTACACATATTTCGTTTATTTTTTATATACATACATACATTATGCGATCATATAAATTATATAAAGTTTTTTACATATATATTAATTTTATTCGCTTCAAGATTATACGAGTAACAAATTAATCTTTTAATTATATATCTCTGAAACATACAAATGTTAAACTTGATGTCACTTAATTAATTAAAAAGAAAAAAAAGTTATGCTCTAGAAAATAGATTTAAAAAAATAGGGATTTAAATAAAGCTAAATAACAAAAAATTATTTTTATGAAAAATGTTTTTACAAAATAGATATCAAAATAGATGCAGAGAAAATATAGATTATTGCAAAGCACATTTAATCTAAAGAGAAGAAAAAGTCTGCATTCTAAAAATTTGTGTCAAAAATTATATACTTATGTAATATTATATATATATATCAATATCTATATATAGATTAATCTCAATATATTTCACAATTTTAAACTTTAATTTGACATATGATAAGATCATATAACATGTGAGTATACATAGAAACAATTAACAATGGTAAAATAAACTTATATATTTTATAAATATCTTAATATATGTTGATATGATAAATTATTGTTTTACTAATTATATGCATATATATATATATATATATATATATATATATATATACACACATATATATATGTAATAAATAAATATCTAAATAAATAAATAAATCGCACATTCGAAAATTACAAACATCCAAAGTCAATACACAGTTTATACACACAAGTCTTATACACGTAAAGACTAATCAAGTAGATCTGTGATTTAATAATTAATATGTTGTCTGTAATCATAAATTGTTCTAGTGTATCTTCCGAATGCACAATTTGGAATTGTTTCTTATAAATATATATGAGAATACCTGGATTATCTAACTTTTATAACTTTCGTCTAAAATATTAATAGCATTTAAAATAATAATATCCTTAAGGACTCTGGTCGGTCATTAAGTATTTTAACGATATTAACGTCATTAAGGATAATATTAACAATTACTTTTTTGAACAATGACAGAAATACGATAAGTTATAATATGGTGACTATATCAATAATGCGAGATTTGATTTACTTTCATATTTTTTCATTAAGAATCATTAAAACAAAGATATTAAATATGTTCACATTATTTGTAGCAAGTGCTTTAAACAAATTTTTCTACAAATTTCTAAAGAAAATTTTGAAAATCATATAGTGTTAAAAACTTGAGATACTTGAAAAGCTTTAAGCTATTTAAGATCACATTGTTGATTTTTGTATTGGGAACACATAAGATAGTTTGATTTGTCCCATAATATCTTTAATGGCACAATGTTCAAACGAATCTGTATTATTGAAATCAAATGTTTGTGCATGTGATACTGTACTAATCTGGCATATGTAAATTTTGTTTGGATAGACTTGTAATGATCAAAGACTTAAGAACAATAATTGTATAAGTTCACTCTAAACAGATCTCTGTTAGAACTATCCCATAAATCTGTTGTTATAATAGATTATTAATTTATAGAGAAATTTCAGTTAACATACATTTTGTAAATTAATAGTTTTTCACAAACTTGGATCACTTAAACATCAACCACCATTTTCTTATGAATATCTGTATTACCAACAACCTAAAGAACAATCATATATAATATATTGTATATTAAAAAGAAAAAAAAAGGATAAATATGTATATATTACTTACAGAACAAAATTCTTCAAAACTAATTCTGCCATCTTCATCTTTATCAGCAAACAATATTGTCTTGTCAACAATTTGTTGCAACTGTGTATCTTTCAAATTATTGCCTACCATCATCTTTAACACTTGGAAAAGCTCTCCATTACTTATATAACCATCATTATCCATATCATAAATTCTAAATGCAAATCGTAATTTGCTTTCCTTGTCACCCTATATATTAATAATATATATAACTTATATTTGTGTATATATAAATATATAGCAGTCATTGTTTATATGCAAAAAACGCTACCTTAACACTGAATTGAGAGACTCCATGAATAAACTCTTTAAAATCTACTTCTCCATTACCATCAGCATCAAATATATCAATAACACGTTGTACCAGTGGATTTTGTTGTAACTCGGGTAAAGACATAAACTCATCGATGCTAAGAGCCCCACTATTATCCAAATCTAGCTTGCGAAATCTTTTCCCCAATCTTCTAATCTCATCTACATCAACTAAAACATCAATATTTAATATAAAATATATATATAAACTTTAAAAATTTAGTTATCAATATATATATGTATATGTATATTTCTAAAGATATCATTATATATTTATATAGAGCACAGATGCCATATATTTTTATATTTTAATGTACGAATAATTATTTATTTGAAAGTTTGAAATACAAAATACTGATATAAAAAATCAGATTATTTTAAGATATTTCAATTCATAATATCTTTTAATACAACTTACAGTTTGAACAAAGTTCCATAGGCAGCGAACTTTCATTACCCTGCAATATAAATGATTTTTAAGACTATATTGTTTACATACTCGTATGAGGATACTTTATAAATAAATTGCTCTGAAATTATTTTTGTAAGGAAATCTCACGCGGGTTAATGTGGGAAAAGAAAATGCAAGACAATTTTGCAATCACGGAAAAATCATGCTGACTTGTGTATCTGTACGATGCACTTGATTACCATTTTGAACTAGCTTTGTGAATCTGTCGAAAAATTTCTTCGGAAATAACAATATTTTCTAGCGGATAGGCTTAGTGGAGCTAATAACACAATTGCCGTAAAGGGATGCTGCGAGCTGCTGCAAGTGTATCGACGTTTTGCCTGTTTTTCCAGTGTTGGTCAATTAACGTCCGTTGCGAACGAACATTGTTGATCCCATTTTTAACTGTCACTGTCAACCATGAAACCATGCTTCTATGTCAATCTCTTGTTTCGTGACTAGAGGCCAAGGGCTAAATGCTTCGCTCTGATTGGCCGATCAAACACTACGAAATTTCCGTAGAAAGATAAATAATCAAAAAGTCTGAAATATTTTAATCATTTAAGAAATTTATGTTTATTCGCATACAAAATTCTTCTCTCTTATTGAGGTTTTATATTTTAACGTACAGTATGTACGCACATTAATGTGTCGTCGTTTGTTCGGTACATTTAATATTTCATTAATATATTATACTTCTCTAAAATTGATACCAACGCACGCATTGTTCAAGTTTGTTTTCTAATTCAATCTCTCCATCTTTCTAGATCAGTCTAGATACTTTACAAAGACTGGTCCAATTATTTCTTATTTTCATAAATAAAAGATGCATAAAAAACTCATAAAAAATGATTGATTATTTCTACTTATTACGCATTAATTTTCTATACTTTTTATATTAAGTATAACTCGGATAACAATTGTCTGAGAATATCATTGACAGTATAAATTTTCATACTAGAATACATGCGCATAATATTGCATAATAGATGCTGACGTTATACATTGTCATAAACATATATGTATGGATGTTGCTCGATGACTGCTATGTCTTTTTCGAGTTGTTGCAATTCGCGCTCCATCTTCGCTTTCTTTTGCGCTTTCGGTAACGTGTCGGCGAGAAACGGCAATCTTTGAAATTGTCTCATCGTTTCCTCCCACTTCTTCTTCATACCCTGTTTCCGAACAGCATACAAACGTACGATTACTTCCATCCAAATTAATTGGGAGACGCCTAATTAGATATCTATACCTACGTCTAATAATATTTTCCGTTCCTCTTTGTCAATGTATCGACACGAAGATATCTTTGACACTTTATCTCCATTGAAATCACGTTGTTTGATCGTTTCAGTTTCTGCGCTCACGTCGGTTTTTCTATCAATCGCAATGAATTTCGGTACCTTTCCATAATTCTGAAGGAAAACGTGGCTTTCAAAATAGTATCGAGATAAAAGAATGCGAAATAATTGTAAAGAAATAATAATAATACGAAAGAAATAAAGGGAAATAAGGTAATACGGAAGAAATAAAGGGAAATTAAAGACTTTTTTTTTTATACGAATAATGTACTGCACTCGTACTTTTTTGTGCACATAAATTGGAAGTAACCCGCTGCTTTTTAAATCATTCGTGTTGCCGTAACGAGTATCGACGAAACGTTGTTTGGGTTCTGCAGGATAGGAGCGTTTTACGCGAAGGATATTGTGTTTGACAAAATTCTTGTCCCGTGCAACAAACAATTCTCTCGAAAGATCCGTCATTCTGTCCAATTGTGTGCTCTTCTCGTCTGCATCCTTTACCATAGAAAAAAAAAGAACATAGAGGGATATACGCATGTATCGTTCTATTTTCTACTCTGTCAGAGTGTAGAAGGTGCAACTGGTGCAACGTGACAAATCTATCGACCAATCAGGATAAAGAAATTTTTGTTGCTTTTGGTCGATCAAAATACTCCATCTTCGAACATCGCCCAGATGTAATATGACACATGACGTATCGTGGACGTATCACAACTTGCGAATCAGTTCTGGAAATTTCCGAGCAAACGGGAAGGCACTCTTGCTCGTTGCAGCATTCAGTCGTTTTCGTTATAGACCTGTGACGCGTAATAGAAATCCACTTTCTATTGATCGCTAAAGTGAATTTTTAGAATCTCGACCGTGAATTCTCAAAGCCACCCAGCAAAATGTCTTTGTTCGGGTCATTTATGGGCGATGATGATATTTTCAATATTTTCGGGTAAGTTCCATCGCGATTTCTATTGGATATGTACAATACTTCAAAGGTTGTGGTTTCCTTTTCCCTCTTTCTCACTTTCTTTCTCTTTTCCACTTGGAAGAGTAGTGGGTTTCAATGAATCTGTCAAAAAGAGACATCGTTAATATATATATTGACTAGATTTTTTTTGACTTATTTTACTTGAAAATAAATTCTTAATCACCTTTACAGCTTACATCTTTTAAATATAAAAGATTATTATTTGTGAGATAGAGCATGTGCCACATAAAGCTATAAATATATTTTACTCTCTTATTTTTTATAAAATATTTATATAGAAATTATTGAATACCAGTTTTTTTGTCGTATAAGAACATGAGGTGAATTTAACTTCAACTGATGATTTGATTACGAATACTTTGTATATGATACACATGCAACTTTTTATGAATAATTATGAAAGGTGCATTTTTTGTATTGAGAGATTATATTTTACAAATTTTTATTTTTTTATGAAATAAATATATATAATACAATAAATATATACATGTAATTAGCAGATAAATATGTATATTTAAAAGTTTTAGATTAATTAAAACATCTATCTGGTTGTATGTCTCTTGTTTAAATTGGTTAAAAAGTTTTTTTATTAATCTGAATCATAAATCAAAATGTAATATATATATATATATATATATATATATATATATATACAAACACATATACATTCATACATATAAATATATATACATATATAGATATATTAAAGATATATTTTTTCATATCAATTTTTTCATTTCTCATTTGAGGAATGTTGACAATATTTTTCTATTACTGAAATATAAAGAGAATATTTTTCTAATTACTAAAATAAAGAGAAAGAAAAGAGAGAAAATATATTTATTTTTGAAATTTATTGTCTTGACATTATCCTGTGTTGTAATTATTTTTGTATAATTTACATTGAAATATGCAAAAAAGAAAGATGATTATTTAAAAAATAGGACATGTAACATTTTAGTAACATAATATTAAATAAATATTAATAATGTTATTAATTAAAAATTATACATATATACTATTAAAAGATTGTAGAATGTCATAAAATAACTGAATTGAATTACTGAAGGCATTACTTTCCTTATAATTCATATAATTCATATAAATATAATTAATCAAATAAAAGTTTCTATAGCAATCAGTTTATTATATCATTTGTTTTTTTCTTTTTTTTATCCTGATAACTTTTTTTTAATTTTTATCCTGATATGTTTGAAGATAATATAAATTATTATGTTACTCATATTTGGATTAAAAAATTTGGAAGTGAAAACATGAATTTTGGAACTTATTATTTATGATTAACAGGTCTTCCATGCATACCATGAGGCAGATGAATAGCATGATGAACTCTATGTTCCGTGATCCATTTGATATGATGGGACAAAATGCTCTTATGCCACATCATGGTAGAGCATCTCATGGTGATATGCCACTCTCCTTGTTTAATCCACATTTTGGAAGATTTGATTTTGTAAGTATAATTTTGGATATCTAATTAATAATTATCATTAGCAAAATAATAATGAAAACAACTTCAAAATTATTCTTGATCTAATTACTTTTTTCTCTAATTTTTAGAACAACATGACACCTGATGGAAGTTGCCATTCATTTATGAGCCAATCTGTTATGACTATGTCTAATGGCCCTGATGGGCGCCCACAAGTTTATCAGGAAACCATGTCTACTAGAACAGCACCTGGTGGTATAAAAGAAACTAAAAAGACAGTAAGTGATTCTCGTACTGGAACAAGGAAAATGGCTATTGGCCATCATATTGGCGAGAGGGCACATATTCTTGAAAGAGAACGTAATATGCGCGGTGAGGAGGAGGAACGACAGGAATTTATCAATCTTGATGAAGGTAATTTTCTTGTCTCAAAAATTACTGATAAAAATTATTGATACAGAAAGAAACAGAGAAATCTTTATTCTACAAATAATATCTGTTTGTATATTTATTATATATATATAGATGAGGCAGATTCTTTTAATCGCGAATGGGAATCACATACACGACGGGCACATACTAGTGCAATTGATAATGGAAATTCAGCTAGAGTTGTCAGTAACAGTAGGCACCGACCAGAGCCAAGACAATTGGCCTTACCATCTACTACAGATCCATCAGCAAGGTAAGTTTTTTAAATTCAAAACACAAATATATATATAGTTATTATATGAAACAAATATCTTATACATATTTGCTCAAGGTAAGAATATACTGAACATTTATCTTTATTGCAATGGTAAATTATAAGACAACTAATTGTATGATACATCTTTTTAAATAAATCTTTTATTTTTTTTTTATATTTACATATTTCCATCATTTATTATATATTTTTCATATTACATGCACAATAGAATATTATTTTACCACATTCTGAATGGAAAAATTCATGTAATTGAGAATTATTTAAATAATAATTAATATTGGCACTCTTATAACCTATATATAAAGATAGATTATAAATAATTTGCAAATAATAACTGGGTTTCCTAAGCTGGTATCTTAAGCTTGTTCTAAAAATGTTTATTATATATTATCAAATTTTGTTAAATCTTATGATGTTAATCTTATTTACTGAATTATTAGCTTTAAAAATTATTTGTTAAATGATTGACACAATAATAATACATTAACAAATTTGATATTTATACAGCTTATATAAAAAATAAAAGAGAGGCATGCCAGATAATAATAAATAGGAATAGGAGATTTTGCCATGTGATTATGTGCTTTCCACTTTGTATATTTCCATTTCCTTTTTCTGTGTATGCAGCTTTGAAATAGATATGTATGCCTGCTTTTTAATATGGACTGTAATAGCATGCATGTTTTTATATCGCAACATTTATTTTTATAAATTTTCTTCTTTTTTTATATATACTTTGTATTTTATGTGGTACGGAATTTTTAAACTTTATGAAAAAATAAAAAATCTCTATCTCTTTCTTCATAAATTAAAATATGTTATATTTTGTTGCATATTTATTTTTGCGTAATTCTCTTTTGTCATTTATGATTTATAAAATATTTATCTCATACAATATCTTTTTATTATATCATTCTTTGTATTGTTACTTATTTTTTTATTAGAACATTTTTCTAGTTTCCTTTGTTTATATTTGTCTTGTTATCATATGCTTTTGTAGTCGACATTCTAATAAAACAAGATGGATACCCGGTGCTAGACGTGCTATAAGGGCCTTAAATCCTTCCAAAGTAAAAAATGCATCTCCTTCTACATGGTAAGTTTAATTTCTATCGATTTCTGCCATTGCCTACTTGCTAGATTAAAGATTAAAGCTCGCAATTTTTGTCTTTGAAAGCATGTCTTTAAAAAGTCTTTGAAAATTTCCATTTAACTTAAGAATCAAAATTTATCTTTCATAACTACATGCATTATCATTTAAATCAAGAAAAAAAATGCATCGCAATGCTAGATATGTAGATAGATGATAACAATGCTCTATGTGTGACTCTAATAATTACATATATATACATATATATATATATATATATATATATATATATATATATATTTCATTATTCTCTTAATGAGTGACATCACTTTTTACAATTATATTTTATAAATGTGTAATATAGATCTTACAGATATTATTCTCAAAAATATAATTTTTAAAATCAAAGTCAATTTTCTAACATTTTTAAGAATATTATTAGTCTTGTCTTACAATTTCATAAGATTTCTGTAAATTTCATATAATTGCCAATGAGTTATCAATATTATTACAGTAAAATGTACAAAAGTTAATTTAACAATTAACATCTTTGTTATTAGTTTTATTTTTTTGTATGATATTAATATTGTGGTTTTAATCATATCTAAATTGCAGTATATCATATGGAATGTATTACATCTGTTAGATAATTTGTAATGTAATACATCTGTTAAGATTGATATAGAATATACCATCTTATGTGTGTATTACAGGTACAGCCGCAAATATTAATAAATTAAAAGCATAGTATATACAGCAGTGACACTTGTGCAACGTAAGTACGTTGCCTTTTGTTCTATTATTTATTATTTATTTCATTCAATTTTACTTTTGATACTAATCTGTAATTACAGACTGTTTAACATATTCTGACTAATAATATCTTTAATATTTTGATGTATATTAGGATTTGCATAGATATGTATGTGCATATCAAAACTTTTGGAATGAAAGCAATCAATTCTATTATTTTTTTTACAACAGAATAGAAATGTTATATATAATGATTTAAATTTTTGATGATGATATTTATAGTCAATATTAATTGACATTACACACACACACACACACACACACACACACACACACACACACACACACACACACACACACACACACACACATATATACATATACAATATAATATAATATAATATAATAATGGTTGTACATTATATCATTGTAATAGATTTCTTGTATGAATGAATGTTAATTTAATAGTATAAATAATATACTATTATCATATAATCCAATAATATGTATGATATATCTTATTAAATATTGATAAATAATTGTAATAAATGCTATGCTTTTTTCATATTAGCTTGTCAACATACATTTTTAAAATGTCACTTATGAAAATATATATATCCTTTTTTTATCTTAAAGCAACAATGGTAATGTAATTGGCAGAACATATAATAGCAATTTTATCTTACTATAAGATAGGAGCATGATTTGCTTATTCTGCTTGCATTTTTTTTTTCTTGTCTTTTTTACATTTAAAAGTTATAGAAATCTTCAATAATAATTCTGCTGTAAAGAATATTCATGCTTCAGCTTTCTTTTTAGATTTGTCTCTATGATTCTTATGTAAAAATTACAAAGCATTAATTTCTTATATGTTTATAGCTTCAAGCCTCCAGAATCTGCAACGTCTTCGAGAGCTGAAGTATCATTGGCTGTAGCATCACCGTCTACATCAGGATCTCGAAAACGTGAACACAAACCGGATAGACAAGTTAGTAATAAGCGTCACCAAGCTGTATCCGATAGTGACGACTAGAATAATAACCTATTATCCGTAACATATTTTATCTGCAACATACCTATAATAAACATATAACGAAGTTTAAATTAAACAACCTAAAAATATATTATTCTTTTTCATAATCTCATTAACATTTTAAGAAAATTTTCCGTTAATTTTTTTACACCTTTTTGTTCTCTCATAAGATATTATATCTGAATCATTAAAGTATTTAAAAGTAGTTGCAATAAAAGTCTTTAAATAAAGCCTTTATTTTGTATATTAATATTTATTCAAGTAGATTTGTGCGAGTTTTAATTTCAATTATGTTTTATTATAAAAATTAAAAAAAGTAAGCTTAGAAAAATAGCATGAATTTTTCTTTATTAAACATTAAAGAAGATTATGTAGCAATTTCAAATATATTAGGTTTTGAAAATGTTATGTTTATTAAATATATCGAATTGTATACAAGATATGGGTAAAGTAAGGATAAGAAAATACAATTCTGTTTAAGAAGTGCGATAATATCTATGGATAATTATAAATTAAAGTTTTGTTAGTCTTAATTTCTGAGATTTGATATATAAAAAAATGTATGCAATGAAATACTTATGTAATCAAAGATGTATGTTACAGCCATTGACCATCCAGTTTATCATGGACATTAGTTTCACTATTGTATAATAGAATATTCAAAAATATAAACGAAATAAACAATTTCTCTCTCTCTTGTTTCAAATATATTTTAGATATTCTAGATTTTTAAAATCCTACATAATCTTTAAAACCGATCATCAATGGGAATGTAAGATTTATCATTTTAAAGTAAAGTAAATTTATCAAGGCTGGATATTATCGAACAATACCTCATCTCTCAAATCATTTATTCAAATAAAATCAAATTCACTGTTCACAATTAAAAGATATACATACATATATATTATTCTAAAGAAATGACAAAACAAAAATATCCCTTGTACCAATACAATTATAGTGCAGTCCTTCCTACATAAATATATAGTAATCTATAATTTGCTTTAGTTCCATTATTCAATGAAAATATTATCACACTGATCTATTATATTAGCGTAGAATGCTAATATATAAGCATATAGCATATAAAAGTTATAGTATATTGATGTAAAATAAAGTAGTAAAACATAGAAAAACAAATATTTAACAATCCTTTTAGATCCTTTATGTTATCTTAACATAAAATGATTATTAGCTTTGCCTGTATTCTGGATGAAACAAGGTAAATTATTGAACTTAAAATCATATACATGTGTTTTATAAACATGTTGATCATATCTGTTAATGTTTTCATTGAAATGCATATGTAAAATACAATATTAATAACAAAATTTCCGAAAATATTCTTGTCTAAGTCATCGTATGAAAACAATGTTATACAAATTTGAGTCGTGTAATTTAAACGAGACATTCTTTTGTAGTATTAACAATTAATACTTTTACATGTAATTTGATATTTTTTTACACAAATGTATAATGTACCTGTAATATGAAATTGTTTCTTTTTAATTAATTTAAATGATTGTTTTCTTTACATTTTAATTAATTTATCTGGTTAGTATGTATAAAATACTATGTATGAAAATATTAAATTACTATGTATGAAAATATTAAATTACCATGTATGAAAATATTAAAGTAAAATATTATTACTGCAAAATACTCTTTACAAGTACTTTACAAAACTACACGACTCATTTTGTATGTTTATAAATATATAAAAATTACAACTACATATTGAAGAACAGAAATAATAAAATATAAAGAATTAGAGAAAACGAATGTAACCGAAAAGATAAAAAGAAAATAATGAGATATTAATGTTGTATAGATACTAATATTGGGTAGAGTGACCCTTGTCTGTTAATTTGCCTCTGCTAAGGTGTTGATTCTCGCATTAATAGCCAATAATTGCGCCACAAATGACGAATCGTTCATGATTGCAGCTAGGGCAGAGAGCATATCCTTCAAAGAATCTTGCGAAATATCAAGTTGACGTGCACATTCCATTAATATCTCCATTTCCTCGGCGTTAGGACTTATCTGTAATAAAGGATAAATTTTTGTTGTAAATTTTGCAATCTTAGATTTCATCAAAATAATGTTTCAGTTTGACTGATCTCATGTTAATTAATATCAAGAACTATACCTTATAGGAATCGCAAAATTTATTAAATGCCATTTTAATTCGCTTCTTCCCATTACCAGTCTGATAAAAAATTGTGAAGGTCTGTGCATTGTTCATGTCTAGTATAACAGAGAAATATATGCCGGCAGTAACATGACCCTTAGTATCTCTGGCAAGGAGACTTCTGCGATTATAAACCAAATTTCTACGTTCCGTAACATCAATGGCAGTTAAATATGGCCTTGCCACGTAAATGAGAGCGACTTGCATTCTCTCCAAGGCACCAGGTTGAGTTTTTCTTTCATGCCATTCGACATAATCAGGATCGTCAGCACACAGACAGTAGTTGTACTCTTTTTTGCAAGTTGGTTCATCGGATTGCGTGAACCAGCCTGTATGAGGGTATAACTTATCGGCCATCACAGTGATAACGCGCGCTACGTGGTAACCGGGATCGAGTAACATGATCCCGCGACGTCCGCTAATCTCGATTTTCAGGCACACTAGTACATGCTCCTTTTCACCACTATCTGCCGCTGGTGGACCGCCGACATATCCAGCGATATCACCAATCGTCTGTAACACATTGATTTTTCTCATAAGTTAATGTTAAAAAAAATTGTTTCAAATATTAGTTGACACAAAATTCAAAATATTATGTGTTTATGCAAGTCAAAATATGTATTTATTGAATTTGCACAATTATACTTTTATTGGTGTTTTAATATCAAATAAAATGTGATAAAATATTTGATGCTTTTAATGATAGTAACGGTTCTGTTTCTATATAAGTATTTAACTATATTCTCTATAAATATCTCAAACTTACTTCTTCACAAGATACTAAGTAGAGGCCACTTGCTATCCCTGGGAATCGCTTGTTCAAATTTGTTAATCGATGTAATAATTCGAATCCAAGACCGACGCAAGTATGGTGTTCATGTGTTATTAGAGGCTGATATTTTCGGTAAAATCGATCCAACATTTTCTCTCCGCTTGCAGTATAGTCCTTGTAAAACCTGTTATCAATATTGTATATGCAATTTCATAGTATTCTTAATTGTATAAATAATAAGGATTAAAATAAGAGAATCTGTTACGTACCTGAGGAAATTACCAATAGTATCATAACGATGCTCACGCAATAAGCGTTGCGTTTCAAGTTCAACGCTACCTGCTAATTCCTCATACTGTTCGACCGTGGAAACGGTCAGGGCTGGTGACTCGTAATGGGCCCAAACCGGCAGGGGTAGCGGAACACCCCTGATCCAGGGCCCGCGTGCCTGCCCCTGTGGCTGGCACCATATCTCTGCCGTCTCGAGTCAACTCGGCCATTCGTTGCCCCAGCGACCAACCGTTGGCACAAAGCCATGCTCGTCCCTGCAGCTGCTTATTGGCTCCACAGGGCTCTCTCCGTGTTTTATACTCTTCTCTCGCTCTGTAAATGCACATGTAAATATTATAAAATGTGTAAAAGTTTTAAAGAGGTAAAGATTAAGCCTTTGGAGCATTACATCTCATCGACAACTTACAATATCTTTCTAAGTGATTTGTCCCAGTTGCACTTTTTATCTGTTTTCTGTTTAAAATTAAATAGCTATATTTTCTAGAAATATTTGTAGATATTGAAGAAAAAAGACAACACAATGTAAAAGGTGCAACATAGAATAGAATATACTTAACAATGCGTTTTCATATGCGTTTTCTAAAAAATCAAAATTAAATTCTCGATTGCAGAAACGCAATTTCGAATTCCGCTTTGGATTATGATACGATATGACGCAATACAGAGCGTGTGGCATTCTTCAATACACAGGTTTCAATCGTGACGTAACATCATAACGAGACATCGGTACGATTCTTTCAGTCACTCGGGCTATCTCGCGTGAAAAAAACAACAAGATTTACGTGAGCGATTACCGTAAGTCCACTGCTATTTGAGTACACGGAGCAGCACGGTGCCGTAAGACAAGACCTGCGAAATTAGTGCGGAGAGGCGGATTGAATTTGTCATCGGTTCGGTATCCAACATGGCGATATGTACGCTCAGAGGACGCGCGTGATGAATCAATACACGACCAAATAGATATGTAGCGCGTGCCACGTGTCTACTGGCGACCTTCGTCGTCACGTCCGCGAGTCCGTCCGCAAAATACGCTGCGTCGTTTGCCGCGCCAAGATTCCTCGAGATGAAGGGAGAAAAAAAGGAAGGAGTGAAATCGAAGGAGACAAAATCCGTTATCCGTGCTCTTTCTCGATCCGAGAAGGAATTTTCCGTCGTCGCGTCTCGCGATCCGCGATGTCACGCGATGAAAACTTTCGTGCTCGATCACAACGAGAGATAATCAGCCTGTCAAAATCTATCGTACACAATCGAAGATCGTTAAGTATGAAAAATTTTTTTTAAAATTATCAATCTCGTGGACTTCTCTCTTAATCGAAGGAAACTGACGATTTTTGAATACATGTTTACATTCGCGATAAAAAAAGACTAATTTGACAAGCCGCTTTCTCTCACTCTCTCCCGCGCTGTCAAATTCGTTGAAGCTCGCATATGGATGCGAATTGTCAACGACTCGCGGATGATTTTTAAAGGGAAAACACAAGATTTTTTTTTGACAGAAAGAGGGAAAGGATTTCCAAAACGAAACATTCGCGCCTGTTTTTTTCTTAAATATAAATCTCAATAAATTTTGATATTTCTCTTGATTCACGCGATCTCGAATATCTCGAGCATCGTTCGCGCATCTTTCGCGAACACTTACCCATACAACGAGCGCACCAAACAAACAAAAACTTTCGCTTGCGAACTTTGTTCCGGAACCTCACGTGTCCGAACTCGAGGTAGAACTGAGAGGGAGGACGCGAGCGTAAGGGTTATATACGTTCAGCGGTCCTCTCTATCCGCCCCTCCTTCTCTTTTCCTGTCTTTAGATCATCCCCGCCTCCCACTCGCCCATCCTGCTATGCTTGTGTATGTGTTTCTCCACGTGATTGCGATATCATCATTCTTTATCGAAGTTTACCAGTAAAATCACACTTGCAAATATCTCGCTGATACGACATTTTCAATTTTTTGCTTTTCTTGTTATTGTAGTTGAAATTTTTTCACTCACCGGTTTAAAGTACAAATTTTCAATTAGACATCTATTTAATTTATAATTTTAACAATTTAATTTTCTATTTAATTTTAACAATTATTAAATCATCTTAAATCAGTCGGAAAAAAATCTATATGATCGAATAAATATAAATATATATAATTGTGTATATTGGCTTTTTTTCTAAAATATATTTACGTGTAATGAAGTTTGTCAAGAATTTGCGTTTATGCAAGATACTTAAGTATGATTAAAGAAATCTTGGAAGTTATAAATTTTAAAAATTGATTACAGTATAAGAATATATAGTCTACAAATATCTGTATATTCTCTTTTTTTTCTATTCTCTTTTTTCGTTCCTTTTGTTACACGTTTATATAAATAAGAAGTAGCTTTAGTTTCTTACACAATAGGTAATTATTATGATAAAAAACAAGGACTTAGGGTACTTTCCGATTCACGCATGAAGTGACAGAAAATGTATAGTTCATGTCACGCATATTATACATTTTCTGTCATTTCATGCGCGTCATGCGTGAATTGGAAAATACTTTATTATGATCGAGGAATGAAATCAGATTTGAATGTGATTGGTCGATGGTGTCGTGCCTCTCGAAATTATTCCTCAGCTGTTCAGATCATATGTTCGTGACGACATCGATGACAGTTGCTTCCACGAATTAATAACGAAGAACGCAATGTAGGCAATTTTATTGTTAAATTTTATTGTTAAAAAAATAGCGTTCATTGAAAATATTAAAAATGAACAAAGTATAGAGCCTCGCATATTAGAGAAAATAATTATCTGAAAATTAATTCATCTTTCAAACAATCTTTAATTATTAATTCGCTTATCGTATATTTAATTAGTCTTTTTTAGCAGTGGAAAATCCCCTATTGGGTAACTCTTGTGTTTTCATTCTACTTCATACGTCTTTCTCAGCGGCTATTTCGAAAGACCTTGAACGTCACGCGATTACGCGGCTTCGATTAAAGCAGTTGCTTTTAAAACGTTACATTATAGGCAATGTTTTCGCGGAAGTTGCCAAAATCATAAATCATTACAGGTTTGCTTGCGCAAGTTTTTACGCGAATAACTCTCACGGATATCCTCGTAGTCGAGATAAAATACACCCGACACTGATAGAAGCTATATCTCCTGCAGTGATAGCAAATCCCGTCAGCTGGTAATGTTTCTTTCTCGGATTTTCATATAATGTTTTAAAAGAATTTTTTTTATTTGAATGTCGCGAAAAAAGCAATCAGGTTTGTAACATTTCTATTTTACAGTACTTCTATTTTACAGTACTTCTATTTTACAGTATTTCTATTTTACAGTATTCTGCTTGATCGACAAAATTCTCGCAAAGTCACGGACCTCTTCAGATCAGTTAAATATGTTTACTATCGTCCACGTGATTATCGTATGACCCGATTGGAGCTACGACGCAATTCGCTCTTGAGAATTGGATATGAACCAATTGCCATGTTCTCCTCGTCTACTGCGTAGAATATACTATATTTCCCGTTTATGTATTTATTACAGCATATGTTAGCATGTCTGAATCAAATAGACGCATTCTTTTGTAACATTGCGTAAGAATCAAGTCTGTAAGCTTTCGGGGTAAAGATATTTATGCGATCATCGCGTCGCGTTGATAGACTTAACATTATCTAACTTTCTATTGACAAATATTTGATTACATTATTGCGTCTCTTTTATATATTTGTCGCTATTTTTATATATTTGTCTAAAGTTATAGCTTATGAATAATCAATATTTAATTTTTTTATTACACAAATTAAGATATTATCCGTAATCGTATGTGTGTTAATTGTACAATTAGCGATTAAAAAGAAATTAAAAAGATCCATTAGAAATTTTCTTGGTAATGATCAAAGAACGTTCGAGATATTCGTAAATCCGCTCATTGATAAAGTGGTTCTTTGTACTGTGCTTCATCCGAAGTTATGACTCATGCATAGTCATAGTGACGCATTTACCGTTCATCACAAAGATACAGCCATTAATAATTAATCATCTTTTTTGCAATCTTTAGCAATCTTTTTCGTAAATATATAAAACGAGACTTATTTCCGCCATTCAGTCTCGTCTAATAGCTTTGGCTTAAAATACTTCAAATGCACAATGCTTGGTATATATATGCTGTAACATAAATATTGTTATGCAGAATATTTTTCACTTGAAGTTTGAACATTTTAAAATCTGTCAAAGATAAAAAAACAATATGAATAAAGTATAATCGTATAATTTTTCTAAATATAAATATTTCTATTTAAAATTTTATTTAAAATTTTATTTAAAATTGTCTATAATTAGTAAAATCGAATGTGTATTAAAATAAAAATAATAAAAATATTTCTATTTTTTTATATAATATTTATATTTACATTTGTTCATAAGAAAGTAGCTTTCTTTTCTCTTATTGTTGTATGATCATATTTATTCAATGAATAGAAATTATTCGAAATTTATCGAAGAAACCTGAATACAAGAGCCTCAACGATATGCAACTTCGGCAATCAAATGAACTATTTGGTATATAAATATCCGTATAGGATTGCAATTACATACATCGAGCTGCTTACGTAAGCGTGAATAACGCATATGTTAACAGCCGAAGAATGCGAAAAAGTGCTTCTCAGAAATTATGTGGCTCAAGGAAAAGCTATATGAAAAAATGCTACATAACACGTCGTTGAATTGTAAAATTGACACAATTTCAAATCGAGTGGATAACATATGATACACGTGAACATAATTGATATAATGTTATGTACCATTAGTACGCTTTTAGATAAAAATTATTTATTATTTGTGAAATTTTATTAAATTTTTATATTTCTTTAATTTAAAATTTTTTTAAATTTTCTACTATTTTATGATATACAACACGTTGTTTCTTTTAGATGAAGATATATATTTGCAAAAAATATTTAATAGCTAGAGCTAGCATATGTTACAGGTAAAGTGTATTGTTTAAATGTAAATCGTTTTCTCAGTTTATATATTCTTAAACATTTTTGTATATAATTAAGTAAATATATATTGCCTATTAAAAATTCATTTAAAATATATTTATATATCAATTATACTCTAGAAAAATAGCATTTACGCTTTACTACTTTAAAAGATTAGACTTTATGATATTCTTGAGATGTTTATTATTTACGTTATTTGTGTCATGTCAATAGCTTTTATCTTAATAAATTTACTGTCCATGAAATATACACATGTGATATGATGAGTGTATGTATACATGTCAAAAGACACGCGAAATTTCCCGTAAAGTAATATTTGGATTTATTTAAGGAAGTGAAAACATGATATAAGTGTGATATGAAAAATATTTAAACAAAATAAAATCCCTACATCTTCAAACAAAACACATCAGTAATATATGATGATAAGATAAGATTATAAAATATAAGATAAAATTATAAAAATGATTATTAAAAATATAAATAAGATTATAAAATATAAGATAAGATTACAAAAGTGATTATTAAAGTGAATAGAAGTGAACAGTGAATATATTAAAGTTAAAAAAATAAAATTCAGAAAATTTATAAATTATTAAGAAAATGAAAACTTATACGAAATCTAAAGAAATCGCCATCAATGAGAGCTAAGTGGATAATCTAATAACATTCTTATCTGAAAAGAGAAAACAAAAGAGAAAATTAGTAAGAATATTAGTAGAAAATTATTAAAAGATTATTAGTAGAAAAGATTTCTTTTATATTTCCCGGTTTTAAAAAAATTAAATTTTGCTATTTCTAGAAATATGCAAATTTGAAGTTAATCAAATTCATCGAAATTCTTAGAAAATTTATAACACACTATTTAAACAATCTTATCTGCAACTGATAATTGTGCACAAAATTTACTAGAATCTTTTTAAATGATATTAATTGATTTTATTATATTAGTTGACTTTAATATGATATTAGTATATAGAATATAGAATATAGAATATGATATTAGTATATAGAAAGAAATAAAAAATTATCTATATTATATATTCGTCTAATATATTTTATTTTTATATCAAACGTGTGCGCTTTAATACTAATTACAAGTTTAATGCTTTATTAATGTACAAATTTCCTTAATATACCTTACTATATATCTAAATGTATTTATAAATATTTTATAAGACAAATGTTATACATACATGTTTGTATGATTTATATGTATAATAATTTAAATGTATATATAAAAATATTATGTATATTAAATATTGATAAAAATTATCGATGCTATAGTCTAATTTAAAATGCATAAATTATTTAAGAGGAAGAGAACAAAAACATAATAATAAATAAATGTAACAGATATACATTTTTCTCTCTCACGTTTTAAGAGCTTGCTCAGCTGATTATACCTGGACACGTGATTATATAGAGTGGATCATATGACATGCGAGAAGCCAATCGCCATGCATTTTGCACATTTAGTAAGGCCGCCAATATTCGCGACTGCGCGTTGTCACCTGTGATGTGCGTGCCATGAATGGTTTACGCCATGCCGGACTTTGTCCTTGAATGTAGTGATTGATAGCGATCACTTTCATTCCTCGTCGCTAATATTGAGATAACGTTCGCTGGGAATTTTCCGCTCCTTTGGCACGTTTTCAAGCCGGGAAAATGTATTAATTGATATTTCTTACATACAGTGACATTTTGAGGTATTTGTGCGATAGTGTCATGTTCGAGTTGTCAAAAATGTTAAGATTGCTACGATTGTCTGCAATAACTTATCATTCCTTTTCTGTGTCAACAGAGTACTTTCCAGAGTTTTTAAATTTTATATCGTTATGTGTTTATATGCATGTGTATATATTGAAATATATAATATAATAATTGTTCCATAATTGTTTAAAATTTTCCTTTCTCTTAACATATGTTATCAATGAGTCTATTAAAGTGTAAAAGAATAAATGTGAAAGAATGAAAATTATATATAAGAAATAAAAAAAATTTTTGTGTGATTACAGATTGTTTGTATACTTTTGAAACATGCTTTGTTAATACTAATAGAGAAATATAAAAATGTCATATGAGTTTATCATACAAGAGGACCACTTTTACAACTCTAATTATGATATATTGAAGAGATGATAATTTTATTAATATCTATATAGAAAAAATGGTATGTTACAGATATAAAACAAATCAATTCCTTTTTTTTATCGTATTTATAAATTTATATATAAGGCATTTCTTATCTATTTCTTTTTTTATTTCAGATTAATCAAGAAAACATATTATCAACATCTTTATCCTTGAACACAAATCAATATACGCAAAATGAGAATGAACCAACAGATAATTTATATCTTGCACTAATACAATGCTTTGGTATTATTCTATGTGGGTAAGAATGCATTTATTGTTTATCCAAATGAAATATATAAGAAAATATTAAGCATCAAGAATCTTTCTCAGATTGCAATATTGTTCTTCTAATTTTTCTCGCATATTGAATATTGAAGTTAAATAATTCATTAAAGATTTATTATATACTAATGAGAATATGTATTTCACAGGTATTTAGCAGGAAGATGCGGTATGATGACAAAGACTGAAGCAAATGGCCTGAATACTTTTGTTGGTACTTTTGCTTTGCCATCATTAATCTTCATGTCTCTGGCAAAACTTGATTTCACATTGGTTAATTGGAAATTTTTGCTCTCTGTATTGATTGCTAAGAGCTGTGTATTTATTACTGTACTAGCAGTTTCATTAGTAATTAAAAAGCAATCAAATCCTGGATGTGCTGCACTCTTTGCAATATTTACTACTCAAAGCAATGATTTTGCTATTGGATATCCAATGAGTGAGAAAAATAGAATTATACATACATATCACGTTTATACATAATTCCACATTATATTTAATATATTTTTTCATACTAAATATTGTCATTTTAGTTAATGCTTTATATGGAAAAACACATCCAGAATATGCTGCGTATCTATATTTGATGGCGCCTATATCGTTGGCCATTTTAAATCCAATTGGTTTCGTATTGTTGGAGATAGGCAAGCGACGTGTGGAGGAACATTCAAATTGTAGAGACATGGTTTGTTCCATCATGAAAGGTGTCGTACTGAATCCAGTACTGTTCATGACAGTTTTGGGCATTATAGGCAATCTTATATTTAATCATAGTATACCGCGCTTACTTGCCGCAATTCTCGAAGTACTCGGTAACGCTTTTTCCGCTAGCGCATTGTTTCTTCTTGGTTTGATGATGGTAGGAAAGATACACAAATTAAAAGGTACTGCGCTAGTTATACCGGGTATATTGATCTCTGTGAAACTACTAGTCCTACCTCTAGTCATAAGAGAATCTATTATTCTCTTGAACGCCGGAGATAACTTGACGGAAACAAGAAATTTGAGTACTTATGGCTTCCTGTATGGTACTATTCCGACAGCACCAGCTTTATTTATTTTCACTTTGCGATATAATCTCGAAATCGATCTAATTGCATCAGCAATGGTAGCTTGTACGTTTCTCTCTGCTCCGCTTATGTTTGTATCTGCTAAAGTGGTCAATGCAGTTTATACTGGAATTACACCGGCCAATTATGCACGACAATTAAATATTTTTGCCTTTGAAATAAGCGTTGCGTCAGTAATAGCTTGCATATGGCTGTTGATTTGTTTCCTTGGATTTGAACGGAAAAGATATAATCAAGTCACTCATCGATGTACCCTATGTCTCATAATTGCGCAGGTATATATAATAAATTAAGATGTGTTTCTACATTATATATTCAGTTTAATTTTATATGTATATTTTTCACATGTTTCCAGTCTGCAGCGGCAATAGGTGTGATAATTTGGTCAAAACTTGATCCAAGTGATAATCGATCAACATTATGGTAATAAAAATTTTATATAATTTTTTATCAAATGAGATTTTGATATTAATTGTTGTTATTAATTAAAGGTATGTCCAATTTATTTTAATAACTACTGGCGTATATGCAAGCAGAATATGGACAGCTGCAATTGCAGCAACATTATTATTTTTGAGTTCACGCTCGTTATCCTTTGTTGAAAATCTACAAAAATGGTTTTATCCTATTGGATGGGGGTATGGATATGAGAGCTTTTCTCACGAATTCTTAATAATTTCTACATTTATATCTATATTTATGCAATGTATAATAATTAATTTGCAGAATACCACTTCTAATGACGACAATAATGTGCACTATTACACTAACTCCATCTGAGTTTGATTTAAAAAATCCAAGTTTTCAATTGACCAGAGTTCAAGCTGCTGCATCTTCATTCATATTAATATTTTGCTTTATAGGTATGTTATAATAAAAGATATACGTTTTTAACATTTGATAATATTTATGTTCCAAATTACTATTGTTATATTACTATTTATGAAATATAGGAAATTTAACTTAATATCTTTATTACGATATATACTGATTTTTTAATAATTATTTTTTTATGTTGTACAGTGACATTAGGATGTTTAGTTTTACAACAGAGATATCAAAGAAGACACATTACAATGTTATATGAACATTTAAGGAATAATACAGAAAATACTACTACAACTGAAAATACTATAACTGAAAATACTACAACTGAAAATAATGAAAGAAGTATAGTAGATGTGGAAGATTTAGTTTCTCCATTAATTAATGCACCTACGTAAGTTAATTAAAAATAAAAATGTGAATAGAAATTTGCAAATTAATTATAAACAATATCTTTTTAGAATTGGCTGTGAATTTCAAGGTAGTTGTTCGAATGGAGCATGCAGAGCTGATAATATAGAGAGAGATTGCAATGAAGAAGATAGAACAAATACAGATAACGATCCACAGATTTTGCGACATCTCGTTTTCCTTATTTTACTATTGTGTTCTATATTTATTGTACGTAAATTATTTTTCTCGACACTATTGAGATACAGTGAAATCAATATTATTATATTATAGGGCTTATCAATATCTGTGGGAACATTAATAATGGAGCAACTAACTGGCATTTATGCTGAACTTGCATTCTTGGATGTAGCATTGAACTTTGGACAATCTTTAATAGCATTCGCTATCTTTGGACTGGATCCTAGTTTAGGTAAATTGGGTAGCTGGCTACAAAAAGTGTGCAAGAAGTGGCAATTTGGTATGTTCTTATGACATATTTTATATATATTTCATATTTATGTTTACACAAAGTTCATGTATATTTATATGTAAATTTATACATATATTAAAAGATGTACAAATATCAAAATAAGTATTATATAAATTTATATCTAATTTATATAATACCTTAATTTTTTATAGCAAATTAACTTGTTGATTGATATACTTTGATAATATTTTATAATATATGTGTTTAATTGACAGGAAAAGAATTAGAATTACCTTGTGAAGATGCTCTTAGTACAGAAGTAAAGGCAATCCGAGAACAATTTAATCGATGTCATCTAGAAGCATGTCGAGCACGTATATCTATGTGCCGTAGACGATTGTTGAAAGTATATAAAGGAGTCTTTTCAGGGTCGGATTTGGTCAACTGGTTGTTGGAAGTTGGAATTGTCGACAGTCGAGAGGAAGCTGTGCGCTACGGTCGTTGTTTATTAGATAGTAGAGTCCTACAACATGTCGATGGTACACATCACTTCTATGATCAAAATTTTCTATATACATTCAACGCATAGCTAAATTTTGGAATATTTTTGATGAAACAAACTAATTTTAATCATATCGTTCAATATTTCGTTGAACCATTTCAAAATTATCATTGAAATATTGAATGATAGGAATGATTAAAAGAAATTATTTAAGATAATTTATATAGTCGAACTTCCATATTCTTTACTCTTTATTAAATATTCTTTTCAATCTCTCTTTTTAGAGAACAAACTCTATATTCATATATATATATATATATATATATATATATATATATATATATATATAAACAATAATAAAATTAATCTCAGAATACTGCAAAGAGAAAGATGAATATAATAATTTTTTAATTACTCATGAGAGTATGACTAAAGTTTGACTATATGTGTTTAAAATTATTTGAGAACAAGCACAAAAAATTAGTATATGTTATTATATAATTAATTATATAATAATATATACTATATATAATTATATAATATATATTAATTTATTTGAACATATTTATTTCAAAATATTATAGATATAATTTATGTAGCACAATTTATAGAAATCTCGAAAATATTATGAAAAAATATCAAAAAGAGAAATATCTCTTTATATATTTATGTTAATATATATGAATGTGTAACATAACTTCTCTGCACACAATACAATAATTTATTCCTATTATTTATTGAAAAGTAGCATCAGTATTAGTTTTCTTACTGTTTTGCTATTATTATGTATAAAATGAGTAAAGGCTGTGCTTAGTACATTACAAACTTTCAATATACAGTGACAAGGCTGCTTTTATATAGAAAAATTTAAATTATTTAATTAAAAAATATGATGGAAATAATGATTGAAGAAGGAGACAAAAAAAATATTGAAAGTATTTGAACTACTTTTTAATGTATGTCAATATCAAATTTGAGTGTTTTACATTTTTTATTTTGCATTAATATTTGAAATACGTGGAAGAATTAATAATTTATATATGCTATTATTTATGTGATAATATATATTTATTATTTACTCATGATTATTTCTTATCATATTTTTCATATTTATAAAATATAAAAAATATGATAAGAAATAATCATGTACAAAGGTTAGGCAATGGAATGTAATGAAAGAATTTTTTTATTGGATTGAATTTATCTGATTTTATTTTTTATAATAAATTATCATGTTTTATTAAATTATTTAAGATGATCTTTATATACTATCTTTATATACTATGTATGCCGATAGGTAATAAATACATGATAATTATATCAAAAGTGCAAATAATTGTTGATATACAAAATTATTTTCCTTTCTTCTGTTGTTGTAAAATATATATTGGGTACTTCAGAAAAATTTAGATAATAAAATACAATTTTATATAAAAAATATGTATTATTACAATACATATTTTTATATAAAATAAATATGTTATTATAATCATATAGTTTCTATATAAATCTGGATTTTTATAAATTTAGAAACATAGATCATCATCAGGATCATCTTCATCTATATCATCTATATCATCTGGATGATAAAATATTCTAGAGGTATTTGTTGTATTAACAGTATAAGGTAAAGGTGTTTTGTCTCTTTGTTCCATTTCTCGAGCATTCATTTCTATTCTAAATGATGATTCAATTTTCATTGCTTGATTTTCATTTGCTTCTGATTTGTGAGCATTTGCTATTGCAATTTTTTCAGTGTTAATCTGATAAGATGTACTCTCCTGCTTTATTATTTCTGTTTGACATATTACGGAACCACCCAATTTTCTATGAATAAGCCTTGCAGTGTAAATTAAATTATTTATAGAGCTAATTCCGGTAAATTTCTCTAGTTTAACATAAGTAGTACCCAAAGTTTCAATTGCAGGCACTTTCTGTACAACATCTCTCCGATAAATGCATATAAGTTGTGACACCTGCTTACTTAATTTTTCTACAAACCATAGAGCCTTTGCTAGACCCACATACAGAATTAAGGAACTCAAGCAATTGACGATAACTGTATTCCGAGGCTTTAATTTGACAGTTTTAAGTATATATTCAAGATTTTCCAAATCTTTCTTTACAACTTCATTTATATTGATAGTATAATAATCATGTAAATGTATATTCTTGGATATTAATGGCCCAGATTCGTTGTCATACCAAAATTTTGGATCAGAAAATGACAGTAAATCGATACTATAATTAGGATCCTTCTCCTTCCATGCATGCAGCCATCCAGCTATTAATGATTCTGCATACATTACATCTAATCCTGTGAAATAATTGGTATTTTTTTGATTCGTAAAACACAGACTATGTCGAATAGCTTGATTTAATTAAAAAGTAACCAACCTTCATCTATAACAATCATTTTTGTTCCTTCTAGTACAGGTAACGTGTCCATGTATGCCATTTTACATAAAGTATACTTTTATGTAGCTTCACAGAAAAAAATGGAGATAAAATATACACAATCGTGTGATTACGACAAAAAATACAAGGAAAGATAATAAGTTCTTAGGAAGGTACGATTATATCGACATATACATTTATGCGTATCTTTGCGATATTGGATCTTACTTATATGCTTTGAGTAACTTTCTCAATAAAATATGTATTTAAACGTAATCGTTTCTTATTATTTGTCATACAAATATAAAATGACAAACTAAAAATTCAACATGTTGCTTCTTCGAACACATGCACATAATCGCTCGTAATTCAACAAACATAACCAAATCATCGAGAAATCGTCATTTTACGATTAACATTTTATGTCGAAAATATAAATCATCGTTTAGTAAAATGATTGCCAGTTTTATTAAAGTCTTTAATCTTTAATAAAAAAAAAAGATATACAAGATTTTATTTATGGAGCAAGGTCAATATTTTAAAATAAAATAAAAGAGATAAGTAGTTTTACCTGCGCTCTGATAAAAAAATGCGATAGTATCGATATCAAATTCTGAGATATATCGACCACCTTTTATTTCAAAAATTAGTAAAGCACTCGTGAAAGATAAATATTTAGGAAAAATATATGTACTCAAAAACCTCCAAATATATATATAAAAATGTTAATAATATAAATAAGTAATTTCTTATTATTTTCTTAAATTCTGACATTGCATATTTTTTTGACACATCTTTATTGCATCTTTATTTCTGAATGAATGACGGAGAGATATTATTATCTCGATTTATCTATTGTCAAAATTGTTGATGGATACTTTAAGGCAAATATAAATAATATAAATACCTATGAAATGCGACGAGATCTCTCTTAAAATATTCTTTTTGTATATATACATTAGATAAAATTATATTTCTTTTTCTTTCTATTTATTTCTTCATATATCTCTATGTCGATATTTTCGAAAGTCATAAATATTTCGTATTATCGCATTTCTATGCCATTATATTCATAACCAAATGAACATGGCACTTATCTGAAGAAAGGAAAAGGAAAAGAAAACAAGGTTCGCTTATCTTCTCTAGCATATCTCATTTTTCATATCGTATTTAAGATAAGCACATGTCCAGATATAGCAAAAAAAAAGGGCAAAAGAGGAAAATTAAAGGAAAATGTAAAAAGTATAGTCAAAAGAAGGTGTGAAATATCAATACCTCGCTAAAAACATTCACCGCGTGTCGACCGATGCTCCTTATGGCACGTATTAACGGGACGACAGAGAGTGTCGCTCGCCTTTTTTGGACGATAACAGCGTCGAAGGCGATTGGCCGGCGCGCGCCGACCAATCGCGTGGGCGCGCGTCTGGCCAAGGGCGTTGTCGCGGCCGATTGGTCGGCAGACGGCGTCGCGATCGCGGCCGAGGGGCAACGCGGAACATCGTCGGACGGGCGAACGTGACCGAAGACACAGCCACAGCGACGGACGAAAGATGAGTGCCAGAGTGTGTGTCACATCGAGGCAGTTTCGCTCGCAATAGGGAGGTTTTATTTTGACAGTGCGATACGCGAGCGGGTAGCGCGATGTTCATCACCACGACGTGTCCCTGAGCGAAGCCGAGTAGCGTCGAGTAGCGCGCGTACGTCGCGTAAGATCAGAAATATCGTCGCTCCGGGTCTCAGCCAGTCGGAGACGAGCGGGCGCGCTGTGTGCACCTGCATGTGTCACTTGTGAGTGCAGTGCGACCAGGGCACGTAGTAGTACCCTACCCTACCCTACTACGCGCGTTCCTACGCACGAGTAACGCGCGGTGCGCCGTTTGCGACGTTGTTATTGTTGTTATTATTGTTATCATTATTATTACTATTGTTATTATTATTGTTGTTGTTGCTCCCGCTACCGCTGCTGCTGCTGCTGACACTGCCGTCGTCGCCGCCGCCGCTGTTGCTGTTGCCGCTGTTGCCGCTGTAGCAGACACCGACGACGCCGACGCTGCCGCTGTCGCCGCTGTTGTTTCCCTCGTGCATCCTCACCACGAGTCGTACCACCACGTTGCCGGTCGTTGTCGTGGCGAGAGCCAGATGCGAGACTGAGAAAGAGAGAGCGAAAGAGAGAGAGCATCATCGCCGTCGTCACCGATGAGTTTGGCCTGCTGTTCGCTGCTACCTCTCTAACTAATCGCAAGCGTGTGTGATGCCCGGGAGCCGCTCCAGCACGGACCCAGAGCACAAGTCACCGCGGGAAAGTGGTGAAGACTCCGAGGATGAGAGCGAGATCCTGGAAGAGAGCCCCTGCGGGCGGTGGCTTAAACGTCGGGAAGAGGTACATGTTCCCTTATTTAAGTTATTTTGCACATGGTTCTGTTTCATCTCATAATTTTCTTCTGCCGATACCTTTCCACTGCGGTGGAGGGCTTTCGCATGTTTCATTGTTTTGCATTTGAGGATTCTAATTTGTCGCAGCATGCGAGGTTTCCTAAAAGACTTTGATTTGATAAGCGTTTCATTCTTTTCTACATTTTCTTCCAAATGTTTCTTTTAAAGTTTTATGTTATTTGATTTTATGGAGTGGAGCGTTTATGGAAGCTATTGTATGGAAAGCTATTGTATTAACAATGAGCTTCTAACATCTGTCATTGTTGGAATATGGATTATAAGATTGACTAACTATATAATTTTTGTACTGGTTTTTACTATTTGTTTAGCTGATAACTATAATATAAGAGCGATTTCTTGTATTCTTAGGTTTCTACAGTCACTAGAATTGTACAGTTAAATTATTTCATGTAAAATGCTTTATTAATGATGTTTCTTAATGTATAATGATTAATATTTTCATAAGCTGCTAAGTACAAGCAGATTATAATTATCGTGAAACACTTCAAAGATTTATTCATATAATATTTACATCTTTCTTTACATATATATCTTAATTTTATTTACAGATATATCTCTTTCGAAACAGTATTAACATAAAATGCTTTTGTTTTGATGCATATTATAATAAATATTAGGACAATTTATTTCAAATTGCATTTATACAGGTGGACATATGTACACAGATGGTTCCATTATAAAAAGTATGCAGATTATTGAGATTTGCTTTCATGTAACATCTCTTTTATATCATTGAATTTCTCTTATTATTTGGTATGCTTCATCTGTATTTTAACTCATACCAGATTCTTGGCACAAACATCTTACCAATATTAGGCTCATTCATATTTTATCCTAAAATTAGATTACTGACGTTTTGTTATCGAATATATAAATCAATAAAATTATTTTGATTGCGCTTACCTTACCAGCAGTCTAATGCTTTTTTTAGAAGTAAAATAATTTTTTTTGCCTTAAATGGTATTATAAAAGGTTAGCTTTTACTCATTTGGATTTTACATAATTGTATTTTTTATTTTAATATGATTATATTTATGAATACTTTGCACATTTGCATTATTTTATATTATCTCAATAATAGAAACTGTAATAAACTTTTTGTTTTCAAAACATAATCTCATTATGCTTTTGCTACATTTATTTTTATGCTTCTATATTACTATAGTTGAGTAAAACTTATAATTTGATTATTATTAATTCTTTTAAATGATATATGTTTTTATAAAGCATTATTTGCATTATAATCTTAGTTTTCTTTCATTTGAGAAATAATACTATTCGTGAAATATCTAACATCTTTAAATATGTCTAAATGTGTAGTTTTATATTTATAATGTCTACACATTTTGCATTAATCATAGAAGATATATTTATTTCAGGTATATGTAGGTTCGAAATCTACGTTAGCTGAAGGTTCTAACTTTGGATCGACAAGAGGAACTGAAAACGAAGTTACTGAAATGGAAGTATGTAACATTGTGAAACAGGAAGCGGAATAATTTTTACGTTTCATTGTACTTGTGTGCGTTGAGTTGTTAGTTTATCATTTCTTCAAAGTACTTTGTCCAGAGTTAATAATTTGAATGAAGACAATAACAATTTACATATATTATACTATTATGTACTAGCTGGACATTATTGTCTCTAATATCTGCGGTGGCAAGCCCTCCACTGAATCATCTCCCCTCTTTAAATTCTTGACAAGGTCACATCCATGTAATAGTAAATCGGCGTTGAAATCGTTTCAATGTACCACTTTAAGTACGTTTAAAATGGATGATTACAGTAATGCAATCCATTATACCTATATATAGATTGTATCGAATGAACCTGTTCAAATCACAACTTACAATATGTATTTATAACGTATTTATAACATATTTATATAATAGATATCTGAAATAATAGGTAATATCTGGATAATCGTGAATTTAAAAATATTATCCAGGAATTCTAGGATCACTTCTAGGATTTAGTTCTAATAAATAGAAACAAATGATTTTGGAGTACAATATTTTTAAATTTGCTGCGGTACAATTGGGTATAAAAAGAGAGACTATTTTTTCATATTAATAATGCTGTATATCTGCAAAACTTTTATAATTAAATAATTGTATAACTTTTTTCATTTGTTTTTATTAAGATAAATCATTAAGAAATATATAGAAATTAATACTAATTTTTGTCTCTGTAGGTGGAACAGAGAGATGTTCCTGGAATTGACTGTGCCTATCTGGCAATGGATACAGAGGAGGGTGTTGAGGTGGTATGGAATGAGGTGCAATTTTCGGAAAGAAAAAATTTCAAGGCCCAAGAAGAAAAGATACAACTTGTTTTTGAGAATCTCACACAATTGGAGCACCCTAACATTGTTAAATTTCATAGGTATTGGACAGATACCCATAATGACAAACCCCGAGTAAGTGCATGAGAATCTACATTTATATAAATATGATTTTTATATATTATTGATGTATTTTTTTATATTATTTTCTAGGTTATATTTATAACAGAATATATGTCATCCGGGTCCCTGAAACAGTTCCTAAAACGAACAAAGCGCAATGTAAAAAAGTTGCCTCTACAAGCATGGAAACGATGGTGTACACAAATACTTTCTGCGCTTAGGTAATATAAGCAATATAATACTGTGTATCGAGCAAATGTGATATTTATTTCCAATTTTATATATGTTATGTTTAAAATGTTTCAGTTATTTGCATTCCTGTTCACCCCCTATTATACATGGAAATCTTACCTGTGACACTATATTTATTCAACATAATGGTCTTGTAAAAATTGGTTCAGGTAAGTACATATATAAGAAAGAAAAGTAGAATGAGTTTTCTCTGTTATATATTAAATACATAATGTATACAGAGATATCATTTTATATTTCAACAGATAGCATGTCTGTGCATTGTATTTGAATTTATAAATTCTGATAAAAACAGATTATCATATTAGAATGATTATTTTCTTATTAAATGATCAGTATACAATGAGATAAGACTATATGTGAGGTATCTCCATCTTTTTCTCATTCACAGAATTATTTAAACTGTATATCTTTGCTTTATCATGATTTCTCATAAAGAAAATATTACATCATAGCAAATATTACATCATTTTCTTGTTTGAAAAATATATAACAATAATAGGACACAATAATCTTATTTTCTGAAAACTACTCATTCTCCATTTACGTATTGTTTAAAAAAATAAAGAGGATATGTAATAGTTATACCAAACTGAACAAAAAATGCAAATCTATATTAACATTTTTTGCTCAGTTTAGTACTAAGTAGTACGTGCCTTCCAAAACTCTTTCTTTTTTCTTTAACATCTTATATATATAAAAATATAGGAGCAGCAGATATTTCTAGAATTATATTACACACTTCCTATTTACTTTCACTACTCAATTGAAAGTAAATAAAATTTATGATTCAGCTCCTGATTGAACAAACAACATGATAAGTAATACAATTCATCTTATTGCAGTCAAATTAGGTGTTTGTCTGTAGCACACAAATACATCATGGAGATATTTTCATAAAAAAACATGTATATTTCAGTTATATCTTACAAAAAAATTATTTATTATAAATAATTGTAAGAAAATGTATTATCAATTTTGAAAATGAATAGCTTTAAAATAATATTTATTAATATTATGTAATACACACAGGGATGCATCAAACATGATATTTATAAATTGCTTGTAAATAGTTAAATTTTCTTTTTTTTAGCTTAAATAGCATTCTCTAACATATATATTTATATATATGCTACATGAATGTACAAAACCATGTATGTTAAGAATCGAATATTGATTGTGACAAGAATGAATGTGATTCTACCGAATTATATTTATTTTTGAAATGGTGTTTAGAGTTATTTGTACATATTATATTCTATCTAGATAAAACATTTCTCTTTCTATAATTCTATATAATGTTAGTAACATGAGTCCATTAGAAAGATTGTGTTTAAACTATCTTTTCATATTAGGAATAACTTGAGTCCTCATTTTTAATTGTAGCAAATAGGCTAATCTAGATAATGAAAAAAACACAGCAAAGCCTTTGAAGAGAGAGGAAGTACAAATCGTACTTTCGCCCATCCAATGGATAAATCTATCAACGTTGGTGTCCTTCAATTGGTGTTATTGTGATGAATATTTGAAGAAAAAATCTCATTTGGCAGATTATCATCAACTAACGTCAGCTAAGTAAATTAGGCAAAGAGGTAAACAATTTCTATATTAATTAAGTAGTTTTGCGCATTAAATATACAAATAATTAAAATTTATTTTAATTTTTTCATTAGAGTGCACTATGATTGCACTATATATTCTTCTGATTAATTATTGTATTTAATTATAAGGAGGGCAAAGTATACTTGTATATCTTTGTCCTTCTCACAATCATTTAGCGCACACATTTTCATTGTATTTTAATATATATACATTTTTTTTGTTTATGTATCCTGTAATCCCTGATTAAAAAGGATTCCTAAAGCTTTCCACTCCCAACATTTATACTTATTCAATGAAAGTGCCTCTTTATAGTAGAATCAACAGTAAAAATATAAAGTTACTTTTTCAATAAAATCATTATTTATATATTAAAAAAAAAAAACATTTTCAGAGGCACTTTCACATATGTATATATGCGAGAATTACTATTAATTGTACGAGGGCTCAAGTTACTCTTAGGATAAATTTTTAGTAAAAACACAATTTTTCTAGAGTGAATTCACTCATCTTAATGTAGGCAGTAAACATACAGAATGTGTAACAAATATGTACCTCTAAAACATATTTGATAAATTACTAAAGCATATATTTATACAATTCTGTCTAATGGCTATCCTATAAAATTTTCTAACACATTATGTGTTCACATTAATATGTCATTTTTATGTTGACACTTAATTTGAAATAAAATAACTTATAAAAATGGCAATAATATCTTTCGAATTACAGTGGCCCCAGATGCAATTCATCATCACATCAAGACTTGTAGAACAAATATGAAGAATATACATTTTGTAGCCCCAGAATATGGAAGTAAGTGTATTGTTTATATTTCGAGAGTTTATATATAGATTATATGTTTCAATTATATTTTATTGTCTCTGTTTAAGATTCCGTCACACCAGCCATCGATATCTATTCGTTCGGGATGTGTGCTCTGGAGATGGCCGCATTGGAAATTCAAGGAAACGGTGATACGGGTACAATCGTTACCGAAGAAAACATCTGGAAAACAATAGAATCTTTAGATGATGTTCAGCAAAAAGACTTTATTCGTAAATGTCTTCAGGTGGATCCGCTTAGTAGACCGAGTGCAAAAGAGTTGCTGTTTCATCCACTTGTATTTGAAGTACATTCTCTCAAGTTGCTCGCAGCGCATGCCTTGGTCAACTCAGCTAGTAAGTTAAAAATAATTTTATACTCGATCTGCTGATATTCAATAATTTATTATTTTACAAGAGCTAAAATAGTTATAATTTATATGAGATTTAAGAGAGACTTAAGAATAAGATTACAATTATATAAGTCATATCTAATGATTTGTTTTACAGCTAACATTTCGGAAACAATCACAGACGAAGTGTTACAAAGGCTATATGGACCAGATACCGTAGTTGCCGAAGTAAAATATCAAGGGATGTCCCCACAACAAATTCGTTTAAGTGATATTCCGGTTACGGAAAAATTAGAAAAATTTGTTGAAGATGTAAAGTGAGTATCTCAATCACACGTGAAATACATCGATTCTATTACTACATCGGATAAATTGATAACCAGAGTGATTTTACATTACCAGATATGGAATATATCCATTGACTGCATTTATGGCGAAATTGCCTCCCCCTGTCCGACCGAGGGCGATATCGCCCGAAGTGACAGAATCGGTTAAATCGGTTACACCCGAACCCGTGGACGTGGAGTCTCGAAGAGTAGTTAATATGATGTGTAATGTTAAGCCTAGAGAAGATAGTAGTGAATTACTTGTGAGTGGCATGCATAAAGTATTTGCATGCGATAATCTCTAAATAATGGTTTCATATATCTTAAATCGATGCATTTTGTAGATGACAATATTGTTACGAATGGATGACAAGATGAATAGGCAGTTGACGTGTCCTGTGAGCCAAACAGACACTTCAATGCTTCTTGCACAGGAACTTGTACATTTTGGATTTATTAATGAGGTAAATTGTTTATGTTAAAGTTTTGAAGTTTATGAGTACCTTTGCACAAAATATTGTGTGATTGTTGCAGAACGATCGTGATAAAATAGCCAATTTAATCGAAGAGGCATTGAGAAGATACTTCAATAAACAAATGTTGACACCAGGAATGGTATCGTTAACTAATCTTCCTACTCAAACTACTTTATTGCTGCCCGGTTCGGAATTTCCATGTCTGCAACACTTTGACAATTCCGTGTGCAACGCCACAACATCCAATAGTGATAGTGCAACTAACCTGCTGCCAAAAACCTCAGGTATATCCGTGTCAAGTAACAAAACGAATAAACTTCACGATGACGCAGAACCGCCGACAATCAACGAGAGCGGCAGTTAACCATCCAGGATAATGTCTGAAAACTCAGTTCACTGTGCCACTTTGCACGCTTTATGTATAGACTGGCTATGTATTTTTATATTTAAGTAAACAGAAAGGGGAGAAAGAATGTGAACATAAAGGTGGTGAGAGGGTGCCGTGGCTACACTACTCTAAGCTAAAGACAATTGCAAATTAGAAACTGCTTAGAATGTTTTTACTTTCATTTTTTTAGGCTTCAAAAATGTAATGTAAACTCTGTTGTCAAATTTCATCATCTCTATATATTTACAGTTTTTATTTTATACAGGTTATACCTGTTACATTGTTACATAGATACATGATAAAGTGACAAAGAATGTACGAATCTAATATAAAAAGACCAAATACTTGTGATTGTATAATTAAGAGAATAGTTAGAGGCCTGCTGGATATTGATTCATATTTACACATCAAGCTACATATGTGCGATTTGATACTTATCTGTCGTAATTTAATCTATCAAGATATAGAGTTACGAGCGTTTATTATGTATCGCGCGTTTCTCTATAACGTCTCTTACAGAATTGCAAAAGAAATTAATATCCGCCGAAATTTTATATTCTGCTTTTCAAATTGATCACATGTGTATCATACAATTTATTTCCTGATGCAAGAATCGAGAAGAATCAATTTAATCATGCATACAAAACTATCTCTTCATTGTACAGCTGTTATAAAAAATTTATTTTAATATTTCAAAAAAATTTTTTTTTTTTTTTTTTTTTTTTTTTCCGGATGAAATTTCGATCTCTCACCGCTCTTATTACTTTCGCCAAAATACTCAGTCTATTGTAAAGTCTGTCTAAAAGTGAGCGAACTCGTACATACAAATGTTCGCGAGAGAGAAAGTACAGAAATGTGCCCGTTCATTTTTAATATTTTTAGTTTCATAGGCAAGATTATACAATGTGAATACTGGCTCAATAGAATAATTTGATAGTAATCGGAAAAAGCCACGGCTCTACTCTATACTTGGGTATTATTGATGTGATTAAACCAAGGTTTATTAAATCTCGATAAAATTAGCTGAAAAATCCTTGTAAATATTTTATATTTTTAAGAAAAATCTGTTAAGACACAGAAAAAACTAGTCATATAGGTATATTTGAATGCTAACAGACTAACACAGATCTTATTACGTCTTTTGCATTTATAACACGTGCTTGGCCAAGAGATACCGCTCCAATTTCTTACCTCGGTCGAATCAATTTTCAGTGAAGCATTTTTCATTAAGTAAACGACTAACCCTAACTAGAGGTATCTGCTACCTACCTACAACAACATAAACTTCGATCTTAAGTATGTAAGTAGATTATCAAACTAAATTGAATGTGTATAGCTTTATAATACAAATTATAAACGACGAAAAAAAAAAGCGCGACGACTGACTCGTGGATATTATGAAAGGGCTGTACGATGACAGTGATAAATAAATACTTTAACTCGAAAGTACTATTATTTGGATTACCTCATCTTTTTTGAAAATTTGCGTTCGATGGGTGAGAATCGCGCGAAAGCTTATGCAGTACACTGTACTTTTGATTTTTATATTTGTTTATTAGAGGGGATACGATAAATCTCACACAACATCCTCACATACAATGGACGTAAATATAAATGGAGCACGAAAAGTTTAAGATTATACTTGATTCTGATGGATGGAATGTGATGATAATTACTTTTCGTATTTTTTTCTTATGACTATGCCAATTTATAATCAGCGATCACATTACGATTAGTCTGACGTATGCAGGTGTACGCGAGACTAAGAAATAAAAACAGACAAAATATTTTAAAGCTTAATTTACACCTTTCAAGTACGATCGTATATACGTTACAACGTATTATACGAATCACTACTAGTCTTATATAGCGATAAACATAATATCAGTTTTTTAATATTTTACCCCATAAATAAACTACACTTTACACTCGTGAGACAAATTATGATTACCTTATATATGGAAATATTTGTGAGACGAAAAACCAGTTTTGTACAAATTTAATAATCTACAATTGTTTACTTATATGTTTCTCACTGTTTCTTTTCTTGCAATCTCAATTAATCTTCAAGCTCCTTCTTTCGCGTGCGTGCGATTAAGTAAATAGTCGAGATCGTGAGAGATACGATCCAGCATACCGCTGGTCGTGCTGTCGCAGTTACCGGTCACTACGATCTCTGGAGTTTTCTCTTCACCGTCAGGCTGTTTACGTTCACTCGTATTGGCAATATCCGGGATGGCGCTCACCACGTGTTCTCGATTCTTCAGCTCCGTGTTTGTCCGTGATGATAGTTCGACATCGCTCTTCACAGCCAACGTGACATCCGGCATGGCACCCAATCGTGATTCCACATCGGCACTACAGAGAACCTTAGCCGAAGGGCATTCAGGGGACACGTTCGCCACCGGCAGAAAGCTCTTACCATCGCCACGATATTCATTACGAAAGCTGCAACAATCGTTGACGCCACCGTAGGTCACCACGTCGTTGACACGAGAACCACGTGCAGAAAAGTTTGGATCGACAAACACAGTCGGCGGTTCCTGGTATTTGCGCGGACTTGTACTGTAATTCTCCAGATCGATGTCGTCCGAATGGTCCACTCGGATTTCTGGCAGGAATCTGCCGGTCACGGGAACGGGGACGGATTTGGTGTATCCGGATGATGATTCCGAACTCATAAACTCGCGCATATCTATGCTACCCGCGGCGACTCCTCGCACCTCTCGGTACGATAACTCGCCAATGATTGAAGAGGATGCTGGAGGAATCGCTGAATCATTCTCCACTTCTGCATCAGCTTTTGAACACACTAATGGACATAATGTGACAAGAGTATTAATATTTTCGTAATACTTTTTAAATATTTTGTCAGAAAATTCCCTCGTTTCTAATATCATAATACATATCGAGAATCTCAAATAAATAAATTTATATCATACCTTTGATGGGCTCTGACGTCTGTTCCTCGTCCACATTGCGTTTCCATCTAATTCTTCGCAACATTGGCCCAATGATAGCGATCTCACCGTTAATGATGTATACAATTATTATTTTAAAACCCTATGTAACAATATTAGTCAATAAGTGCAACATATCTACTATTTGACAGTACAATTATCACGAATTGTAAAACTTACCAGAGCAAAGGATAAGGATGCGAATACATAGTGGAAAATTACGGACGACGAATTTATGTAAAAAATAGAGGATGCTTCCATGGCGATGATACCGCATATAACGATGGCCGCACGATGTAATATTCGTATTCTATAATAAGAAAAATCGGTCGTTTTTGTCTCATAGATCTTTTGTTATAAATTTTATGGAAAATTCTATATATACCTCGTTTCTATAGCTTCTCTTTTCATCACGTTCTCTTCCACTAATGTGTGAACTTTGTGGAGCACCCCCATATATAGTAACATGAATATTAAAAACATCATCGTAGCGCAGCTAACAAATATGTTATAGACGCCACTGCCATATATGAGCCACCAGGATTCGTGTCGCCATCCAGTACTTTTATTTGTTAATTCGGTCGCGAATACAGCCAAGATTGGGACACCTAAGATAAACGTTTATAAATATAAATGATGTCTGGACAGATATTTTACATGTGAAATTATTAATTATCTATTTAAATATACGTACCGGTTATCACGGCGATTACTGTTGGTTGAAGATGTTGACTCGGTCGAATCTGTGTGAGTTCAGCATATACTATTAGAGCTTCGGAAATTGGTGCGGACATGCCTACGAGGAGAAATGCTTCTAATCCGATCGCTACGAGTGAATAAAATGACTGAAACACATAAGAAAGCATTAATGAAAATGTCCAAGTTTGAAATCGATCAAATTTGTAAGGTCTTTAAATGTGTGAAGTTATATCCAGAACGGAGTGTCTATATTAAGTTAATTTACAGAAACTAACATAAGTTTTGATATAATTTGTATAAGGATCATTTTATCATATTTAATATAGGCCTTGCAAATTACTTTAACAAGGATATAATTACTTCTGGGAGATTAGTATAGATAGCATAAATGAAGATTGCCATCGCGCCCATTAACGCACTACAGCATTGAAGTTTTAAAAAATTCAGCCAGCTCTTGTGCTTCCACCAAAAGGTACCTAGTATCAGAGCAGATAGCAAGCACTGAACAAGACAACTGCTGCATCCGAATATTATAATGAACGTGGTCTGCTCCGTTTTCGCCAATACTACCTATAATATTCGAAAAATTAATAATAAACAATGGCAAAATATTATTTTTATTTACTATAAAAAACTTTATGCAATATCTATTTTTTTTAAATGAAGATTTATATAAGATGGTTTGGAAATAAATTATTTAATTTAGGAATTCAATGATATGTATATATGTTAAAATGATGAAATAATATGAAATGTTAAAATGATGAAATAATATGAAATTTCTTTAAATTGAAGTCATACTTTTACCGCACGAGTTGTTAAGAAAACAGCGATGGTACCCGTAGTAGGGCACAGGCAATGCGTTGTTACATCGCCGGATATTGTATTTGCTATGCAAGTATTGAGATCCCACGATCCTGCGTTATCCATCAGGCCACATGATGTGTTCCAGGAACCCGTTTGATTTTGTAAATGTCGAATTTGCAGGTCAACCCAGATCTTGTTATGTTTATCGGCACCAAAAGAGGGAACTGCGATGGTGATCACTCGAGAGTTTATCCGAAATTCCAAATCTGTGCCATCGCTATGATGATAAAATCGTATTCCGTATTTTATGTATTTTAATAATTTGAAGAAATTAATTTTATAGTTACGAAAATTTAATTTGATTTTAATTTTTATTTATTTAATTTACTTATTTATTTGGTTTAAATAAATTTTTCATAAAATTTTTAAAAAAGATTTACAAAAAAGTGGATTGGATTATTTTCGCAAATAAACCGTTCGATTTTTTGCAAATAAATCAACTTACTCAAGCTCTTTAACGTACGCTCTTGGTATAAAATGTGACATATTTTTGTACATAATAATGATTCCAGTAAATGTGTTGTTAGACTTTATGTTGCGTTGTTTTTTCGTCCATAATCGTATAGTTATTTTGTCTTCATACCAATCAGGATATCTAACATGAATAAGAGATTATTTGTGAGATGAAAATATAAAAGTTGTAAATATGTATGTGATTTTAAATATAGACAAAATATAGACAAAAGAATCTATCAGAAGAAAAATAATATAAAATAGATATGATCTAAAAATATAATTACACATAATCGGTCGAAGGTATCTGAAGAGAATGCGTAATACTATCCCCGTTGTGAGATTGCAGTTGTTGAATATCCACAACCATGGATGATAGGGATAAATGTTTGCTTATGCTTTTCAATTGTTCGGACCAATGAATTAAATTGCGTTGCGTAAGCTGAAGCAGCACTGATAGCTTCTAAGAATAAACATGGAATTTCGTAACTTAATTTAGTCGAGATGCAACAGATAGAGAGAAGAAAATAATTCTGAATATAAAATAGTTTTGAATAACAATATTTTTCGTACGAATTCTGGGTATTAACTGTTTTTTTTTTTTTTTTGAAGAAAATTATATCAAGATAAACTTTATACAGCCAGTAAAACAACTTTTGTCCGAGAAAAAATGTTATTAAAATCTGTTATTCGAAACTATTCCTTGGTTTGACATTATAATTCGGCCGTCTTTACCTCTTGACTTAAAATCGAATTCTCGTAACTCAATATATGATTTATTATATGAGTTAAAGCTTCTGCGGAGATATATGCATCCGATGGATCGGTACTGTGCTGATACCGTTCAATTTCCGCCAACATGATCATTATGCGATCACCTTCACCAGGATAGAGTGTCAATGTACGCTTTCGCAAGATTTCCCAAAAAGCGAGGATCGTGTCTGAGCTCGAGGTACTTTGATAACCCAACATCAGACTTTGAAACTATAAATTAGATTGATTTTATATAATATTGGATATGCCGCCTGGATTATATTTTATTATTGAAGAAGATCTGGATCAGATCGAAATGTTACGTTTGTCTATATTTAAAAAGAAATTTAAATTTTTCTTTAGAATTTGTGCAAATATTTCGCGATCAGTGTCCTGTTGCGATTATTAATTTTTATCTTTTTGTATTTGCATATTATATTAAATTCATTTACGTACCAACATTCACGTTTGGTTTTCTTACTTTTAATAATTGATATTGTATCATTTAAACTTTAATTATGGTAATTTAAAATTTAAATAAACATTAAATTTAAAAAAAGCTAACATTTTTGACTAATTTTGTATATTTTATTTTATATTAAACCATAAACAATGCTATTTTTAAATTCCTAAAAAGTGCATATAAAAAATAAATATTGAAATATAAATTTAATGTAAAATATAAATGAGATATAAAAGAATATTATTCTCTTAATTTTTTTACCTATTTTTCTATTAATTTTTTCACCAATCACATTTAAGTCAATAAATTATTGTAATTCCTCGCAAATTCTAAATTTATAATAGAGTGTTACAAAAATCAAAATACTTACGTTATTGTAAGGTAAAAGTAACAGCTCATATAAGCAAGATGAAAAATCCGGTATCTGCCATTCAGGTGTGGTAGCGTCTTTCATCGAGCATAGCCTGGATACTCGTCGGCCTACAAAATATCGAGGACATTCTAACAGGGCTTCCGATCCCGGTGCAGTGACCGGCCATTGCAAACCCCAGGATTCCCCGTTGAGGCATATCGGTATTAATGTTCGATTCATGACTTCAACTCGGACGGACATGGATTTGTGTGCTACGTTGCAGGTATAGATTGCGGATTTCTGGAATATCAAACGATTGCTTTGAAATAAAACGATGTTTAAAAGTATATATCGATTAATTTTCTTTAATGTATGTGTTAATTCCATCATGTAAATGATAGAAAAGAGATTTTTATGAGTCACCGAAGCATTAAAGAGAATTACAAAGATTTAACAGTCAAAATTCTTTTATGACTAACATTTTTCATATAAATAGTATTTATATTATAATTTAAAAAACTGCTAATTTAATAAAACAAATCTATCTTATTGAATATTATTTTCAAATATTATTAAATTAAAATATTTATAATTTTTTATTAAATATATATTTCTAAAATAGTAGATATATAGGGCCGGTTCTAACCCAGGTCCTCTCAGGGAGGTGAGGTGCGAGGGGATCTCAGCGGATCCTTTTCAAAATACAATAAAATACAATAAAATAAAATAAAAGAACAAAAAAAAGGATTAGACCCAAAAAAGGATTAGACCCAAAAAAGGATTAGGCTCAAAATCCTTTTCAAAAGAATACCGCTCTTTTGTTTATGCTTGTCATTCAACGTGAGCCCCCCCCCCCGCAACCCCCGCTCCGCTGAGATCCCCTCGCACCTCACCTCCCTGAGAGGACCTGGGTTAGAACCGTCCCCATACATCTACTTAAAATTAAAAAAATTTAAATATCTTATGAGTTATATATGGAGTTTCTTTACCTGAATATTAGTGATCTTTAAAATGCTACCCGCTGGATATAGATCCTCCCAAACTGCTTGACCGGGCTCCAATTTTAACAAAGCGCGATTCTTAGTCCAACCGAATCCGATGCCGATGTTACGCATGTTGAGAGTCATACATGTCAGTTGTATATTGCTACCCTGTGCGAATAATCGTTTGTATAATATACGTCTTCTTCGGAATTTTAATTTTCCATGCATTTCGGCAGAGGCACAAATCAACTTACTTTTTCTATAGTGACGCTCATCGGTATCACCTTTACTTCCGGCTCGTCTCTGACTTCGACGTAAGTACTTTTGCATTGCTGTACACTCCAATCCATCACTTGACATGTGTATTGACCAGAATCAAGCAAAGTCGCCTTCTCGATTCTCAACATCGATGCGTACATATCCGATCCGTCATTCGGCAAATCGCTAATCTTTATTTCTCTAAAATGTCAAGGTTATTCGAATATATGAGTCGAAAAAATCTAGCCAATAAGAGAATGAATATGTATTTTATTCTAAATACCTGGTAGCTTTGCTTGTGTTTACCAACATGCCATCTTTGTACCAAGTGAATTTTATACTTCCTTGAGCTACACACCAGAAGACAATTTCCTCTCCCAAATGAATGAGATTATAATCGTTCATGTTAATGTTCATATTAATTTTCAGACTCTAAAAAGCAACAATTTTCAAATAATTTTTAATTGTGCAATAATTAATCGCATCCACGAACATATTGATTATTGTGTATAAATTAAAATTTATAATTATAATCTTCTTTTTTAGAAAAGTTAGAAAAAGATGCAGAGAATGACTTTTAAATTTCATGTAACTTTATCTACTAATCACATAACATTTATATGAACATCCTTTTATTCTGATATCATGATAATAATCAGAGATATCGCTTATTACTCATGCAATTATATACCTGTAATTTAAGTGCGGGCTTTTGTTGAAATGTAAAGTGCGTGGATTCTAGTGAGATTTCGCTGAGACGTCGACGTTGTACGAGTCGATTGAGAGATTCGCGAATTTTATCCCCATCGTCGGAATTTCCGAAGAAATGAAAAGTAACTTCGGCCGTGGGTCTGTTGAGTAACACATAATAAAATAATCATTTTTTAGCGAATTTTCTAGTACAAAGTACAATTATATTCTTAAATGTCTCAGAGTGAGATTTTAATTTACCACAAGTATAATAATTAATTTCAAAGAATTATGTATCAAAATCATTTGGAACGTAGTTCGTTTTATCTGCATATGACTGTACTTTTTTATCCTTGAATGTGTACCTACTCACGTCACGTTCAGAATTTTTAATTCCTCCATGAAAGTAATATTGGAATTCCTCAAATATTTTGCAAGCTACGAGAAAAAGTTTGAATAAATTAAATGAAATTATCGATTACAAAGTAGAAAATGATACGATAGAATGAGATATAAAGGAAGGATACAAGGGAAGAAAGAAAATAAGAGACCTTCTTATTTTTAGTTAATATATCATATAATTTTATTATCAAAGAGATGGTATTTTATTCGACAACGTTTCGATTGTCAATTTTTAACCATACACATATTTGATTAATACATCATATAATTTTATTATCAAAGAGATGATGGTATTCTTTTATTCGACAACGCTTTGTCAATTTTTAACCATACACAACAAAGATTAGTTTGTCTCGCGACAAACTATTACACTGAACTGTACATTGAAAAATATACATATTACATACATTAATCAATATTTCTTATCCAGCAACCAATCGAGTAATCGATTCCAAAAGAAGCATCACCCACTTGGTGACAAGATCATAATACTTGTTTTAACAATAAATATCTGCTCTTTTCAACTGTCTTACATTTTTCGCTCTCAAGTAGAAACAGATGATTGAACGTCGGAGGAAAAAGAAAGAAAAAGGACGATTGAAAGAAAACGCTTTCAAAATAGACAGAAGAGAACAGACATAATAGCGAGATAGATTCAATATGTCGCTGTTTACAATATATAATCCATTATCAGCAGCCTCGTTAGTGAGACACGTAGGACACATTGCATGCCGAAACAAAGCTCTTCCTCCTTTGTCTTCTGATGCACATCTCCTCAATATTGGAGACCGTTCTTCGGTAAAAGACCGCACGTAATTCGGTCTTTAAATTTTTTTTCAATTTTTTCAATATTGAGTTTTCGAGTTTCACTTTGGTAACTTTAACAGGAAAAATGGATCGTCCTTGGTTACTAGGACGCACGATAGATCCGTGCCTCCTGGACACAAATGGGCTTGTATCACTTCCTTGGACACGCTCATCACCTCGATTCCCATTTCCCGGCAATAAGCTTTGAGAAGTGTCATTTGAAGGTGAATAGCTGCGTCCATTTCGATATTGAAAGGCACGAGACAAACGCTTCCCCGGTTATTGCATCCTCTGGAAGCCAGCTCGCGCAGAGTCGGCAACATACCGCACGTGATAGTGCGTCCATAGCGTGATTCCTCATATGACGATTTTCCGCTGTAAGTCATTCTCGATCAATTATCTGCGCGTTATATTGTTACATAAGCTGACGTGACAATGTAAAGCGATGCTTGGAATTTCGCGTATCGCTATGACGTAGCGAATATTAATTTACGTGCTTATATATCAAGGAGGCGTAACATTCTAGCATTTTTTTATATTTTTTAATTGCCTCGGATAATAATTTCTACAATGTTACAATTTTATATATTAAAAAATCCAAAAAATGCTACAATTTTGTTTGCAAGTCTGATTATTTCTAAGATATAAAAATTTTTATCGAAGATATCGAAGAGATATAAAAATATGGAAGAAATATAGAAGATATCGTTATAAATGCAAGCTAAGCTTTCGATTGCGCAATATGAAACTTTAATTTGTTGGGAGATAAGTTAAAAGTCATTTGTTAATGACGTGACCAAGCATTTCTTTATCACTTTGTCATCGAGAGAGAACTATGACTATCGCGCAACCCGTCGTTCGCATGCGCGTACGCGAGGGTGTTGCTTGAGAGCCACGTGAAAATCCTCGATAGCTACCTGTCAGCCATCGTGGTCTGTGCGTGATAGGACTGCGGTTCCTGGCAGCGAGTCATATCGGTCAGTAACTCCTTGTTTGATGGTTTAATCCTCAATATGCCTCTTTTACACACTTCACTGAACGTAGGAATCTTCAGAGTCTTGTTGTCGACCGTTGGACGAATTATTTTCAACACTGTTGAAAATGCGACTTTATAGCTTTATCTTCTCCACTGAATCACTGGCGGCTTTCCTTTTTTCCGCTTTCACTCGATTTTATATTCTGATGCAAACTCGCGCAATATCTTTTCGAGCAGAAGATCAACGTACTTCTTTCAGGTTCTGACGGCGTATGACCTCACAGTCTGGCGCGCGCACCTTTTATAGTAACCGCTCCCCTACCACTTTGTCGCCCACTCCTTTACCAGATTACTACGGATATTCCGAATACACTGTTGCTGGGGTATATCCCCAGTTCAGTACCGATCAAAATTATTGCAGTACTTATAGAAATAGTCGTTACATTAATGAACAAAAATGTTACCAATATATAAATGTTACTAATTCATGTTTTATTATTGTTATCATATGTTTTAAAATATTGTAAAAATTATAAGAAATAATAACAGAAATATTCAATTTTTGATTTAAAAAAAATAGCTTTTCTGGTCATCATCGGATATTAATCCTTATTGTGAGATGAGCTTGGTAGAAATATCCGAAAAATGAGACTTTATCAAAAATAAAAACAACTGTGGAATTATTTACAAACATGCTGGAATCAATAACAATTAAAAAAAAACTATTGTCAAGAATGTCAAAAATATATGTGACAATATTGAAAACAAAGAGAGATTATTTTGAAGAATAAAAAAATTTAATATTTCTGTTATTATTGGTTAAAATTTTTAATTCTCTCGATATTAAAGTAACATTCATAAAATATAAATTAATAATATTTATATATGTATTTTTATTGATTAAAGTAACGACTTTTTTATTTTTAAATGATATAAAACCTTTGACCGATACTGTACATAATAAAGCTTGTTATTTGTAAATACCTGGCGCGAACATTACTCGAGGAAAACCCGAGGAAAAAGGTTATTCAAATGAGAGAAATATATTAACTGAACTTCTGTACCGAGGAAAAAGGTTACTCAAATGAGAGAAATATATTAACTAAACTTCTGTACTGAATTTTCCAGAGAGAATAGAATTATGATTTTTTTTGAATATAGATTTCCCGAAAACTTGGTATTTTATCTAAAAACAGTCTTATACAAAAACAAAGAAGAATCAGTAAATAATTTAAAATTAAGGTTAAAAGACAATTAATATCTTTATGAAATTGACCAATTGAATAGATTGTACATCCTATATGAAAATCGTGTCAGAAAAAGGTACATATGTTACAAATATTGTATTACCAGACAATAAAGTTGAATATCTAAAATCGATATCTGATTGTCGAGAGAAAACGAAATAATTTTATCTCATAAAGAATTTCGAGATAAAAAGTAACAATGATAAATTTAGTTGATATGAAACTGATTCGTGAAGAGAGCTGTATGATTCATTCTAACGCCACTACAGTATTATACAAGTCGCACGCTGATCGATAAACAACTATAAGCTTTTGCATATTTTTTAAACGATTCAGCGAAACATCAGTTAAAGTATAAGGTCAAGGTGAGAAAAGGAGAAAAATATAAATTTCTTTACCGTTGTATATATCTCTATCTGTATTACTATAATTAATTACTTTTTAATTATATATATTAAAGAAAGGAGACAATCTTGAAAGAATCTTGAATAAGCAAGTTATCTTTGCATTCCCATTTCAATTGTCACTTGTCACTTTTTACAATACATGTTATACGAGTATTATCTCAAGTTTTTCGGAATTTTGTGATATTAATATATATTAACTAATAAATAAATAAAATCAGAATTTAACAAACAACTTTATTATTTAAAAATTCTTCAGAATTGATGAATTCGTGTCGTTTCTCATTTCATGATTTTAATTCTCGATATTTGTGGTGCAAAATATTCTTGTTAATTCCAATGAATAATAAATATGTATTGATAGAGATTTCTTTGAAGCGCTGATAAAATAATTACGTTTAAATGATAGATTTAAATAATCTCATAGATCATTTATCAAATAACCAGCGGGAAGAAAATTTTATTGGAATTTTCCGATAATCAGGAAAAAACATAATTACTTACAAATAATAGCAGTGTAAACAAATTTCTATTGACGGCAAGAAATATTCACAGATTGAGATCACACGTTATATCAATATGTATGATAATATCTAACGATCTCATATCCAATTTCTTCGATTTACGAATGTTATCCATAGATTATGATGATATTGTGTTTCTTAACAAAGTTTATTGACATTGCGTTTCTTAACAAAGTTCATTGACAATTCGTGAAACATTCATTACAAGAACCAAAATCTGAAGAAAAAAAATAAATACATTTTTATTATTTATTTAAAATCCAATCACTTTTAATTCTTTAATCTCATGTTTAAAAAAAGAGATGAAGAACGTATTAGTAATACATATATTAGTAATGCAAAGTTTTGTTTTTAATCTAAAAATGGATTGTATAAACATATGCAAAGTCCTATATATAAGTCATTTTCTAAAAAATAAAATTCCTTCTTAAGATATAATTTTGGAAAAAAATATAATAAAGTTAAAATAAAATTAGAAAATCATTTATAAGTATAAAAAAATTCTTTTCTCCAAATATTCTTCATTAATCTGATTCTTACTTTAGAAAAAGAACAATTTGAAAAAACTTTGAAACTATCTTGTATATTAAAAAAATTAATTGTAAAAAATGGCAAAACACTTATAAAGATTCTTTCTTGCAAATTGCGTCATACATGTGCCTGGTATCAATGTCTTGTTTCATCATCCGCAAGCACTTGACTAGGAATAACCACGTTGATCGACCATGGCGACTATGCGAGTCAATAAACTTCATTTTGGCAGATGAATTGTAACCTGCGACCAATACTTGATTGATTATACATATATCTCGGGTTACAATGATATATATATATATATATATATCCTATGAAAGATGATGCAAGTCACAGAGACTTTATTCCGTGTTTTATCAACTGCGCAATTTCTGTGATAACGGAAAAGCTTATAAAACTCTCTTCGGGAAATATAAATTCAGTAGAGGATCTCCCGATAAAAGTATCACATGGCATTTATTAATTCTATGACGTATACTTTCACTTTTATCTAAAAATTAGTAATATAATCAAAATATAAAATAATTAGATATACAAAGAATAAAATATAAAATTGTTTAAATTCGTATAATTATTTGTACAATAAAATAATTTTTAGAATCTGCTTCCTCGTAGTAATATTGTAAGAATAATATAAATATGGCATATATCATATTTTTTAAGTAATTAAAAAAGAAAAAAATATAAAAAATATTATTACAATATGATATTAATATATAATATGATATTGATAGAGGGATAATATCAAATGTTAAATAAAACTCTGTTTATAGTGCATAACAATTTCGAAGGCACGATTATATGAATTCCATATATTCTATTTTGGTATATAAATCACAGAAATTTAAGACTTACCATAACTATTAATTAAAGCTTATCTTCGTAACCATATTTGTTACCAAATCCTTTTTGTAATGAATATAATGAGTCCAATTTGCTAACAATGTTACTTAAAAGTATGCGTATTGCGCAACGAATGCTCTTCTTTCGATGATAAAACAAGAGAAATTACATAATTACGTCAATTGAAAGAGAGCAATTAATTTGAAAAAAAAAGAAAAAAATACGGATTAAAATCGCAAAAAATAAATAAATCGAGATAAATTGAAGAAGTTTATTCGTGTAAAACTAAATGATTTAAAGTATCGTTTTAATTTATTTATAAAGATATAATTAATATAAAATATCGCTAGTGCTTTTAATAAGTATAAATTTATTAAAAGCACTATAATATAATGGAATTTATTAAAAGCACTATAATATAATGGAAAAGGATAAAAAAATTGTTCAAGAATTTTCTCAACCTGTTTTATGATTAAAAATATTATAAGCGTCATAAAAAGAGAAAGAAATAAAAATATTTTTAAAAAAAGTTTCAACTTATTATAATTTAAAAAGCTTTTTATGGATGAATTTTTATAAAATTATGTTTCTAAGAAATTTCTAATTTCTATTCAAGACTACACAGAGTCACCACGCAGATGTTCTTTCATATCTGTCAACACAGTACAGGGGATATTTTGTAAGACAGGATTGTTGGGGAAATCCCAATGCACCCAGTACACAAACTGTCATCTTCGAAGTCTTTTTAAGGTCGATTCTCCATAAAAGCTAAAAATAGTTAAATATATCACACAGCCGTTGAGATAATCAAACCGTTCAAAATCAATTTATTAATTAATTCGTTGCAACGAATGATAAATATATCGATGATTATCAACAAGATGGTCAAGTTACAATCATTATGTATTTTAAATATATTCTGTTAAATTACATAAAATAATATTTTTAATTTTTTAAAACTGAAAATCAGATATTATCTCGAAATAAAATATGTAAATGTAGATCATCTAATTATGAGTCTGCAATAGTTTTTTTTTATAACTTACGAATGCCCTTTGCATTAAAGAGCATTCGTAAGTTATAAAAAATTTCCCTGGAGAAGTATAAATAATTAATTATATTTCTCCAGGGAAATAATTGCAACCAGACAGATATTTTTATTGAAATTAAACGAAATAAACGTTTAATGTAAAGCATTGCAAAAATGCTTTCAATGCCTTATGATAATAAAATATTGAAAAACCGATATTGAAAAATATCGAAAAATGACATATGTTTTTAAAATAATTAAATGCTGAACTAAAAATTTTCTGCATTTGCGATTTTCAAGACAAATGTAGTCAATCGATAATCTTATCGTAGATATAAAGTAAGACACGAATTTATCATTATTGCGATATTGCTTCTTGGGAGATAATTACTTATCGATGTCTTCGTTGGAAAACGCAAATAATCAATAATTATGTCTCTTCTTCTTTAATATACCGCGATAAAATAAATAGTAAATTTGATTTTTAAATGAATATATTTTTAGATTTCCTCGCAGCATGTGTGGCTGTGAACGAACTATAATTAACTCTCTTTCCAGATTTCGAGGATGGCGATGCTTGTCAGAAGAATTGTGCGTTCGAAGAAAAATTTTTTCGTACGAAAATTTTCAAAAAGCACAAAGGAGATAAGATGGGACAACTTTCTACGTAATAGCCACAGAACATTGCTTAGAAAATTCATCGAGGAACATTCTGATGTGATGAACGCGATCTTAAAAAATACCGAGATCACTTGCGATCATCTGACTCCGGAATTGAAATTATTTCTGTTGACGAAGAATTGTCCCTTATATCACGAGCCTTTCATCGAAAAATGTGAGAATAGCAGATTCGATCCTTCGATCAGAAACGTATTCCAGGATCCGTTTTGGTCTATATATTGGCCCGGAGGTCAAGCACTGACGAGATTCATTCTCGACGAGAGAAAAAAAATTATAACAATGCGACATACGAGAAAAGATACATTAAGAATTTTGGATTTGGGTGCGGGATGTGGTGCTACGGCAATAGCTACGAAATTAACTTTTGGGACCTGCAAGATTATTGCGAATGATATCAGCAAAAGTTAGTGCGTAATATATAAAAATTATTAATTGATAAGAGCTTGATTTTTTTATCAGCTATACTTTGAAAGTTATGAAAGTTATGAATTTTTTATTGAGCAAATTATATTTTACATTATATTCAAAGAACGAACAATTAAAACGAAATGCCAGGAATTCAGTATTTTCTTGGCACACTCCTATCGCTCAATTAAAATTATAACGCCCTTGCATGATAACTTAATCGATAATAATATGGTTACCTAGATACAGACGCGAGGAAAAAGCCACACATGGAGAGGTCTAACGAGATAAATTCGATAATCTGAAAAAATACCGTTCAGATATTTAAAAATAACGTATGTTGCAATATTTGTGATATTGCAGCAAATATGACGTTGCAATATTTTTCAATGATGTAATGATATTGGTATAAAATATTTTAATTGTTTATTTTGCGATATTTAATGATACTAAATAATTATCGCTTTTAATAATTCTATAAAAAATTTTATAAAAAATATTCGAAAGAAATTTATCGTAAAAAATATTATCTACGTTCTCCCGATCACGTTTAAGATTAACAATCTATTTTATAAAATTTTATAAAAGATTATTACGACAGGTCGTAGACAGAATAAATATGCGTATCAACGTCGCAGATAATACAATACGACGCACAAGCAATATTGCGTTTGTTCACCATTTCCTCGAAAAACGAAGAGAGAACTTTCGCTCTTCGCGACAGTTTATCGAGTGTAAAAAAGGAAGAGAAAATAACATATGCGCACTATCTCGATTATCATTCGGGCCGAGATCGAGAGAATAAAAAAATGTGACGAAATCAGTGGCGTAATGTTAAGGGGATTTATTTTATATAGCCCTAAGAGAGTGTTTGACAATGGATACTGCAAGCGAATCCTTTTTGAAGATTCTTATTATTGTTATATATTATTGCATATATTTACATATATATGTAACATATATGTATAAATATATTCTTATATATAACTGTATATTTGTTCCATTTTTATTTTTATTTAATAGTTAGCTATTATTCTATAAATATATTTCTACTATATAATGCATTTTTTAAATTTATAGAATATAACTAAAATCTTCAATCGAGTTTTTCATTGTGAGATGACTTTTGACGTCAGAAATTCCTTTCCCAGAAGAGAAAAACACAAAGAGAAGTAGAAAAGATGGAATGTCAAATTCATGCTTCATAGCTATTCGTGAATTAATCATATTTCTTATCCTTTATTATTACGAAGATCTCAGAAATTTTTCTCTTTTCTGAAAAGTCTTCGATAGGAATTTTCTCGCAATGGAAGACCCGTTCGAGCCTCATTAATTACATCATTGAGTCGGAAAATCTCGACAGTCACAGGAAATTAAAAGGAACCTCCGAAAGACTCTCCAGAATACTCAAAAGCCCCTTTGACGTCACTCGTAACTTCATATGTGTATTTATCTATCGAGAAACAAATGTGTGTACACGGCAGTAGATTGGCACGACTCCAGGCCACAGGCAGATGAAACCGGATTCCATGAGCATGATTCAGGAAAAAATGCGTTTGAATAAATCTATCGTTCTATCATTTGCTTACTCATCGTGCCTACAATTGCACGAGTCGAACAAAATAATGCTGATATTGAGAGTTTGCATTTCATATTACGCATGATATGTAGAATTAATGCTCCTTGGAGTATTTCTATCGATCAACGTACATGTCGAAGAGTCTTCTTCTTGACGTACATGATATGCGTCTTTCTTTACCAATTGATTGAAGCTTTAATCAGTTATTATAAAAAAGTCATTCGTTCTTAATATATAACATTATAATTACATATTGCATGTTAGAGAAACACGTGATAATTCGTATCTTTCAATTTTCTATTATACACTTATTCATCAATAGAATTAGAATTATTTTCATTCACTTATCAGAGAATTTAAGATTAAAATTAAATTTTTTGTAATTATTCTCTCTTATGATTTAAATTCGAAGAATTAATGATGATAATATCTCTTTTTTCTACTTGTCTAATTAGATCGATGTTATCTTAGATGGAAAAATGATCTTACTTATGTCTCTGGAAGATTAAGTAGGTCGAGAAATTAAAATACGATTCACTTAAAAGTCGGGTTTTCCAGGATTTTACACGGATATAAGGAGAAAGGGTTTACCTCTCGTGCGTCAGTGAAAGGTTGTTAATTCCAAGTATTGCATTTACGTAGCATCCAATTGACAAGTTATATTCTTTTTAAAAACCTAACAGAAAAAATTAAGAATATTAACTTCTCATATAAGAGATAGATTACAGAAATAAATAAATATATATAAAATTATTAAAGAGCATAATCTGTTTTTGATTCATGTTCTAATTTTATTTTTAATAAACATAATCATATGTTTATTAAAAATAAAAATTAATATAAAAAAATAGAAATTAATATAAAATATCTGTACATTAGAAATCGCTATAATTTCAATATTGTAAATCATGACAATCTAGAAATTGTAATTTCTAAGAATCCGATCTTTAAAAAAAGAAAAATTATAAATATAATATCATATCGTTGCACTAATAAAATCTTTTGCTTTTTTGTATAACAAATTTTGATTTGTTTACATACAGAAAACATTCAACGGAAATGTTACATAACGAATCAACGGACTTCCCAATAGTATTTATCTCTCGCAAATCTTAGAGTTCGCGGAATAAGATTATTCAATTAGCATTTAATCTGGCACGCTTTCAGTTCCAATCGATATGGAGGCAAGGACATTTCATTTTCGCAAGGATATATATTTCACTTTCTCTTAATTATTTCTATTGATATTCAAAAGCGAAGATTATTTCATGATTTGATTCTTGTATGAGATAAATGTATTATTTATCACACATCAGTTTCAGATAATTTTTGAATAATATTATATAATAGTTAATATATAAACACATTATATTTTATTCGTATACTATGCGTTTACGTAATAGTGTTTGTACATGAAAATTTATGAAATACCCAAGTATTTTCCAAACACAATTCTACGAATTACTTTGAAATTATCAATATTTTAGAAACAGTTTTTGTAATCAAACTGAAACACATCTTACATATATGCACACATCACATTTCTTAACAAGAATTTCAATTTTTATATAATAATTTTTGAGTGATAGTTTTCAGATAACGATTTTTAAAGACCTTATAATATCAAAACCAAACAGTGAAGTCAATGGCAATGTCAATAATAGATAAAAATGCATGAACGGTGCGACTATTCATGAATACATCTATTAATAGGGTGTATGAGTCAGACTTATATAGAATGCCGTGATACTGCGTGTGCGCGGTACGGTCAGTTACCTGTAAAAGAATCTCGTTCATGTCATCACGTAGACATCAAAATAATAACAAAATAAAAGTTTGCGGTTTTTAAATAATAATTAAATAAAAAAATTGTCCATTCAATTTTTAAATAATTTTACTAGTCAAGATGTTATTGCACATTAATTAAAAAAATATATACAGTAAGGATGCAACATTTAAAATAGCAAATATTAACAATAAAATATATCAACAATGCTTAAATTATATTTTAAGTTTTTTATTTTATAATTAATATTTTTCATTAAATATAATATTTTAACAAAACATATTTTATAGAAAATAGTGCTTCATATCTAATAGAAATTATTTTTATTTCGATATTACACATATTTTGAGATATGTGCGTTTATTTATTGTTAATGATACTAATTGTGTAATATATAAGATTAACATTATATATAATTAATTAACATTTTATGATTAATGAGATGTATTTTTTGTTTTAGTCGCCTGTGTAGCTATTGCGATGAATGCAATATTAAATAACGTGAACATTGAGATATCGTGGAAAAACCTGTTGCAAGAATTACCGGAGGATACATACGATGTGATTTTTGTCGGTGACTTATTATACGATGAAGAGATAGCAAACACTTTAATTGTGTGGTTGGAACACGAGTACATACGAGGTGCGCAAATTTATCTGGGAGATCCGGGAAGACACGGATTAACTGAAGATCTTAGGAAGCGAATGAGATTATTGCGACGATATTCTTTGCCTGAGAATGTCAGGAAGGAAAATTATGGTTTTGATACGGCCACTGTATGGGAGTTTAATCCGAGTAATTATACATGTAGAATTTAATGTAAAACAAAGAAAAAGAAATAACATATGTATTAGAAGAGAGGGAAATATAAAAAAATTTAATATTTTTGTTATATTAAAGATTTGATAATTTAAACATTTTATGCATAAAATAGTATTTTATGATAATAATAAATAAGTTATAATAAGGTATGTAATTTCTTAAGGTATGTAAATATAATTTACGTTTGTTTTAAAATATGTTATTTTACCTTTCAAATGTTAGATAAAAATTTATCGTAAAGAATTATGAAGAAATATAATCGTAAACAAATTTACTAATGTTCAAGTAAATATGTTTAACATATTGCATATTTCTTCTATTGTGAAATAAAAACATTAAGATTTGCTTAAGCTATAATAGCTGGTTAATCGATTGTTCTTTGGATTTATTTACATAGATTGAATTATAAAAAATGGCATGTTTGTATATGTTCAGAGACGTACATTTAAGAATTCTTCAGCGCATTGACGTAAATGGACAAAATTTGTCATGACATATACATGTATATAAACGTATATCGTGTAATTGTACCTAACAACAGCGATTTAAATTCATCGCATGTGATGACGAAGATCACATGCGATGTCATGCTTCTGCTTACGTTAAACGGCGGATATAATTCCACGCGGGGAAATCTTGACGTGATGTTTCCAATGAAATACGTCTATACGCGCGTGTACATGTATATGATATTTTAATATCAGGGAATTCTATTTCCTTATGCAATCTGCGTGCATATCTCGTTTTCATATTATATTCGCTAAAGCATGTGCAGTCATATTCTTATCGTAAATATTTATGAAGTGTGTCATATCTCGCATCGGACGGAATCTGCGTCATTTTAATAAGCTATTGTCGTTGGACACAAATCCGAATATATTTTCATCGAACACTTATATAAAATTAGTTTAACGTATTTTTAAGTTATTTACTCACTTGTTTGCTGACGATTGATTCCAAACTTCCATGCTGCGATGTTAGACCCGTGCGGAGAGATGTAACATTCGATAATTTGATTCTGCACTCGTATCTCGATCGATCTATAAACATAAAATCCATGCGCTATATAGAATGTTTAAAAAGTTCGCTGTTTTCTTCGATTTATAAATTTTTTCAGCAATACGAAATCTTATTCTTTAATTTTTTTATTTTAATAGTATTTTAATATATTTGACTGTTTTAGTTACACAAATATTTGATATTGTGGATGTTTTAAAAAGATGTTGTCTAATAAAGTCTAATTTAATTAAAGTCTATAGTTAAAAAAATTGCAATACTTTGCATGCAAAATACATAAGAAATTGTGACGACAATAAATGTGATAAACTATGCATACAAAACATTAAGAAACTCACTGTTGTATATCTTCGTGCCGTCTTTACAAATACACGGTTGCTGATTGTCGAGTGGACATTGCAGTATGCAATTTTCCGAAGCACATTCTGCAAAGAGATAATTAGTCAGTTATAGAATTCACGTATAAAATTCCAGAAATTTTCGCGTTTCAACACGTTTCTCTATTCGTGTTTTACTCGGCTTTATCATCAATGCAATATAAACATGAATAATTCGCGCAAGAAAGAAATAAGACAGATGAAGTTATCTGATCAATATAAAATATTACCAGTGTCTAAAGTATCCAAAAGTCGAGTTTCACAATTATGCCCGACATAACCGACCGAACAATCGCAATGCATTGCTTCTGCCCCAATTTGTCTGTAAAGCGAACAAAAAATAATGATTATTATTTATTCAAACATTAACATTTATTGAAAGAAATAGTTCATATTTACTACTTTTCCAATAATTTGCAACAAATATGTAAATATACTCAAATGGTATAATGAAATATTTAACGAATATATTTATATAATTGTATGTGTTACAGAAATTTTCATTTAAAAATCAGTTTATATAAATTAATATAGGATAGAAGATAATGGATAAAAGGTATGTACTTACATAATCATGTAATTTATTCTAAAATAAATAAAATTTTCTAAATGTTATGATTATTGTGCAATGATATATATGTATATACCTGCATGTAGCTCCGTTTCGACAAACTGGATTATGTTCATCATTGAAACATAACGAACCTTCGTTGCAGCTTTTTCCGCTGAAACCGTTGAAACATTCGCACCAGAAAGACCTGTTATAGAAACATAACAATCAAAATAAAAAATCATGCGTTCATAGCGGAGAATGCAGAGAAAATCATTTAAAAAAAACATCATTTAAAATCATTTTAAAAAAACATGAGTACTAAAATAATTTTACGATATAAGAATTATTTTTCATAGATATTTATTTAATTTTCGCAGATCGAGAATTGGCAAAATAACAACTTCGCGAATATATGTTTCACATATATTAAATGATATTAATACACAACATAATCCGCATATTAGAATCAATAAAAAACAAAATATTCCATTAAATTTCCATATAGATTCATAAAGTATTTTCTACAACTAAAGATACAACTTAAATAGAAGTATCATATGTACAACTTAAAATTTTCTATCTATTACGATTAGTACGGACTATATAATTGCGAGGATTTTAACAATTAAATTTCTAGCTTTCTCAATGCAAGTTTACGCGTCGCACGTATTCGCTTCATATCTTGGACTTTCTTAATTAATGGAAGGAATTTTCCGACATTAATTACACTTTCGCATGGCAGAGTTGTTTGAAAAATTTCTCTTTAACTTGAATAACACGGACGTTTTATACTAATTTCGTCTTTATAAGTACTATGTTTGTAGAGAAAATTTTTAAATTAATTTAACATTTTTTAAAATCGTCATCATATTTAAGTATACATATTCTATTTTAAAGATTCATCCTACAGAATTATTTATCTCTCACTATATTATACATTATTATATTATTATATTTTTTACAATTATTTTGTATAAATAAATAAAAAATTTGTGTTGGTTTTAAATATATTAAAAATTAATTTAGTCGGCTCAGATATGCAGATACATTGCATGCACTAGTATCAGAATAATATAATAGCTTATAAAAACTTAGAAACTTACGTGTAATCCGCGATGACGAGACAGTTCCCCGCGAAGGAACAGTCACGCACAGTGCAGGATTCAGAATTCGGATGTTCCTCGGTCATTTCGTATGTCACGTTGAATCCATACACGTCCAACAGATCGTTCAACACTCTGACGTGATTACCCTCGAGTCGATCGAGTTCGAAGTCGACCACCAGAAACGGCCTGAAGGTTCTGAGAAGACGATACTCGAAGACGTTACCTTCTGTCACCTCCTTTATCAAGGTCTCCCCGAAGTTCATAGTCTCGGACTCGTAATACGCGTACTCGGTGAAACGAAGTCCCTTGTAGACGTAGAGCTGCGTCAGGTAGACGACGATGGAGCTATTGGTCGATGGGATGTCGGACACATCGATCACCCAGCGACACTTGATCGGGACCGAAAACGGCCCGGGGAAATTCGGCGTATGTATGACGCCTTTAGGACCCGCCAAATGACCACCGCAAAACGAATCGAAGTTCGTGGTAACACTCGGTAGATTGGCGCAGCAGAAATACAGAAGAAGAAAGGCGCCAGATACAGTCGACTTCATCGTCGCTCGATGAATCTGTAGCATGAAAAGTAATGGCATAAAAAATAAAATACATGATAATAATCTCAGATATTTTCTTACAAATGCACTTTTAAAATTGCATCCATGAAAATGATAAAAAATAATAGATAATAACAGTAGAAACGTTAACGTTATGATTAATGCTTTTATTATTTCTTAATGTTTATATTTCTGAAACCATTATCTCAAAAATCATATATATACCCGATTAATCTAGATATTATCTTAATTTCGGTCGATGATTAAAGTTCCGGAAATTTGAATATAAAATGATAATACATATATTTTTTATATGCTTGATATAATTTTGAAATCACCAATAGTAATCCCATATTCAATATTCAGAATTATCTTTTATTTATGAAATGATAAATAAAATAAAATAAATTATTTTTCAATGGAATAAAATAAACAGAATAAAATAAACAGAATAAAATAAACAGATGAAGAATAGAATAAAATGAACGCAAAAATCACATTTTATCGAAAATTATTGAAATTACATCGCGTTTTTAGAGATTGACAACTTTTGAATAAGATTAAAAGAACTTATTATGAGTTTATTGTCTCATTTTATATATATATATATATATATATATATATATATATATATATATGATATTTTTGTCGTATGTATAAAATTATAAATTATACATGTGTATGTTTATAATTACAACAAAAATTAGAAAATTAGAAAAAAGATGAAAGACAATGTTGAAAATCAGAAATATCAGAAATATTTTATAATAATATATAAAATCATATATACTATTAAACTTTTACAATATAATAAATTTTACTACCCAAACGACCACGATCCATTGACTTAAACGCAATTAATATCAGAAATATTTTATAATAATATAAAATCATATATGCTATTAATCTTTTACGATATAATCAATTTTCCTATCCAAACGACCACGATCCATTGATATACCTTAAACGCAATATAATTGCTCACCTTGCTTTAACTTTAAGTTTATTATAATTTTTAGCGATACTCCGAAATAAACGATCGCGAGAGTTGCCTCCGTTGTCTCTCTTCGTTGCCGTTCAATCGGCTACGTTCCTAGTTTCTCTTGGCATCGATGATGCTCCAGCATGACGATGTCGACATATCCCCACGTCCAGGAAGAACCTGGAGATCTCCCGCTTAGCTAGACTTACTCGCGCCAAGTGCAAATCTCCGGGCGCATCCGGTGCATCTGGATCGATCCCATGGTACATCGTCGAGAGAGATTCGCAGGACGATATGCGATTCGCGGCTCGACAATCTTGCCACGAAGTGGCGATAAAAGAACGATGTATGAGTGATCGAGAAGCCTCGATTCGACCTTGCGAGGTCGTACGCACTTGATACTGATCGTTGCTCTCTTACGTGATGCTTATCACGAGATACATAAATATCTGTCGCGCGATCTGCCGGGCTGCTGGGCGTTAGCCTCCTTCCGCGAACCGACGATCTATCTGTCCGCGCACGCACCCCCGAGATGTGCACCCTACGCCGACTAATCCACGGTGTGTACAATGTATATTACGATGCGCGGTATCACTTCCTGGAAGGGAGAAGGGAGATGAGGTCACAGCGTAGGTTCGCACTGAATATATCCACATACACGTGATTCAAATTTTGGCGCTATTTATAAATTTGACATGAATACTTGACGGAATTGTAAGAGTAGCGTGAAGCAACGAAAATTTCTGTAATTTATTTTTTCCGGATGGTTTATTGAAAAATTTCGTTATTTTATATAACGTTTATTTTTCAAATCTGTTCAAATCGATAATTTATGCTCTCTTATATTATTATTTATTCCCACACACATATTAATATATACTCTCTTACATCATGTTCCTCAATATCCTCAGCTATTCAGAATTGACTGAATTTTCAAGTACGAATATTTTGCAAAACATCGCATTTGATCCTGTTTAGCGCCGATTTATTTTGTAAAGTATATCAAACAATATGTAACCAACTGGGATATCTTAAAAAAATCTTCCTAGTAATCTTATTTCTAATTATCTTAATTTTACACTTTGTTTATATACACTTTGTTCTTACTCGTTACATAAGATTTACTTGTTAAATAAAATAATAATATCAATAGAATATCAAACAAAAAGATTTCTACGTAGGACGTAGGACTGACAGTAGGATAACTCAATATAATTTGAAAAGGTCATATGTCAAAGATTCCTTATCTGTAAACCGCATAAGGTATATCAGTAACTATTAAGTGGCATCATAAGATACACAAAACATGATAACACGAGATAGGGGTTCCTATTAAAAACATTATTCAGGACGATGGTATTCACTGTGGATACAAATCTGTGAAATGCATACACGAAAGAAAAAAACCAGTGCATAATAAATGTGATGTATTCTTTTTTAAATAAGAATAACGTGATTCGCTTATACCTTACGATTATAGTTCATGTACAGTTTTATTGAAAAAGGCAATGGTAACTGTTGTATCTTTTCCCACATGTAAGCAGCGAACGCGTTACTGTCTACAAAGTGCACAACAGTTGCATTCTTGCGGGAGGTAGAGTCTTTCGACGAACGAGAACATGTAGTTCTGCAAGAGTTGTAAGTGTCGGGCAGCACTAAATCCATCGCGTCACCTGTGTCTGTTGTATCGGTGATGTCGGAATCGGAGTGATTGGTGTTCGAGCTAGAACTACCGTCCTCATTACTAAAGTTTATATCGTCTACTATACCGCTATCCGTCTTCTCGCGTTTCGCGATTTTCTTGCGTTGCACGAAAGCGTTCTCCTGCTCGGCGTCACTGTCGCTGTCACTCATGTTAGAATACGCGGTTGTCGATTTTCCTGCATCTCTTTCGCCCTGCTCGTTATTGTTATCGTTTATGTCTGCATTCACAGTACTGGAACTGTGACCTGCGGCGCTTGTGCCGTCTGTGCTTGTACTTGAAGATGAATTCTTCACGGATGATTTTCGTCTTTGTTGACGTACATGAAAACTTGTAGTCATAGCAGTGTCACGAGTATCTTCGCTAACGTTTCTCAAAACCCGTTGATTTTCTTCACTATCGTTCTGATTCGGTTGTATGACGGCTCGTACTAATTGCAGAGTCGTCGTAATAGCTTCTCCAGGATGCGCGTCAGCAAGACGCGCATTCAATAAGAAACGCGCTCGTCCAATTTCTTGTTCGTCGTCAGTTAAGGCCTCATCGGATTCCTCAAAAATGGGAATTACGAAACGTCTGAGAGTACGTTGTTGCGGATTTTGTCTTTGCTGTACTGGTACTATAGGCTTCTCGGTCTCAAGATCAGGATGTTCACGCCAGATATTTTGACGTAGATAATAACGAATCTTACCACGACATAATTCTTGCAAAGGTAAAGGGTTGCACTCCGCTGCAACATATAATATCGAAAAATAATATAAAATATCTCTTTTTCATATAAACAATGAATAATAAGTCTCTGAAGTATATAGATTACATACGTAGATGAAATAAATTGTGTTCTGAGGCTGGAGGTATGACTAGAGTTGCAAACGATACAGGAAGCATTGTGTACTGCGTCCATACATTCTCATCCATTCTTTGCACACGTAATAATTCATCTTTGTAAGGCATTACTAATATACCTCCAACACGCACAAATTGCTTAATAAATGCTTCGTGGCTTTCGGGACATCCTGCTCCACAATACACTCTGTCATATTGTCTACCAGGTATGACACTAAGACAATTTCCTATTGGATATATTATTATTATATGTAATTAATTGTAATGTTATTACTTGATACAAGTTTATACACATTATTTACTTATTTATTTTATCTATTAATTTATCTTTATTTTATCTATTATTTATCTTACCTTGTATAAATATTGGTTCACAGAAATCAAATTCATTTAGAGCCAGTGACTTTTGTTTGAATTCCTCCAATTTTTCATATGCATATTTTAAACAATCTTCATGTAATTCAATGCCATGATTAGTTCCATGTTGTTCTAAAGAAGATATAAAAATATGACATATATTCAATGCATTATATATTGCAATATATTATATAGTGCATACACTAGCAGATCCTGACATCGATAATGAGGAGAGGGGGGGGTTCTGCAAAATTATTTGATTTAATATTTTTGGTTTCATGTTTAACTTTATTTTTCTTTATGTACATATTTTAAGCGGATTCAGCAAAATTAATTTCTTTTAATTTGTAAAGAGGGGGGGGTTTAACCCTAAAATCTCCCCCCAGGATCCGCCAGTGAGTGCATATATATTAAAACAGCAACTTTCTTACGTAATATTAATCCTGCCATTGTACTAAGGTAGCCGGTTCCTGATCCAAGATTTAGGAAACTTAAACCAGGTTCTAAACTGAGTCCTTCCAATACTTCGCTGTATATGCAGGGTGCAGATAAATGTATATTTCCATGTTTCCATGCTAAATCTTTATAAGCGCCTTCTCGGCAAGAAGATAGGACATAGTCGGCTCTATCCACAGCTCTAAAAACTTGCTCTACTTTCTTTGTTCTGATATATCCAGATACCATTAAATTATCTACTAATTCGTCATTGTCTTGTCCACTGCTCACAGCTCCTCCCATGTTTATCGAAGTATCAAGAGTTCTATGATGTATCGAATAAGTGCATCAATTTATTATTATAGAAAATAAAGAAATATAATGTATAAATAAAAAAGATTAAGATTTCAGATTTTGAAATAATATAATTGTTATGATAAAACATCAACTAAGTAAGAAACTGATAAAAAGTTATTTATCAAAGTATGTAATAAGAAAATTATATTTATATGCATTTGTGTGATATTATGTACCCAGGGCATCACCTTTTATATAAGATAGTACTCAAATAAAAGTAGTGACTCGGAAGTAATTAGAACTCTAATTCAAATAGAACTAGCGCATTAGCAAGATTTTTGCTCAAACATTCTCTATGATTTATATAACAATAAGTCACTTGTATTTACGATATATTTTTCAAATACTAGAAAATAATTAAACCTACACACACGCAGACTTGGCTTTAAAAATAGTTTCAGGTCAAAGTACATATATGAAACATTAATTATGAATAATATGATAGTCACATCATATATTAACATTATCACACTATGTTGTAACAATCTAACTTAATTTTCCTTAATAATCATTCGATTATTTTTAACAATATGACGATGCGACATTGTGGCTTGTCCACTTCAAAATGACGAATAAAACAATAAGCCCGTGATACAAGACGAGAAAAACCACACGAGATATAAACTTATGTTTATTTACGATAACGTCTCGCGCCTCTCTCTCTCTCTCTCTCGTATCGAATAATTCCGAGCGAACCTGCAAGTAACGATTTTAATAGTGGACGAACAAAGTGACACGAAGTGAGGGAACGCGTTTAAGCATTTTTGGCAATGTATGCCTATTTTATAAATTTCCCAACACAAGGATGTCGCTGACGCTTAACGCGTTACGTTATATCTATAGGTACAAGTAGTATAGGATTTAAAGCTACGTAACACGTAGCGACACGTTGTCGTTAATTAGAAAGTTAGATAACGGGCATTACCACACTGAAAACTCAAATTCGATGATGATAGCGGATAATATGGAGACGACGAGTGGTCAAAGCGGAAAAAACTCTGTCTCGATGCTATTACTTTGTTAGCGATGGAGAACGTTGTTGGCATATTACGACGTTGACGACACGACACGACGTACTGCCATGGAATGCACTAGAACGGCCTCCGCGGTGGAACTTGTGTTTTTATAACGCGAAAGGTTCATCAAGTCCATCAGCTGATACTACAAAACAAACCGAGCGACTGATGGACGCTCCTACGCCAGTGGACAAAAGTTATAACGGGATGTTACGGCTGCACTAGCGCCCTCGCGCGGAATTACCGTCAACTACGGCGTCGAACGATCGGTAACGTCAACGCTCTTCAATTATCGGGCTCTTCGGTCTCCATAAAATTTCGTTAGACTAGGAATTTTTAATTATACGCGCCGAATTAATACGTCGCAATTAAAAAGGATGCAAGTATTGTCTTCGGGTTACCGTTGGTCGACTCTGATTGATCTTTTGCCACTCGATATTTAAGCTAATAAGGTTGATTACAGACAACAAATTTTGGTAATTATATCATCTCTTATATAATTGATAATTCTTTTAGCTATTTATATTAACATTGTCGAGAAAGGAGTCTATAATGTATTTCTGACCAAAAAAAAATATTGTACATTTGCAGTTGAGAGGAGACAAGCGGCTGTGTGTTACTGCGCATGCGAGACTTTTCTTCATCTGGCGTCATTGGATGCTGCGGTTCAGTTGACGTTACAAGTGCTTCGAAGAGTAATTTTAACCGCTCTATTTGGACTCCGTGGACCTACGTTATATGAGGACGTACAAAGTTGGGAACATTCGAAAACGTCAAGTGGATCGCGTTCATTCACGTACACCGTACATTGACAGTGTTCCTTGGCTCGTATGATATGATGGCCTCCAAAGGACAGCTTTAAAACGTGAGTTCTGCATTCGTACAATTTTCTACGTATGTAACGCGTCATCGGCATGTAAAATTGTTAATCGTACTCATGGAGCATTATCTGTTACTTGGAATTGTTCGCAGTCTTTTGTGATTGCTCTCCGAAAGCGTGTGTTGCTAAAATCGTCGCTCCTTCTCTTAGACCGATATACTCTACTCGTTCTCTCTAGTAAGTATACCACAAAAGTATATGTGATACGAGAGCCTGTTACAATCGTTGATGATACACACGGAAGGTGCAAGCGCGGTTGTGAATCATTCAACGCGACACGTGTGGAAATGTAACGTTATGCATTTACACTTTGCGTATGTCTGAACGTGAGGGTTGTTCGCGATGGGATTCTTTTTTTCATTTGGCACAATTTTGCTTGATCGCGCTCGAACACACGTTACGTTTAATTTAGATGTCGCGATAATCATATGCGTTCATATTTTTGTACCGCGATTCGTCACTCGAGTAATACGTCAACATTTTACACCTTTCGAACTTTTCGCTAAACCTTGCTGCTTATCGCGATACGAGGGATTTTAGATTTCCATTCATATAAGTATTCGAAGAATTTAATAAATTAAATATTTTTTATACACGTAGTATGAAAATATCTTATATCAGAAACCATTTTTTTTTGCACTTTTGCGTTGCTTTATGACACGCCATGCAAATTGCAGCCTTTTTTTAGGTATAACGTTTGCAAAGTTTCGGTCGATTTGTTTTTCGAAAAGTTGCTAATTAAATGATGAATTTGCTCTCACACATATATAAGTTATTTTATCATTCTTTATTCATGTTTATATCATCTTATTATTATGCGTTGCAAAGTATACCTAATTTAAGTAAGTGTAGTTTAATGTTATATGTGTGTGTGTATGTCGAATTATGAACACAGTTATCGATTTAACTTTGTGAAAATTAAGATGCAATAACGCGAAAAATATATATTCGGAATACGTATCACGGTATTATTGCTTTTAGCTCGTTTCGATGCTTTACAAATACGTTTATGTATAAATTGCGACGACATTTTCCTTGGAGGTTAAAGCGCGAGTTTTAACTGTGCGAGAACAAAATGATCGCTTGAAAATGATCTCTTTCGCATCTAAAAGTGTAATCAGCTGACGCATCTGTCACATATTACGTGCATCGTCAAGAAAAGTATCGATTGGAGGAAATTGAGAGAAATCGTTAAATCTTGACGACGGAAATAACTCGAACTTCCTCGATGATTTGCTCGTCTACCACGCACCAAGTTGCTCGATTATCCAAGCGATATATATATTTTGCAACATATATAGATATATATATATATATATAGTTAGAGTCAGAAAGCATTCCCTTTTGATTTACATATATCGATATCACAAGAAACGGAATTGTCTCGCGCCATGCTATCTCAAGTCAAGTTAGGTGCATCAATTTGAGGCGTATTCGAACATTTCGAACCGTCTGCAAACTCGGTCCAAGTATTCGTACATCGTAATTGTTAGTTGGACAAGTTGAAACTATATTTTTGTTTATCGATTTAATATTATATACAGCGGCTATTACTTATTTTTCAATCTTCAACATGCATTAAATATTTATAGATGCCAAATTGAAAGACGAAATTCTGTGAGTCATGATGCACGAATACCTAGACACGATGCGCATGCTCCGAGTGTATCAAAATTGATGCAACTCACGTGGGTAGATATTTTGGTTTTCGACCATAAACTATGGCAAGAGTAGTTCGAGACTCGAGGAACGAAAGAAAATAAATGGAGAAGTGTCCAATGCAAATGGAACGTCTCACGATGTTTCTGCGCAAGCGCATAAGAGAGAAGTGTTATTATTTTTTTTTGCCTACGTCCACTTTACCATCAAAGTATCCCTGACATGAAAGACGCTCGGTCTATTACAATAGGTTATTCGTTAGTAAGAGAGAGAAAGAAGGTGAAGAACTCGGTGTAGAAAGTGTTAGCAAAACGAACAGACCTCGTATCGATGTTAATAACACCGGCTTCCGCTTCCGCTTTGGATATTTCCATCTTGAACGCATCATAATTAATTCGTGTGCATCGGGTGAGTGCTGCTTAAAAAAAATCTAAAATTATATATTTTTATTAGTTAATTTAATATTGCATTGTATAACCTACCGTACAATCAATTGCTCTTTAAGCGAGGAACTACATGTCTATACGGAATTGGTAAGCGTAGATATATTTTTACTCGTGTGCGATATATTATTTCAAGTGTATCACTTTTTCGTAACAGTTGTATATTGGCCTTGAATAATGTGAAACTAGTCTACCATTACTTTTATGTCTTTTTCGATCGAACGTACGTCGTTATTTCTTTTTTTTTTCGATCTTACATTTAATCTTTCATACATGCCGAATGCGGTTATAAGTCGCGCTTTGATATCATCTTTAAAACACAAGCAGACCGTGCAACGAATATCGATCGTATAATATCTATGTCGCCGCGAGCAGATTCGAAAAACAAGAAAAATTCATATGATTTTACAACTTATCCATCATTCGATCATCCAAAATGAATAAAGACGCATCGAACCGTCGTTGATGTTATCATGGATAATATTTTTCATTAACTAAAATAAAACTTATCGTTGAATACTATAGCGTCAATGTAGCGTTAATAAGTGCACAGGAAAGAGTTTGGTACTTTGTACTTTTGTAGGAAGGGTTGAAAGAAGGAAACAAAAGAAATTTAACGAAAGAACGAGTTTAGCAGAGTGAAAAAAAAGACTAATATCCTTGTGATAAAAATTAATGGCCTTATAATTTTAATGAGAACATCTAATACGGCTTCATATGATAGACTACTATATCTCGCGTATGTTGTCGTTGCTATGTTATTGTTTTATTCAGATGGATTTGCATAGATTTACATATCAACCTGTACAGAGAAATTGACCAATCACGAATCTAACAATAAGATAAAAGATGCCACATTTGTTGCTTATATGCGTATGTGTATATTACAGTACGTAAGATCTGTTCCTTAGTTACACTTTTTGCACTTCGAGTGTCGCTACAAATGTCCCATAACAGTTAGAGCGCAATATTAATTGATACGGTTTGGTGAGTTCTAGCGTAATAGTGTGAATAATAATGGGCAATTTTGTAAAAGTTTAGAAAGTTTGGAGCACATTCGACAGCGTCGTACTTGCGCCACGTTTGATTTCTTCCTCACTTCAAGAGATATAACACGCATGAGGATACATTCGTTCAATTTCTAGAGAGTATGAGAGAATGCAGAAAAGGCACGGTAATAGAGTACATTTATGACGAAATCTATTCGAAGGCGTGTCGATTTCAAATTGGTTTCAACGTCTGTAAACTCGAAATTCACGTGTTTCATCGATCGCGTGCTAATCAATCGCGTAATCAGCTGATATTTGAAAACGCGGTGTAATACGTTGGTTCAACGGCGATACATATATATATAGATATCAAGAATTCCAGTCCCGAACACGTAATCTCCATCAGTATCTCGGTTACTTTATCGGACGATATGACTATCGCATAAATTCGGGAAGATACTATCCGGAATAAATTTCAACCGTGCACGCTGACATTCGCAAAGTGTCAATGCCATTTCTCTCTCGTAGTTCTTTTTTTTTTTCATAAAGCATTGCGCGGGAGGCGGAGTCGCGAGGTGCTTTCTTACAAAAAACGGCGCGTTTCCTCGACAATTAATAACGCGCGGTGTCGACGTAATATCGATCCGCGCGATCGGCAATCGCGAGACGATACGAGGGGGATTTGCAATTTCCTAAATTTGAAAAAAGTCGGAAAAACTTGCGACAGGGAGCACCGTTGGTGGTGCTGATGGCGCGCGATTGGCCGCCGCGGCTGCACCCGTTCACCGTGCCGTTCGCGACAGCCAATGGGAAGCGACTCGCCGCGTCGTCGCCACCGCACGTCCGGCCTATGGGGACGTAGCTGTCGTTGTAACGAAGGCTCGAACGCTCAAAAGATGTGCGAGAATTTTTGTTAAAAAGTGCGCG